TTTGTGCGAGATGGATGCCGTCGCATTTGCTAACAATTGACGAAAAACGCATTCGAATGCGTATTTCTCAAGCGTGTTTGGATCGTTTCAAGCAAAACGGAAAATGAATTTCAAGCCTCGTTTCATAACTGTTGATGAAACTTGGATCCACCACTATACACCAGAGCGAAAAGAACAGTCGAAACAATGGATTGAAGCCGGTGGACGTGCACCAAAGAAGGCAAAGACGGGGTTCCATCAGCAGGAAAGGTTATGGCAATATTTTTTTGGGGGTTACAAAGGTGTTTTGTTGATCGATCATCTTCAGAAAGATAAAACGATTAACTCTGAATATTATTGTAACCTTTTGGATCTATTGGATGCAAAAATTCGTGAGAAAAGACCTGCTTTAAAGAAGAAAAGAATCGTTCTCCATCAAGACAATGCACAATGCACGTTTACACAAGTGTTTTGACAATGCCAAAATTCAACGAATTGCTCGAACATTCAGCCTATTCACCAGACTTGGCTCCCTCTGACCATTATCTGTTTCCAAACCTGAAACAATTCCTGGCTGGAAAGCGTTCATCAAGCATCAAATGACGAAGCTACTGCAGCCGCGGATGGATATTTTGCAGACCTTCCGGAATCACACTTTAACAATGGTATTGAATTATTGGAAAAAAACGTTGGAATAAATGTATCGAAGTCCCAGGAGATTATATTGAAAAATAAAACATATTTCACGGCAAGAGAAATCTTCTTTCATTGTTAGGCCGAGAACTTTTCAGACCGCCTACGTACAACGATGAACGTCATCCAGCCTCGCTCGGTTTCGTTACGACTCGCGATCGCGACCCATTTCTCTCCGTTACGCGCCTCGCAATCGAACTCGCGCGGGCAAAAGCGCGTCGGAATGAAAGTGGAACTTGTGATGGACGAAAGCGCGCACTTTTGTCCGCCTTTAGACGGCCGGCCCGAGTCGCGCCGCGGTTTTCTCGCGGCGATAACCGCGCGCGCGTCCGTTGCCCGTGAGTTTTTAATTAACGCGCTCATGAATCAGCAGCTAACGGTCGTGCGGCGCAACGCGCGGAGTTCCGACCTGGGCGCGAGCACTCCGCCCTCTGCCGCGGGGGAGGACTCGGCGAAGGCGGCGAAGAAGGAGGAGGAGGAAAAGGAGAAGGGTCGTTTAACCGCGGCGCAGAAGGATCAGGACGAGGAAGCGCGGTGGTCGCGTCGCCCCGCCGCGGATTCGCCGCGCTTTCGAGTTGCGATCCGGTTGCATAAGGGTTGCAATTATCCCCACATACGAACTTAATTAAAGACGCACACGCCGGCCGGAAACGCGCGGCCTCCGCCGAGTCCTCTCCGCTTCGTCGGGAGCGCGCTCTGGAACGCGCTATCGCCTTCGCGCTTAATATTTCACGCACGCGACGGCCACGGCGCGCGCCTCTGAGAACGGTAATCGCGGCGTGTGTAAACACACGTCACAGATAACGCGCCGACGTCACCGGCACAGCTGCGCGTGCATAATAAACCGACGCGCTGAGTGACGCAACGAGATGTCATAGCGCGCGCGCGTTTCTTCGCAGCACGCTTGAACTTGCAATTCTGCAATTAGAACGCGGGAAAAACGCCGAGTTGGCGCGTGCGTGAGGTCGATGACGAGCGTCGGCGGGGCTTGAAAGGTGAGAAATCTCCTTCACCGCGCGCGGACTCGCGCGCTCACGGCAGCGTCCCGTCTTGCGTATGCGCGCAGGAGCTGCGAGAGAAGAGCGAGTCGTTGTCATACGGAAGTGCAAGATGGAAGGAAATCGCACAAACGCCATTTGGAAGAAAGCGCGGCTGCGCCCCGCCAATGAGCGCGTATTCGCGTCGCTCGACGGGAACAACATTGCGCGATCTCTTTTCCAGCGTTCTCTTCAGCGCTCGCGCTTTTCATCGAACTTCGCGCCGATCAACGCGGCCGATCGTTGCGTCCAGTCCTGGACGGTATCGGGGAGAATTACGTCGGCGTTTTCACGCATTTCCCTCGCGCCATCGTCGTCGCAGCAACACGCGGAGGACAGGAGGCGCGTCGCGTCCCCGTCGCGGCGGAGGTCAAAAATAAGGCGACGGGCAGAAACGCGGAAAGATAGGGGAACATGGCCAGGCAGACGCAGGCAGAGCGTAGTGCCGGGCATTGTCTCTGCGACTGTTGTTGCCTAAGTGGCTTGTTTCCACGCTTTCGTGGCTCTCCGTCGCACCGCCGCACCGCCAGAACCGCGCGCGCGCTGCTCATGTACGAAATCCACCTTCGCGCGCGCCGCGGCAAGCTCGACCGCAACCGCCGCGATCGCTGTCACTTTAAGAGCCCTGATTGCGTCAAGCCTCCGGATTAAATAACGTTAGCCTGCAGAGAGAGAGAGAGAGAGAGAGAGAGAGAGAGAGGCGATTCGCGATCCAGCGAACTTTCGAGAGTGCGATTCCATAGGCCGCGCGACACCGGCGAGGAAAACCGTGTCGTTGATCGGCCGCACCGACGATGGCGGATCGTCAGGAGAGAGAAAGATAGATAGACAGATGGATAGATAAATACGTGCATTATCACTGTAGGGGGGCTGCTAGAAGGGAGAAGGGCCAGAATCTTACGTCGGAGACGGAAGAAAAAAAACTCGATTGAAGCGAGTAGAGACGGCGAAGCTACAAGCGACACGAGTCAGGATGAATATTTGCAAGTGTGTCAGAGAGCGTGAAAGAATAATAACGGTGGTGAAGCGCGCGAATTCGGAATTTTTCTTGCTCCGGGCTTGAGATTCAACGGAGCACATCGCGCACTCTCGCTCGCCGAGAACCGTCGAGAAACAGTTTATCAGCCGCGGGGCAAGTTCAACGATGCTCGCGAAGCGCGATTTCGACGCACCGCGCCGATCATGAAGGGTAGAGGAAAAGAGTTCATTTGAAATTCAGACCCACGGCCCGATTGCGCGGTGAAACGATCTCTCGCGTTTTCCCACCGGTGACTTTCGTCGTTGCCTCCGTCGTTTCTTTTCTCTCTCTCTCTCTCTCTCTCTCTCTCTCTCTCTCCCTCTCTCCATCTCCCTCTCGTTCTCTCTCCTTGACTCGCTCCTCGCGACGGAGGGAATTGCCGTCGGCAGGAAAACACACGTGCAATATAATCCCAATACACATGGCGGCAATAAACAACCTAGTATTCGAGGCGGACGCGAGTAACCCTAACCGTTCCGCTTGGCCGCGGCTCGACGGCTCGCGTCTCTCGAAAAGACACGAATAAAGGAGGAGATGCAAGGACTAAAGCAACCGTACGCCAAGTGTCGAATGTAAAGCCAGTTTCCAGATGAGAAAAATAGAGTTTACTCGAGCGAAGGCTAATACATCGAAAAGACAAGAAGGAATCGAGCCAGAGCCCCGTCGCTTGCAGACATTTGCGAACTTAAGTTTCGCGGAAATTACAGAGGAGACGTTGAAGAAACCTCGACGAGGATGAAAGACGTTGCGGCGTAGGAAATACAGTACTCAGGTACAGGAGATCAATTTTACGACGCAGCGAAGGATAGAAGAGAATTTCCTTCGTGTCGAAATTTCGTTCGCGCCTCGAAGGAACACATTCGATCCGACGCGACGCGGCTCTCCTGAAATCATTCGCCTTCCAACATTTGCACATCTTGGCCCGGGGCCTCTCGGGGGCTATCTCCCCCCCCCCCCCGCTTCGAATCCCCGGACGCGGCAGGTGGAAGCGTTCCCGACCTTTCCGGCATCGAGTTCCGCGTTATCGACTTACGTAATCGGCGAGTGCGCGCCGCGTGCTCGAATACATCGCGGCAGCACATTTTCCGCGGTCGGCCGGCGTAATGTTGGAAAGCGACTGCGTCCGTTAGACACGAAGGTGAATGTTTCCGGGAGATCTCGCTCAGCCGCGCCAGGGTGTCCTTCTCGTCTCGCGCCTCGTCGTCTCGCCCCGACGAAATGAAATAACGACCACCGCTCGTCCGATCCTGCGGCGCCGTCGTCGAGTCCGCTAACGCAGGATTCGCGAGTGCATGGCTGACGACGTCTCGTGCCCGAGATGCCGATCGGGAGCAACGATAATCAGCAACATTGCACCGTCGACGCTTACGTCGCGATCGCTTAATAAATACAGCTTTCGTTTCTCCATTACGTTAAGCGGTTGGTTCGGCGATGGGAACGCTCGTCGCAAACGCGATAAGAACTTGTCATTGCTCGAGAGACGTGCCGCGTGATCTCAATGGATATATTCAACGAAGATAACAGCTCGATGTGCAAGTATTGTGTTTATCAAGATCTCAAATGAGAAGTACGACAAGTACAATTATCTCAGCGAAGATTTCCTCAATCAGATATCGCGATACGATTCGGAAAGGCCGCTTGATGTTTGCACAGCGCGCCGTGAGTCACCGTAGCCGTTCATTTCGTAATGACGAAACACGCAGCAATGTAACAGGATATAAAAGCGAAGGAAAGAGGATTATAACGTTCGCCAAAGTGCGTTCGGTAACTGCGCAGCGCGCCGCAAAACTGAAGGTCTCGAAGAGGGGGAAGCGGACACAAAGGGAAGAGGGTATCTTTTGCAATTGCAAAAATCATTTCCCAAGATATATTTTTTCATCGCTAAAGCGATATATCGGCGTCGGTATCGGAGCTGATGAAAGTGCCTCGTTAAGCCTCGCGAGCTCGCTTTACTCCGCGCCGCTCATTATTTTCCATCTAATTATATAAATGTGGGGCGCCGAGAGAGAATTATGTAAGTGGCCGACGAGTCGCTTATATATTTCATTATATATATATATATATATATATATCCGAGCATGAGAATGATAAGCTATCTTGCCATCGGGACTTCAGACTTCCCTTCAGTCCGCGCTTATCAGTCCCATAGAAGTCCTACGCGCTCGCGGTAGAAAGCAATCGACTTCGTTCCAGCGTTTCCGGGTCATTACGACGAGACGAGAAGTTGCGCTTGCCGCAACAACAACGGCTGCGATATCGAGAGCCGCACTCACCTCCAATTTGACGGAGTACTCCTCGGCTAATGTCTCAGCCTGCTTCGTCAGCTCCTGATTCCTTTCGAGCAGGGCCTTGCCGAGTTCGGCGGCCAACACGAGATCCCGCTCGCGTTGCTTCAGCAACTCGGCGGGATCCTGCACGGCGTCCTCGTGGTCCATCGAGTGCCTCCTCGCTTGCAGGTCCGATATCATGTCCTCCAGAGCGTAGGGCTCCGTCTGGCTGTCCTTCTTCGGCAGCATCGCGAATCGTCGCTGGTGTTAATTAGTTAGTCGCCACCACTGAGATCACTCGGATCACGTCACTACTTGTGTCACTACGAACTCGCGAACTCGCGAATCGCCGATCGATATAACGGTCACGGTGTCGGTTAACACAACGGCACACGTCAGACACGGGAAACGGTACAATAACTTGAGCGGCGTCGTTACTCTCGGCTCTCCTCCGTCGCAGAGCGTTCGTGCGTGGGCAGCGCCATTGATTAGCTGGAATCAATTAATTTCGGATTTGCACTTTCGTTGCGCTCGGTCACTTTCGTGCGAAACGCACGGGAGAGAGCGACGCAGACGCGCCAAGGACGAAGGCGAGGGCGCTTGGGAAGAGCGCCGATCGCGAATTAAATCTGATGAAATTAGACAATCAGGCGACACCTTTCTTAATTAGTAAATTAAATAGACGCAAGGCCTAACGTCACTTTCTCCAGACTTTATCTTGTGATAAAGTTGTGATAAATTCGCGCTTCGTAGCGCGAGCGGTGAGAAATGTCGAGTGACGAACGAAGTGAGTTCTTGCACAACGAGTAAAATTATTCCCGACTCGATAAGTTTTCAGTTGAATAACTTCTCGCTGAACATTGTGTCATTGTGAATTCGTTATCGCGCGTTATTTCTCGTTGTTTATTGCATATAGATTTCAATCGAACGCAATATTCCACACCGGGAGGAAATTATTATTCATGGACACCCACGCTCGCGTTGGCGCGTTATCATGTTAATGATAAGAAAACATAAAGATAAAACACATATATCCGTCATACCTGCCGCGCGCGAGATAACGCGGTATCTTCGTCGCGACCAAGCGATCCGTGCAAATTGCTGCAAAATACCGTTTGTTCGACTTCAGGCCAATCTTGTTTATCTTTACATCTCTTCCACGCAGCCACAGAGATTTTATCTACCAGAAACATCCGGGAATTTATTCCTCACGTGCAAGGTTCTCATTGAAACGGATGATGATAATAAAAGATTGAATTTCACGCAGTCTCCCAATTACGATACTCTCGATTTTATGAAAACGAAATTTATACATTCAATAATTATATAACCGACCACACGTATGTGTGTGCACACATATACGTGGACATATATATATTATCCGTATTTTTCCGTGTATGCTACTCGTATTTCTATAAAAAAAATACATATATACATATATGATGTATAAATTATATTTCGACGAGGGTAATACGCGTTCATTTATCCGTTCGTGATTTTATCCATCGTGATTTTCTCACTGAAAGCACTCCGTCGCGACGGGGAACCTCGAAGAGCGCCAGTCCGCTGCCTCAAAACACTTAAGGGGACTGGAGGGTCAGATTACTGAAAAATCGTGCTTGTTTTTGATAATGATTTTACGACTGAATAAATGTGCAAGAATGAAAATTTTACATATATTTATATAACATTTCGTATCGATTTGAAATTTTAAAGCAATAATATTTGTACATGTGGCTCTCAGGTGAACCATGGACAACTTCGTCAAAATATTTCATTTCGAGATATTAATTTTTTTATTGTAAAAGAACTGAAAAATTTGAATTTTGTCCTAATAATAGCTGCCGTTTTGTTAATTTTGTTCGATTTTTTTTTCTAGTGCTTCACCGGATAATGATAAGCCTCCTCAAGATCTCTAGCTCTGATCGGACCATCGAGAGCCGAGATATTACTGCAAAAACGATAACTTGAAAAAAAAGAAAAGAAGAGTATATTTCAGCTATATATATCGTACATTTATACGAGTATTTGTTAACCCTTTAACTTGCTACGGTCAAGATAACTCGAGTGTGGAAAAAAATGGTGGCTTTGCTACGATCGAGTTTACTCGATTTGGACTTTCAACGTGTGTGGTATTGCGTGCGGTATTTTTTTTAAATTTAAAAATGTGAATTTGTGAAAATCTGGATCATCAGCAAATTATGAAATATTTTATAATTGTAAAAATAACTCAGCAAAGAGGGTCATACTGGTCATTTAATATCTCAGCAGTTAAAGGGTTAATAAACAAAATTTTTCTACTCTTCATTACCTGTTGTATAACTATACCTAAAATTTTCATTCTTGCATATTTAATCAGTTCGTCACAAAATATGATCAAAAGGACGATTTTTCAGCAATCCGACCCTCCGGTCCCGTCAACAAGCCACTTCGTCCGAGGATCGCGCGCGCACGACCCAAAAGCCTCCGGGGCCTTGAAGTCTCGCGAATAACGAGCACGCGATCGAGGAGGCGGCTTGAACAACGCATAACGGGCTCACCTGGATTCAGCTGGTCTCGGCTGGCGGGAGACACGAGTCGCCGACGTCTCGATTGAGCTTCGAGCTGCTACCGGGGGTAGATCCTGCGGATCCTCCTGCTCGGCGGCGCGCCTCGCGCACACCTGGTCGACGCGCTCGTCCACTACCGGAAACGGTCCGTCGGGATCGCGCGAGCCCTGATATTGCGCTCGGTACATTTGTGACGCTGCGACTGTCCCGACGGTATCATCGCCACGACTGTCGGCGACGTCGGCCACGTTCTCATCGCGCGCTCACCCTGCGCGAGTGCAACGCACCGTTGCACCGACGCACCTCTCGCCGCTGGCACCCTGAGGATATCGATCGCGGAAGTTTGCCGCGCTATCGGCTAACCGTCGTCCTCTCGCACCGTTCCTCTTCACACCTCACGACTCCATCGCGGAGCTAAGGCCGCCTCGCGCGCGCCGCGCCCGGCTGCTTCGCGGTCGCGTGTGCCAACATCGGCTCGGCGGTGCCGAACGAAGAAGCAGGTCGCCGCGAAGCGTGCGACTTGAAGAATCGCCGCAGCCACGGTCAGAAGTTCGCAGAAGTCGGCTCTTGCGACACGACAACGCTTCGCTCGATAATCCACCGCGAGCGTCTGCCACCGCGAATGTATTTTTCTTTTTCTTCTTCTTCTTCTTCTTCTTCTTCTTCTTCTTGTTTTCTTCCTGGTTATCTACGCCCACGAAGCACGCGGTCTTATTACGGCAGGCATTAAATCGGCATTTTCGCACTCGAGATGACGACCAGATGATTTTCCCACAACACAAGTTTTTCCCAGGAAAAAGACCACGAGTGCAACGACGATACTCACTCTGATCCACCGTCAGGACTATACTTGGCTGCGAACGCGGTGATTCCTGAGGTAATCGCGAGGTTCGCCACCGCGGGAGGGATCACGCTGTGCACGGGAAGATCGATGACTCCCGGCTGTCGAGCCGAGAATGGAACCGCGATGAATCACGACGTAACGATAGTTCGCAGCGCGCCGTTTGTCCGCGTAAATAACGAGCGCGTTCACTTCGCCGGAGAGACGGTCGACGGGGCCCTCCCGGAGGCATACTCCGCACTGTTTCACTTCGGAATCACGAGGAGCCAGGTTATCCTTCGGAGTCGCGCAGATTATAGATCCTCCCGGATTCGCGGCTCACTCGCGCACCCAATGAACGCCCGGCTCCTGCAAGAAGAATCGAGAGACTCACTTTTAATCGCCTCTCGATTACCGATGCCTAAATACATTAACTTTTCAAGAACGCCACTCGAATATTCCCATGAGGAAACCGCTCACCGAACGTGACGCAACGCGTTATTTTCGTCTCGCGAACGCGCGATTAATTATTCAGCGGCCGAAACGGAGAACACGTTTGTCGCGCGAAAAATCATTCGCAATCGCTGAAATCCGAAGCCGCCTCAAGGCGGTGCGTCATTTCTCTTGTCTCTCTCTCTCTCTCTCTCTCTCTCTCTCTCTCTCTCTTCCTCTCACCCTCTCACTCTCTTTCGCTCCCTTTATTTTAAAGTTACGTCGCGAGTCACGCGAAAGCTATTCGCGCGGACAGTTCAGTCGGCGAAAAAGAGCCGCCGGATACCGAGCAGCCGCGTGGGCGGATTTAATCACGCGCGTCGCGATTTCGATAGCGAGCGAGTCGTTCGAAAATCGATTCTCGACAGCCCGGCTCGAACAGCCTGCGTGGGCGACGCGATGTTTCTGAGAGAGAGAGAGAGAGAGAGAGAGAGAGAGAGAGAGAGAGAGAGAGCGTTCCCGCGGTCGAAGAGCGACGCGCGAAAGCAGAGCCGCGCGATATCAAGCGGCGCGATGCAATTGCGTCGCATTATCCTTGAATGGCAATAAATGCGCGACCCGGTGGTCACGGACGACACGTGCGACGATTCACGTTTATCGATTTGTACGTCGGCTTAGCGTCGCGCGCTTCTGTCCGTCTCTCTCCCTCTCTGGTACCCGCTCAGACCGTCTCCGCGCGCTCGGCTAAGCCGCGCAACGAATAAATCCAATAAGGGGGATGAATGTAGACCGCCGCGCTCGGCCGGGCCAAGTTGATCGCTAAATCGATCGACGACCGCGAAACGACAGTCGCGAGCACGTTTCTCCGCCCGACGAACCCTCGTGACCGCCGCGCACCGTTCATTCCCGCCGGGTACCGAGCGGTTTCTTTCTCTTTGTCTCCGCGAGATTCCTCTCGAACCGGGGATTTCTGCGAGATATCATGAGCGAGAGAGATCGCGGACACACGCAGGCACGCACACACGCAGCAGACTCTCTCTCTCTCTCTCTTTCCCTTTCATTCTTAATAAGCATTTGGCAACGAGAGACCTGTGCGCGCGATTGTCAGTCACGCGCGCGCTCCTGCGCCTCTCTCGAAGCTCGCAAAAATCGACCTGCGCACGCACCTGCACACGCACTCTCTCCATCACTCTCCCGCGGACTTACTCACTGGCAGAGACACGCGGTGATGCGAGCGATCGCGAGGATTCTCAGTCGCGCACACGGACTCTCGCGGTCTACCTGTTCGCCGTGCCACGGTCGGCCAGGTAGTGACTCACTGCTCGTGAGTGGAAAATAAATATTACAGAATCGCGCGCCGCTCGCGTACAGCGTGCCTCCACGAGAACGGCCAGCCTAAGCCTTCTCCCACCATATTGCCGCACGGTTGAAAGTAATTCGCTCGGCACGACGTACTATCGGCCGCTCGCTCGGCCGTCTCTTTGTGCGTCGGCTCGTAAACGTAAACACGTAAATTTGCAAGAATAATTTCCAATTTGCGGCGAGAATTTCCGCGCCGCGCGCGCACGCGCTTGCTTCTCGTCCGCCCGCCGAATTCGAGATATCGCGTCAGGATGCGTGCGAAGTCGCATGAGAAGAAGGAGAGGAGACGAAATGATAAACACACGCGACTAGTCACGTCAACGGCGCGGTGAGATATTTTCAGGCTGGATCCTCGGCTGGATAACAGGTTGTTTTGTTCGCGCGGTATGTCGCGATAACGCTTATCGATTCTCACGGCTCGACGATTGTATCAGTATATCCCGCCACTGTGTAGTACACGCGCTCCGCAACGACCGTCCTTTCGCGCTTATCGATCGGAGCGTACCTGGAGCGTCCAATCCGAAAAATCGCCGCCGCCGGCCTCTCCGGGCCGAGAGCTCTTCGGCGAGATTTCATTCGCGAACTCGCGTTCTTATACGCGTCGGACGTAGACGGCGTACGAGTCACGTACGAGAGATACACTGGCGACCACGAAGAAGCCTGAAGAGTCGCCGCGCCGGCAGAACCGATCGACCTGGCGACCTTCCCCTCCGGAGGTGAACTAACGTCTCCCCCGTCTGCATCCTCAAGCGTGTGCCCCCACCATTTGACCCACCTGGTCGAACCACCACCTGACGCGACTCCACCGAATCTCACGCAAACGCGCCGGACCTGATACTCCGCACGACGAAAGACGCGCCTATCTGCGAAGCGATGACCGATGTGCCCGCTTCTTATCGATTGCTCATTGATCGATCGCGCAAAAATGTCTGCGGGACGCTTGCGGCCTTAACAGCGAAACAAATGTATGCGTACAGCGAAGGACATAAATATCTTGAGAGATAATATTCAAGATCTGTGAGGAGCGGTGTACGACGAGCGTGGCGAGTCCTTAGCCGCGCGTTCTTCAAGTTTTATAATTTCTTGCGGCAAACATTATTCCCGTGCTGCCTTAGCTGGAATATGGCGAGCTTGAAGCTTAACACTCGAGGATTACGTGACCTTAAGGATTAAAGAGATGTAACAATATACGAGTGTATCCAGGGGACGTCAATTCGTGATTATGATGTCACTGATTGATTCACACGAGTGAGATGTCGGGAGATTAAAACGCCATTTTGTAGGAGAGAGGAAGATTGCTTCTCTACGACTGATTTATTGTACAAGTCGAGAGTGATCTGAAAATAAGCGATCCCGAATAAATAGGACGTGCGAAATTGCTTTCGTATCTTCGATTAGCTCTCGTTCTCCTTGTCACTTTGGTCGTTTGTAACAACGCTAAGAGTCCGGAGAACTGATGGCCACCGGAGACTTTAATTGAGACCCGAAGAAGTAGGGAACGATTAACGTACACAAATGAAACGAGCTAATCGAGTTTGGCACGCTGCATCGCACAGGAATGTCCATTCCAGCCGTATTTGCGGCCTGATCTTATTTACGCGTCGCGCTCGAGGCTGTTGAGCCGAGAGATCGATACCCTGGATTAGGCAATTTGTAAGTACGACTCTATCGCTTCGCGACAAAGGTTTTACCCTGTAATACCGCGGAATAAAAAATAACGTCTCACTGGATCGCCACTAGAATCCTCGATATCCGAAATTTCGAATTTCCATTTGCGCAACGAACGACGAAGAAACGACGAGGAAGAGCCGTCAACAATTCGGTAAATATATAGAAAAGGGTACACCTCACCGATTTTTTTATTTTGAAATATGTTATAGAGGATAAAATTCTGAGTGACTTTTCCTAATACAATTATATGGGGGTCGCTTATAGTTTCTGAGATATTTGACTTTAAAGTTTTATAATTGAAGTATATTTGAAGTAGACAAGCAGTTTCCATTCACTTTTTAAATATAGGAAACAGTACATACAAGCGGGAGAGGGGCTCCGCCCCTCCCCCGCACCCTCTCCCCAAATAAATCCTAACCTAACCTAACTTATTGCATCTTTATATATTTTTAGACATTGTTGAAAAAAGTTCTCTTAAGATCTATCACCTAGCTCAACTTAATTTATTGTAATATCTGCATATAATTAGGTGTTGTGGCTTTCTAAGGAGATCTTTAGCAACATCGCCCAACAATATATAAAGATAAGCAATAAGTTAGGTTAGGTTAGGATTTTTTTGAGGAAGGAGTGCGCTTATATGTACTGTCTCCTATATTTCTATGTATACACTATGTTTGAATGAACTATTTGGATTGTATTGTAAATAACGTCAGCTTTGATATCTGAAATTTAACACCAAATTTCCAAAACTTTAAAGTCAAACTATAAGCGACCCCCATATAGTTGTATCAGGGAAACTCACTCAGAATTTCATCCTTTATAACATACTTCAAAATGAAAAAAACCGATGAGATGTACCCCTTTCTATATATTTACCAACAATTCTTCTAGACTCGATGATGTCGATTGAATTAACAGCGTGTATCAATATCAATCTGCGATTTTAACCATGAAAGCGAACCGCCCGGCAACTCCTCGATTCCAGTCTGCCGAAGGAGCTGTCACTCGCGAGCTGAAGTTCAGGATATCAGCCGCTGACGTGTCGCGTATCGAGCGACGCCGAGATTGGATTGCCGGAGCTTTGCGTGCGTCTGAATGGTAAAAGTAATAATATTTCGCAATTGATCCGCGCGAGGACCCAAGGAAACCTGCGGATGTTACGTCGCTGGGCCATTGCTTGGCAACCGGAAGTACCAAACAGAAGCAGCCACGCCACGCCGCGCCATACAGCTGCTTCGGCTGCACGGGCTGGCAGATGTCTTTCTCAAATGTCAGTGCTGAATGTCATCGAGGGTCACGACTGGAGTGCTCCCAGTCCTCGTGACGTATCTTCATGATCGACGGCGCCGATCGCGAAGACGTCCACGTGTCTCGCAAGACCGACGGTCCTCCTCCTCCTTCTCCTCCTCTTCCTCCTCCTCCTCTAGGCCGTCTTCTATGAAGCTGATGTAAAAAGTGCGTGCGTGGAGCGATCTCCGGATCTCGTCGGTGACACGCGAGAATTCATCTAAATGCGATACGTACCTGTCGGAGAAGTCAGCCTTAACTTTCACGCGGAAAATAGAAGTAACTGAAAATCGCTGCTAACGCATCAGGTGAGAAAAACATTATTGTTACTATGTTGGATAATTAAACAATGTACACATGTCGGGTGATGATACTCGGCGAAGATTGTTTTGAGATTCATTCGAAGGAACCGCTTTCCTTCCGTCTTTACCTTCTTTAGACTCCAAAATGGCGTACAGGCAGCAGCCGGTGCAGGACGAACTCGAGCTGGAGACAATGGCGGAGGTCGAGCTCTCCAGGCTGAAGAGACAATACAGAATAATGGAGAACGATCGGGCGGCGTGCGTGGAGGACGCGAGGTTGCAGCTGCGTAATCAGCAGAACATGATCGACCGTCTGGAGTACGAGAAGGCCGAGCTCCTGTTGGCGATCAAGACCGCGAAATCAAAGTCGTTCGCACGTAAAGACATGAAGATGGACGAGAAGCTGAGGTGTCTCCTGCAGAAGCACGACAAGTACATCGACATGATAGAGAACGAGAAGCGGCAGATAGCCGAGCTCGACCAGCAGATCGGCAAGGTTGCTGGTATTGCCAATGTTGAACCTACATAAACCTACATAAGTAATAACGAGCGATGCTTATCGTTGGCCTATAAGGATCCGAAAGGAAAAAGAGCACTACGCGCATGAAAAGAAAAATCTCAATTCAAGTGTAACCGAATGAGGACCAGACGAAAACTCGGTGACGAGAAGTGTGATGTCCGCAACCGGACATTTTCGTTGGAACATTTGGCTGCGTTGAGAGCTCCAGTTGAGATAGCCGAGCGAAATTGATCGAACAGAAACTTCCAACGGAAATATTTCCGTTCCTACAACCGGATGTTTGTCTGGTCCTCAAGCAACGAAAAATTCAGTCACGCCAACGGAGTTGCTTTTTCCACATACTTACTGTAAAGATTATGACCATTACTATCGCCAATGACCATGACTATCGCTAATAGATTGGAGAAGACGACGACTGCGTCGCCAATCGAGGACTGATTCGTCTCCGCTGACGAGCAGTCGAGACACTTTCATCCGCGCCACCTCGTACTTTACAGCGCACAACATTCTGAGTTCTGTTGTAGCTCTCGAAGGAAGTCGCCGGCCTGAAAACGAAAGTACGCAGTGACACGCAGCTGCGAGACCAGGCCGTGCGGCACAGCAGGATGACACTCATGCTGGAGAACCGGGTGGAAGTGGCCACGAAGAGGTTCAACCAGGTGATAACGGGGAACGCGAAGCTGCGCGCCGAGATCGAGACGCTGCTGAAGGAACGGTCGCAGTTCACGCAGATGTGGAACAAGCTGATCGGCCAGCTGAACACCGGCAAGCAGATCATCAACGACCTGATCGAGCAGGCGACGATCACGTTCAACCAACGCGACGAAGAGCTCAATAAGATCCAAGCGCTTCGCGAGAGGCACGTATCATCCTCCACGTTTCTTCGGTGGATTTTCCGCGCCGTAAAATCTGCGAGATTTATACGATCGATCGTGTGAATTCCGGCAGCGCGATTTATGCGTCGAGTATCTGCGATTTGCAACGACGGCGGCCGCGGAGAATCGCGAAAGTGGAAACATTCGCCGGATTGTTGTCCCCATAATTCAGAGTTATTCCGTTAACGACCATTCGTATTTGACTTGGAATGAACGGTCGAACATCGTCGTCGTCGTCGTTGTCGTCGTCGAATTAGAAACTCGACGCTCCGAGAGCGCAACGGTCGGTGAAGCCAATGGTGCGTGGAATTTCCGCCGGTCGAGATTTCCGTCTGATCGTGACGGCTCTACCTTGATTTATCTGGCGGCCACGCGTGATCATTTCCCGACTGGCGAGCGAGAGAGAGAGAGAGAGAGAGAGAGAGAGTCTGAGATCGTTGATTCGCTGTTCATCAGGGGCATACGAGACCTGAAGAATCACACGTCGGAGATGTGCGAGCTGAAGAGGACCTTGGATAACGAGATGAAGCTGCAGGAGTTCCTCGGCGTGAAGGGACAGTATCGCGAGATGGCCGACCTGAACGCGAAGAAGGAAGCCGAGCGGCAGGCTAAGAGAGAGGAGAAGCAGAACAAAATAGCCGCCTTCACGCATAACTTGCAGACGATCAAGCAATTCACCGGTAGCGTAAAGCGGACTCTAGCTTAGAATAAACAAGTTACCTGGCTGTCGAAGGCTTGTTGTTCTTCGTTGAAACGTCGACAAGCTATCGTTCCTAGGTCGAAAGATTTCCAACGTTCGCCCTGATCTTGTATCGTATCTCTGACACGCGAGAAATCCGGATCGGGGAGAAAGGTTCGGCGATTTTTCTCTTATCCTTTTACTTTTGTCCGATTCGGTCTTTCTCTCGTTATTTGAATCTCTCTGCTTTCGCTCGATGTTGAAATATTATTTTCGACAACTTTCACCGAACAACTTGATCGAGGCGTACCCTGCTTAACACAATCGTGAATCAATGATACCGTATAGGAGAGCAAGAAATCGACAAGCTCACCGCCCACTTCATCAAGCAAGAGGAGGAGAATTTCGCGCTCTTCAATTACGTGAACGAGCTGAACGACGAACTGGAGGGTCTTCAGTCGAGGATGGAACAGTTGACGGCAGCGATCGACGAGGCACGTATCCAGAACGTGCATCGCGACCAGGAACAGGCGGAGACCTTGGACAAGGTCACCAAGCAACTGGAGGAGCAGACCGCGTTGGCGGACGCTGCCGAAGAGGATCTCACGAAGGTGCGAGTTTAACGCGTCCCATTATTATTCCGCGTTTCAAGAATCGGAAAAAAAGCTAGAACAAAGCTTGTTGTTGTGCACAGAAAAATAAGCTCGCTTCGTGTAACTGATTACTCGTGCGGACCAGACGCATGCTTGTTTCTAGGATCACAAAGATCGCAGTAAGAGGTCTCTCTATTCACTCTTTGTTCTCTATTCGCTCTTTGTCCCCAATTATCTCCGCCGGCTTTTAAAGCAGCCGAGTGTTCAGACGAGTGTCTTTAGTCGTGATAACGCAGCTATCGTTTCTCCCGTCACCGACGTTTCGTCCGGTTCTCCTCGTAAACCGAGAGGGATCTTTTTCCCGTGCATTGTGGCCCGCTGAATTCTCAACAGGAAATTAATAACGCGTGCCACAGAGGTCACCTCATTATTCCAAACGCCAGCCTTGGCTTCAATAGGAAAAAGAATGCACAGCCGAACCGTCTCTCTCTCTCTCTCTCTCTCTCTCTCTCTCTCTCGACACATCCGCGTTGTGACTCAGCGAAACTCGAGGAAGTCGAATGTAAGGAAGCGATTATCCGCAAACGATCATCCCTTGTTTCAGTGCAACGAGGTGATGGAGAAGGTGCTAAACGGGATCAACGCGCTCTTCGAGTCGATACGATGCGACAACTCGCCGATTTTGGAACTGCTGGGCGACAACACCTCCGTGACCATGAGCAACGTCATGCTCTACTTGGGCATTATCGAGAAACAGATCACCGAGATGTTTCACAAGGTTTACTGGGTGGACAAGACCAGCAAGGCGCCGCAAATGCGCCTGGACGAGAGCAAGAAGTCCAGGCTGAAAGTACCGATCCTCGCCCGGATCGTACCGACGCAACCCTGCTCCCTGTGAGTCCCTTCCCCTTCCTAACAGCTTCCCTCCAACGACCCTTCGTCCGAGTTCTTCCGGGCGAGTTCTTCCGGGTGCATCCTCGAGGCGCGCTTCAGCCCTACACGCGACCATTTGATAACTTCCGTTTTGTATACTATATTCCGCCCCCCTCTTTCCGCCCTAAAACTGTAACTTAAAGGAGCAGACTGCGATAATAAGCTCCAAGCTGAACGCTCTAATACGTCCGCGTGTACGATACAGCTGCGTGGAGAAGGAGCAGATGCAGTTCGTGTCGGAAGGCCTGGAGGTGCCGCTGACACGTGCCGAAGCCATGCAGAAGCTGCAGCAGAGGCTCGAGGACGATTACTCGGAGCTGCTTCACAACGTATCAGACTGTCACTTACCGGCGGCTAGAAAGATTATACAAAGACGTTATCAATAAAGGGAGTCAACACAACAGCGTCCTGTTTCTTACACGTGGATTCGCGACCCGACCTTCGTCGCTCAACGCCACGTTGACGCGCGGCGACACTTGAGTCTTCGACTTGGACATCGTCGCGACAGCAAACTGGCGACTGGCGAGGACACCGAAAGAGCGCAATGTGGATCACGCGTGTGGATGCAATATCATCTTTAGGCAAAATTGTGTTCACTTATTGTTCTTTTACTCGGATACATAGTACGAGAGATATGGAAAGTAGTTGTGTCTCTTTCTCTCTTCTTTTCGCCTTCAAAGAAATACTTGGTTTGTCCTTCTCGTGATAAGGTGAAATCTCTTTCTTCGTTCACGGCCATCTTGACCGATCACCGATCGGCCGCGAAGAATAACAACAACAGCGAGCGGTCATCTTAGTCGCGATACGACGAATCTCTCTCTTCGCGCGCTTTCCTCTTGGCGACCTTGATGATCCGCCTCAGTTCGAGGATGGTTCGCTTGATTTGAATCAGCTGCTGCTCGACGTCCTCGCTGCTCACCTTGACGGGAATCTCTTTCCTCTTGCAAATCTGCTGATAGATGTTCCAGCAGCATGCCTTCACTTGCGTAAGCTCCAAGCTCTTGACGGCGGCGATTTCCTTGATTTTCGAGACTATCGCCTCCCACCTGAGTGCTTGCGCCTTCGCACGGTTGTATCCTGTTTGCAACTGCGCCAATTTGTTGTCGAGCTCCATCAACATCTGCGATTTCACTTCCGTCAGGTGGTACTGCGCAAAAAGAAGAATCATCCTCACTCTCGGCTGGGCTCTTCCGCGAGAAAATCTCACAAGCGAATCACAGCCACAAGTCACGAAAAATGTGGGAAAATTTAATGCATATTAGTCTCCTCGTCTGAGGAGAAAATCTGAGAAACTCGCCAATTCGGAAATGAATCTCGCGCAATGAAAATCGATTTCAACCGCTTACTTTGCGCGATAATTACTGAAGCGTTCAGACGAAGCAATATTAACGATTAAATTGACGATTTTTAATTATAGTGCGGAAAGTAGGAAGGTGATTCAGCAACGAGTCCGAATAGCAAGTCTCAAGTTCCCAAACACGTACTATCTCTGTGCCTTTGTCCTCCAGCATCTGAAGATTCCTGTCCTGGTGGTCGGACAACGCCTGTCTGGCCTCGACCAGAGTTTCATAACGATTAAAAATATCATTGATCGACTGAAATTCGCCCGTCTCGTTCACCACACGCTCCAGATAATTCTGATACTTCTTGTATATGTCTGTGTAGTTTTTCATCTGGTCCAGCACCCCTCTCATGTGACTTAATTTCTGCTCGAGTTCATCGGCCTAACGAAAACGAAAATTATTTATTTATCTATTTTTCACCTCATCTTTCTTCTTCCGCTCGTTCGCTAAGACAACCGATTCGGCTAAAGTTTCGCGCACAAGTGTCGCGTGTCTTTACGGGATTTATCGCCTTCAGGGAGTTCATACTTCTCGCTTGAATTTCTCCTGCCGTTCGTGATCCTCCTTGATCTTTTGCTCCGCTCGCTCGCGCTTCTCGACATTCTCCCGCACGAGTTGATCAAACTTCACGAAAGACTGCCGTAACAGCAGTGCCTGATTCCTCGCCTCCTTCCAGTGCTCGTCCATATCCTTGCGTTTGGTCTGCTGTTCCGTCCATTTTTCCCTCAATACCTCGTCGATCTGAGCCAACTCTCGGCGAGCCCTGATCACCTCCGTCGCCGGACACACCCTCGCTTTATCCCATTCTGGGTATCTTCTATTGTTACGCAAATATCTTCAATTGTGATTTTCATTCGCGAGAAATCTAATACGAAGCGCGAGGAAGCGCGATTTCTCCGTTACCGACGAAACGCGAGTATCGAGGCTCATAATTGCTCATAATTGCATCATATCGCTCGTTTGAGGAAGCGATATCTTCGTTGAAAATCGGGGAACACGGGGTTTTACCATTATTGTTCCCTTATCAATTGTTGCACAGCCATCTAGCTTACACGTCTTTGTTTTTTAACATTACTCTCGGACAAAAATCTTACAATTTTGTAGCTTAGAATTTGACGTTATCCTCCGACAGATTAAAAACAACAAGGAGCATCTTATTGTCGAGTAATGTATCGATTGCCAGGGTAGGTATCTCTAATTACAATACATTACTTGATTTTACGTTGCTCCTGCTTGGACACGAAATACTCCACGATAGCTTCCTGCGGATCCGTCGTAATGACAGCTCTCTGCACCAAACTCTTCGATCCATTCCGCTCAGTGGCCATGCTTTTCCGATCGAAGTACCTTTCGCTAACTGTAATTTTCGACGAACGCGCGCGATCAATGTCCACACGCTTGGAAAGGAGTCTCGTCGGAGAGGAAGCGCACTTGCCGCACGCGATTGATCGATCAAACAAATTGAATACAGTCGCGCACGCATACACTCGCGAAAAAGCGGTGGCTCCTATGAGATGAAGATTCTCCATTGCACAATGTGCAGGTGGAAGATACTGTTTCCGAGGATGAAAATAAAAATATACGAATATATTAATATTTATTGTATAAATTAGACCGTAAATAATACAAATCTCTCTCTCTCTCTCTCTCTCAGTTGCTACTTATGTAAAGAATAAGAAATAATAACACAACAAAAGAAACGAAACCGTAAAGCTCGAGGAACAAATAGTATTTCGTAAAAACACGAATATGATTTTTAAAACTTGCTCTTTTTTTAAGAAGTCATTTTTGGTGGTCTTTGTCTTTTCTTTTTTTTTTTTTTTTTTTTTTTAATAAGTCGATACTATAATCTCGCTCGTATATTATTTCTACTGCAATTTATCGTAAAAGGAAGAAAATTCAGTTGCACAGAACGATGCTCAAGGTCTCATCGAAGATTCTTGAATCAAGGGATGCGTTGGTCACAACATCACAGGAGGAAAGCTGAGGTGGGCGTTGTTGAAAATAACAAATCGGACTTTATTAATATCGTACACTTTTTACAAGACGTCAACAAATTCATCGGAGGAAAGCGCGACTACGAGATAACGCACGTGGAGGATCAGGCTGGGGAGAGGGTGAGCGGGAGTGAGGGAGGAGAAAGAGGAAGGACACGGTTGTCGGGGACGATAAATGCCTGCGGAGCGCTTACGAGTGGACTTCCTGACCGAGCAGAGAAAGTTGCTTGAGCAACTGTTTGGCGTTGATAAAGGACGTCGAGCCGTAGATCACCCGTTTGTTCACACCGGCGCCGCTGCGTTGCTTCACGTAGTCCACCAGGTTTTGGTACTCTATGTAGTTGCCGCCGCCCACCACAAATACGATCACCTCCTGGAACGTCGGCCGGTTCTTCGGCATCTGCTCGGTGTGCTTGAGCTGCTTCGGGTCCAGGTAGCAGTAGTCCTCGGTGCGGGAGGACTGCTTGGATTCCATCAGCTCGTCCACAATCTTGGTGACGGGCAGGTTGTGCTTCTTCACCACCAGATTCTTTACACCCTCCATGACGAAGGAGGAGCCCTGGTTCATCAACTTGGAGAACATACTGACCGTCTTGGTGCCGCCGCCCTCGTAGCTGCTCTGAATCTCGGCTATTCTGGTGTAGCTGCGCAGCCTCTTCAGGTAGATCAACGGATTCAAGTCGCAGCCGGCTGCAGTCAGAGCAGCCTCCAGCTTGCCGTAGTCAGCGTCAGACATATTCGTACAGATATAATAAATAATAGCGAGACGGAGCTTGTCCTCGGACGTGCCGCAGTCCGGGTCGCCGATAGTCTCCAGCACGCTCCTGTCGAGCGTCTGCTTGCTCATGATCTTTTCCTCCAGCTCGAAGAAAGTGTCCAGCCGCCTCGACTTAATGGCGTTCAGGATACCGGTGGCCACCGACGTGTGCATGTCTATCAGGCGCTTCATCTCGAGCAGCTGCGGCAACGAGTTCACCGCGCTCGTCAAGCGCGCCGTGTTGTTCGACACCATGGACAACGCCACCTCGCTCTCGTTGTCGATGCCCATGGAAGACTTGAGCTTCTTCACGTCCTCCTCGAAAGTGCGATACTGCTCCAGCTCCTCCTGTATCGCCTCGGCTACTCTGGGGAACGGGCTGCCCTTGTGCTCGCACCAGAAACGGTCCCTGCTGTCCAACTCGTAGGCGCGCGTCTTGGAGCGCGCCCCACCAGCGGGAGACCGTCCGACGTTCTCCTCGACGACTAACCGATTCAGTGCCATCTCCAAGACATCGTGCGCCAGTGCTTGGTACGTCCATGTGTGATGCAGCGGCGTGGCCATGTCGACGTTGCGATCCAGCACAATGAGCAGGGGTCGCTGAAAACTGTAGTGGCCGGTAGCGCTTACCTCGCCCTCGAACAAGTTGTTCCGCGCGTCCCACACGTTCTCGCGGAGCTTCTTGTCGATCATTTTGGCGACCATCTCGGCGGCGTTGCCGCGTGGACAGCGGATAATGGGCACGGTGCCGAGGGTGACGAACACCGAAAACAAACAGTCCACGATGATGTCCATCACGGACTCCATCTCGCTGTCCTTGACGTCGCCGCGGTTGATCGCATGGTAGGATATCACATCGCTGTTCTGATGGCGCAGGATGAACAGGTCGTCCTCCAAGGTAATGAAGTTCAGGTACTGGTCGAATATCTTGTGGATACTGGAGACTACGCCGCCGAGAAGCGCCGCGGCTGCCAGGTCCTCCATCTTGTGCCGTGAGATCGGCGAGATAAAGTTCAAGTGGTAGATGTCGTAGAGGCTGTTCTGCAGGTCCTGACTGATCCTGCCTAGATTCTCGTCCGTGGGCGCGCAGAAGTAGATCGCCGGTACCTCGGGAATGGAGTCTCGGTCGGAATGCAGCTGCATGTGCAATGTGACGCCGAGCTCGCGCAGCTCCTTCACGGAGATGAGCGGCGATATGATGTCCTGGCCGAGGCGGTCGTAGATGAGGATCTTCCAGGTCGGCACCGCGTCCTCGAGCCGCGACTCCGGCTGATTCAGATTCAGCATCTGCTTGAGCGCGTTTATCTGCAAGTCGCGTAGGTTCACCATGGTTAGACCTAGTGGAGACCTAACCTCTCTGTAGCGTGTTCAATTCCCCTGGGATTCACACAGCGGTACAGCCAGCGATGGTCTTGCGCCGTCGAGTTATGTTGCTCGTGGACACCGCACTGCGTACCTTGAAAGTGCTCCCGCTGTCACATGGAGCGCAGCGCAAACGTCGAAATGTTCAGAAATCTGTTGACATTCCAACCTCGCACTTGGAGTTGTCAAACCGAGCGGAGACGCAGGAAGGAACGAATGTGTCACGCTGGCGTTTTCGGTCGATACGCGTTATCTCTGCCGGCTAGGGAGTGACTTTATCAGCGTTTGGGCGTTCGAGCACTAAGTAGCTCAATAATATCATCGAATGAATCATCCGACATTATGTTATGATTAGTTGACATGATTTAAAAAGAAACTGTGTGCGAACATGTATCCTGCTGCTGAATAATAAGAAAATTTCCTTTGATCTGTTGTTGAACTGTACCATCTAGAAAACCTAACTTTAACTTGTTGTTGAACAGTCAAGTCTTTGAAGGTAACAATTCCTCTAATTTACTGCGAATTTGTACTACAATTTGGAATCTTTGTTAAAAGACTGATTGTGATAGAAATCTTGGAATATTAAAGTTTGATGAAGCGTTTGATATGTTATTGGGTTGTACTACTTCGATTTTTCAGCAGAAATAGTGGCGACTCGTAGCGGAGACTTTCAAACTAATATTGGTCCCGTGGCATTTTTTAATTCGACGTTACTAGATGACGCCAGGCAGCCCATTAGCGCCTTAAAATAACAGGTTTAGTAAAAAAAAAATAACGTATAAAGCCAGCGGCACACGGTGCTTGTGTTCGTGCTGGATTGCTTGCTGGATGAAAATACTGCGTTCTGATTGGTACATTTCCGAAGATGGATGGAAATGCACCAATCAGAACGCAGTATTTTCATTCAGGAAGCAATCCAGCACGAAAACAAGCACCGTGTGCCGCTTTAAAGGAGTCTTTTGTGTTAGACCCATTATTTTCATAAATTCCGAGGTCTCCATTATGAGTCGCCACCGTCGTCACCCACAAGAATCGAAGTCGTAATATAATTCAACGGCAAATCAATGGATCATTTAATCTGCTATACTGTGAAAAATAAGCAGAATTCAAGAACAATTTAAAGACAAATTTTACTCCTTTAAATAATTTAAATGCTACTTACGTGTGATTTTTTATTTAGGTGATATGTCAAACTTTATCAAACATTTTTATATTTGACGAATCTTCATTTATATTCGGGTAATAACATAAGAATAGTTAAACATAAAATTTGAAAATATATTTGTAATCTAAAGAATTCGAACTCTAAAATGCTTCTAGACTTATTTCATTATTATTATTATTATTATGTTCGAAATTATAGCGTGTTGAATTTTGTTTTACGTTAAAAATTTTAATTAGATACACGCGGTTTTGAAACAATACATATAATATAGCAATATTCATTTTACTGAAAAATATAACGTAACAATTGATGACAGCGATTTCTTTTACAAAGAAAAGAATAAAAATTAAAACAATAGTTCTTTTTGCTCGTAATTCTTATTTCGACATATATTAATTGTTGTAGAATCGTTGTACAAATAAGTATTTTGCACGACCGTATATTTCAAAAATTTCAGTTGTAAAACAGAAAATTTATTTAAGTGGCAATAAATATTTCGCACTAAATACAGACATAAATTTTTCAGAAATATTCACGTAACTGGCACGTACTCATGCATGAACACAACGCTACTTCGACTGTATAGAGAAACGGCTTATAAAAAACATTCACATTTTGTAGAGGTTATCGAGCGGAACAACGTTGGAGGGTAACAGTTTGAGCTTCATCTGTGCTGCGAATGAGTAACAGCGATGAAGATATTGTTGAACCGAGATCGATATTTCGCGATACGAGAAGTTTTGTATGATGTTTCGCCATAATTCGCAATCCTACAAATGTGCACCCACAGACATAATTTGTCTGTTCTTTGTAGCTGCACTGTTGAACTGGTGCAATAAGTTAAAACGAGACAAATATCTCTAGCTTATTGCACCAGTTCAGTAGTGCAGCTACAAAGAACAGACCATATATCTAAACTAAAATATATCTAAACTGCATGTTCGAGAAGAGTGGAAAAGTAGAGCCAACATAGAAAAGGATATACTCTGCTTTGTGTCTATGCGTTCTCTCCCGCACACGTGATGAACGGAGTGTAAGGAGAGTGTAGTTGCGATAGTACATCGCAACTGCCTCTTCTCTTTCCCCTTCCATCGTGTGTGTGAGAGAGAACACACGAGCATAAAACAGGATGCATCCTTTTCTATGTAGCTCCATCCCTATTCCTAAAATTTGGGAGCAGGCGTAGTCTATGGTCTGTTCTTTTTAGCTGCACTACTGAACTGGTGCAATAAGTTAAAATGAGAAAAAATATAGTTGTCTCATTCTAACTTATTGCACTAGTTCCGCAGTGCAGCTGAAAAGAACAGACTAGATACACGATATCCATAGGTGCATCCAATACGCTAAGCGAGCGCTTGCATTTGATTGGTACATTCCTCTAGATCTAAAACTATGCACTAATCAGAAGCAAGAATTCAGTAAGCGCTGCAGCATCGGATACATCCTGTGAAGTTGGCTTTACGACTCCATAACTGTGCATTGCATTGTGATTCCGGACTTGTCCACCGTGGCGCTCTATGCGCGCGTCTAGAAGCTGTCTCTATCACGCGCGACGATTGGTGATTTTTCGACGGCCAACCGACGACGAAATAACAGTGACCAATCAGGAAGGACGTTACATCATAGTGGGGTACAAAGGTATGTCCGGCCATTTTATGTTGGATATCTGTTCCGCGTAGACAGTCTTGCTCGCATGTTTTCACTTGTAAGACCGAATCTGGTCATAACATCGTGAGACGCGCTTACATCGTGAGATTTCCAGAGCGTAGTAATTACGTGTGAATAGTTGAAGGTGGTGCCGTTACGATAAAAACGTGATCGGTCAAGTGGGAAGCCACGACCGTGCATTCGGGCGGCGATTCACGAGAGAGAGACGACAACGGCGACAACGGTATTTCCAGATGCGTTCTAGACGTTACCGCGACCGTTTGTGTTTCGATCGCGTACGACAGCCGTGATAAGTGGTGTAATGTGTCCTGCGATTATGTATTCTTAATCGTGAGAGTGCGGTGAATTAACGAGCGAGAGAGAGAGAGAGAGAGAGATAGATAAAGATAGAGGGTGTATGATTGTGTGTGTATGTGTGAGTGAGGGAGTGAGTGAGTGAGTGTGTGTGATTGAGAGAGAGAGAGAGAGAGAGAGAGTAGAGAGTAGTGAAGACCGTGCAAAAGAGAGAGTGAGGGAACGAGAAAGAAGAAAAGCAGAAGAGGAGGAGGAGAGAAGAGCGAGCGAGATCGATAAGTGTTTCTCATCGTGCGAATGCCGTGCAGTCGAGCTCGTTTATAGGTGAGTCTCTCCAGAAGCACTAGGATAATATTACATAAACGCGCACACAGAGCGATATAATTCGTCTTTTCCGCCCGGTTTTTCCATCTGCGACGAACGGCGAGGCCGGGCCGAGCGAGCCGCTGCATCGCTCAAGTACGTGTCTGAATGTCGTCACTTTCGCCCTAGATTACGTCTCGGCACGGCGAAAGTGTGCTTTTTCGGCAGACGACCGTCGCCGCGAATTCGCGACGTTGCGTTTCACACCGTCTGCTCTGTGCGCATACGACAATATTTGTGCAGTCCGCGTTGCACTGCCCTGACGATTTTCCTCGTTATTGGTGAGTTATCGAGAGCGAGATACTGTTTATATTTTGTCCATCGTGCTCTCACAAATATTTCAACGTTTCAGCGGTCCCGCGATTATCGATTGCGTGCGTTTTTCTTTTTATAATTATCCTGCGAGATATATTTCGCTTATGTAAGTAGTTCAAATCCGCGAGGTCTTTGGTCCGTACTGAACGATACGTTCCAACTTTTGTCGGAAAAAAAGATAAATTTCTAGCCGCACGTGATCTTGAAGAATCTCGTTAGCAATCCCCCATAGAGTTATAAGTTATTTCTAGTATAAGTTCAATAGAAGTTATTTTTAAATGCTTTAGCGTTAAAACGTTATAGCGTGTTATCTCTTTCGATAAAAGAGCAACTCAGGTAGACTCACACAACGGCCCGATCGGCATTCCGGTATTTTTCCTTTCCCCTTTTTCATTTTCTTCCAAGACACAATTTTACTGTCGTAAATCCTCGAAGGAATTCTAAGTAGAAATTCGTCCTTTCGGAAACTTTCCACAAAAGAAACAGACCCCTTTTCTTTTTTTCTTTTCTTGTGAGAGAAATAATTGCGAAGGTATGCGACCTCGGAGATAACCGTGACTAACCGACTGCTACAAACATGTTATATCTAGCTGAAACCATTTCGTAGGAAAATTTGAGAAACTAAGAAAATATAAGAAATTTCACGGCCGTCCTTTTAAACTGAAGCAAATATTTCTTTCCTTTCAGGCGAAGCAGGTATATAACGCAAAAAGGAGAGAAAGAATATGTATACTAAATAGCGTAGAACAGAAACGGCACGGCCGAAAGCGTCGACTGCATTCGGCAGAGAAAACTGCTCTACAGCTGTTGTAAAAAATTCGTGAATCGGATTAGTATACGCTGTTGGATTTAACCGAGATTAAGATGCGCGCATCGTGTTACAACCGTAGTCTAAATTCTTCTTCATTTAATTCTTCTTTTATCAAGATCAGTCGCACCGTTTACATGGTGATGACTCATCAAAATAGCATCGATAAAATCCGAGATGAGTATCTTATCTCTGTCCGGTCTTACGATAAACCGCTCATTAATATGCTTACTGTAGGTCCGTTCTTTCTCGAAAGACTTTTGAACTAAGTTGCACCGAAATAGATATATTTATTCTCTCATTCTAACTCATTGCACTAGTGTGCATCAGTTCAAAAGTTGTTCGAAAAGAAACAGTCCGACGGGAAATCATATTAACGATGCACCGGATTGACTCACAAGACTTTACAACAGCTGGCATCAGTTTTCTCCATTGAAGAAAGAAAAAATTTTGACCCATTAGTTCCGCAGAGAAAGGACAAAGGCTTTTCGTAGTACCTTGACCTGGTAGTACCTCTTGCATCCTTCGCAATATAATAGACAATAGAAGAAAAACAGATAAAAAGCACGTAGGGTCGTAAAACCCAAATCGTAGAAATGTGTCCTCGTTGAGGACATTCAGAATAAAGTTAAGCTTTGAATGTCAGAAAGACGATGATTAACGAAGATAGCAGTGAGCGTCGTGTGAATATTTCATAGTATAGTCCACGTTCGCGCATCTGAAAGTCCAAAAGGAATTCCAAGTTTCGGCAGATCCGCTTATTATTCGCTAATGTACAAACGATTCCCTTCGTTTTGCACAAAAGTCGAAGTTTCTCCCTGCTCGTTGTTCTCTTCAAATCGAAGACGTAGAGAAATAATTTTCTTATATAATAGCACGAGCACGTTTCTCTTTTGTGTTACAGTTCTCTGTATTCTTGCCTTTTATCAAGATTAGTACTCGTACTGCTGTTTATTGGTGGTGATTCGTCAAAATGACGTCGACAAAATCCAAGGAAATCGCGGATGAGTACATCTCATCTCTGTCCGATCTTACGATCAACAGTAAACCGCTCATTAACATGCTTACTATGTTGGCGGAAGATAATATTGACCACGCGCCAGCGATAGTACAAGCTGTTGAGACTCACTTGCAAAAGGTAATTACTTGTATTACCTATATATAGTTGTTATATATCTAATAATATATATATATATATATAATAATTCTTTTTGTCGGGTACTTAATATTATATAACTTTACATCTACTTGGATTTTTCTAAATAGTATCATAATTTTTCAGAAACATACAGACAAGATTACAATGTGATGTGTATATAATTATTTGTGCATTTTTTTAAGAATATCATAATGATTCTATTAATGTATATTTTCGTGTATAAAATGCTTAAAAATTATTGTATTTCTTAACAGCTACTCATTTTTTTACAATTTTATGATGAATTTTTTCTAATAAAATTGTTATTGTTATAACATTTAATTCTTTATTCAATTGGCAATTAATCCATAGATGAAACCTGTTTAAACAAAGATATCTGCTATTAATAAATTACTCTTTAAATCGTAAATTTATTCTTAAGATTAATTGTAAACTTGTACATTGTAAATTAAATTTAGTAATATCTTAATTTCTTATTAAATATTCATGTAATTAAACTTTTTATCAAGTTGTTTTAGCAAGTAGTACCAAAGAAAAATCGACATCAGATTTGGAAATAAATATGTAACTGGAGAGAAATATAATGTATTTATAATAAAAATATAGTTTCGGAACATGAAGTACATATACTAGATGTGATTCATGAATTTTTCCTCTGCATGTAGTAGATTAAATGTATGTCTAGCAAGCAGCAAAATAACTTTATTATATTCCTCCAGGTGAGAAGTGATATTAAGTTACCAGTTCTCTATCTCATCGACTCGATTGTCAAGAATGTGAATGGAGACTACCTGAATCTCTTTACACAAAATATAGTAAACACGTTCTGCGGAGTTTTTGAAAAGGTAATTCTTTTTTTACAGTTCTTACGAGATCTTTAAAGACCATTCTTCTTCACGGGTTGTGTCGTTGACCGGGAGTAACCTTTAATTTCTATCTATACACAGTACAATAGGACTATTCAACTCTAGGGTCTCTTTACAGTAATTCATACGGAAATATTCCATATATAGAGAGTTTGTCCGCTACTTTATATTTCACGATGACATAAGATAATTGTTTGATCAATATAACATCACTGACGCGTCTCTTCTGAAAGGCTTCATACATTCTATACATGAATTAGCCAGTTCTTTATCTCAGCTATGACGTCTCGAATTCTATGTCCGTGTGTGGAAATCGTAATGAGTTTTGAATAGAAGAAGTTATTACCAAATGCGTGAAAAAAATTTAGAAAATATCGAAAATACTTTTGAATTGTGAAAAAAATGTGTGCCCTACGAAACTCTTACGGCTATTATCGTTATAACATAAAATTATATATAAATATAATTATATAAAATATAATAATATATAAAATAAAATTATATATAAATAAAATAAAATTATCATCAGGTGGACGAGAATACAAGAGCCAGCATGTGGAAATTGCGACAAACTTGGAACGACGTATTTCCACCAAAAAAGTTATTTTCATTAGATGTGCGGGTACAAAGTATCGATCCCGCATGGCCAATCACTGCCCCTTCTAGTGGTATCTCTTCCGGATCTATTCACGTTAATCCACGATTCCTTTCAATGGTAAGCTGAATGCACCTGTATCCGATGCGAATGCATTTCAAACGCTTTTTCGTTACGGCATAATGTCTAAGACAACATAAATATTTCCAGCCTCAACAAGCTGCAACCTCGATTGTGCAGCCGATTGTGCCACCTGTTAAATTACCACCGGGACAGCCGGTAACAACAACGGAAGCGGTCATGCGTGAACAACTGCTGAACAAGCAACGAGAGTTATTGGAACTGCAGAAAAAGAAGATTGAGCTGGAATTGTTGCAAGCTAAAGCAAGTTTAGAGCAACAACAAAGGCAACTCGATAAACAGGCTGGGAGTTTGAAAACAGAATTGGTAAATTTATTCTTAAATACATGTAAATTGATATAAATTAAAATCTTCATACATAGTTCCCTTTGCTTTACATAACATTGATTTTTATAGTAATTATATATTCTAGTATACGTATATAATCATATAGTCAACATGCTTAGAAATACCAGAGTTATTAAAAACAATGTCCGGAGTTTATGGAAAATATCAGAGTTTTTAACAATATTCTTTTGCATTCATAGTGTTAGGAACAATCTATAATAACAGTTTTTGAAAATAATCTGTGACATTTATATTTACCGTTCACGGACAAAATAGTATTCTTTTGCGTACAAAATAACAACAAAAGCTTCAATTTTAAGAGAACATTAATATATACATATTAAATTATATATATATATATATATATACATATATATATATATATTTAAAACTCGTGTGTGTTATCTCGTATTATAAACTCGTGTTACATATGAACAATTAAATAGAAATAAAAATAACTTTTTTATTATGTCGAGTTAAATGTGCCATTTTCGAACTTGAAATATCATTAGCACTAATATTCTGATGTGTTTTGTCGTTAATTTTTAGCATACTGTTATCTCATACCATCCTTTTCTCCTTGGGAAGGCAGTAATTTAACATTTTTTTATTACATTAGGTTACACCTACAACACAAACTACAACGACAAAAGAATCAACAGTGCAAGAGAAACCTGTTGCACCTGTAGTGCCAAATCAAACGACGAAACAAGTAGCAAAACAGGTATTTACATATATACTTGTCACTGTCAATCGCTCGCAAATATTGCGGTGTATTGAAGTATGAAACATACTTGACCAATCTTCGATGTACTTGAAATACTAATAACTGTTTTATTTATTTCATTAGTTCCCCGCGGCAGCTGCGTCGCTTTTAAAGAATGCAGGAGCGAACACCGGGCCACGAATCGCACCAGCTAGTAGTATAGCAGTAGCGTCAGCTAAACCAGTATCACGAGATCCACGTTTGAAATCCACTCCTGTTCAGGATGTGGCAGTGCCAACTGTAGATCCTCGGCAACGCGTGGGTACGACCAGCCCGAAGGAATCGCGGGGTGAAGGTCTAACGCAGTCAGCGCCAAATATAAATAATGTACTTTCAAACCAATTAAAACAGCAGTTACTTTCGAAACCGGCTGTAACTAGCACTACCAACAAGCCTTCGATAAATTTCGCCGGCTCCGATACCCCGGCGACAAACAATAATAATAATAATGCTAATACGAACGTGAATAATAATAATAAAAATTTCAGTGGTAACACAAATAAAGATGCTGTCTCGCATCGAACAAGTCAAAAGAAAGACCCTCGATTGTCTAGTAATAGTAGCGGTATCCTAAACGGTAATAGCTCCAAAAATACCCAAAGTCTATCGGTTGGTAGTAATAGCTCACCGTTACCATTGTCAGCGAGCAATAGAGGAAGTGGAGGCAACGACTCCAAATCGAAAGACTCGAAGAGCTCGAAAGATTCGCGCAGCTCTTCATCGTCTTCGACAGCTGACAAATCTTCCACTTCCTCGAAATCCTCGCATAGGAAAGTAGGCAACAAGTCGCGATCCAAACAGCCACAGTCAGGAACAAGTAAGACTACAAAACTCGACAGAGATTCGAGTCCGATTAGGTCCAAATCTCGCGAGAAAGACAGCGAAGACAACTCACCGTCGTCCTCACGCACCTCTCCACAATCATCCTCCTTCCAAGTGTCTAAAAACCGCAAGAAGAACACGAAATCCCGCAAGCGTAGTCCAAGCCCTCCGTATAGAATCCCCAGGCGTAACGATGCGAAATCGAGCTCAAGCTTAAACAGTTCCGGCGGTGTTACCGAGGAGGAACAATCTGGTTCGCTCATAGTATCTCCTCCTCATCCACCCACATTCAAAGAAATCAGACCGAATGCTAGACAGAGAAATTATGTAAGGCGAAATAAAGACGGCAGTCTTAGTCCGGAACATTCTCCAGCCAGTGCTGGAAATGCTCAGATCGCTGCCGAACCAACATTGGAGTCGTCTAGCAAAGACGAGGATCTCAGAGCGCCGCTGTCACTTCCTGGTACCGCTGTTTCCGTACAAAGTAAGTCAACAGCGTTTGGCAGCATGTATTCATATGTAGTAATATACTGTGTAACATTACTTATAAGAATCTCTCTATTATCAGACACACATATTTTAATCATGCATGCGAGAACCGATCGATCAATCTCCACATGTATTTTCTTTAGTTTACTGCTAAAAATACCGCCTTGAATATTTTTTTCGCAAAGGTGACTACAATGTTTGCATCGTCTCTGGTAGCAATTGTAAGACTGTAACAGGTGAACTCTTAAAAGAAAAGTATCTCTCTATCTTTTTGTGTGCGGAAACTTGTCTCTATTTCTATTTCTTTCGCTCATATACGACTTTGCTCATTCTGAGAGGCAATCTGTTAACGTGGATTCTCAAAGTACAATTCTAAAGCGTAATTGTAGAAATATATGACGAAACGGTAATATTAAGCTAATTTGTAATAAGTTGGTCTCGTTCAGCTTGTTTTACCTGATCTTTTCTTTTGCAGAAGAGGATTTAGATCTACGGGTGTTACCATCTGTTAACACCAACAAGAGGCAAAGTACTGACGCAGAGGTAACTGCCTCTAAAAAAATGAAGACTGAAAAATTCGATGCGTAAGTAACAGATTTGCTGTTGTGCAGAATTTCCCAGACTCCCCTGTTGAGCCTCGTACCTGACTTTAATTAACCTGACGATTAACGCACTTGGTTTTGTCTTTGCAGTTTATTCGGAAATGAGGATGTTGACTTACGCACTCTGACACATCCTAAGGCCGGCCGACCTCCGACGCCTCCGCCGCCTGTAATTTCTGGGGAGGACGGGAAAGACGGCTGGGCGAAGTTAAAGACACCGACGAAGAATGAAAGAGACAAGCAGGCTAACAATGCCGATGATAAGCGCGAGAGAGACCGCAACAGAGACAGACTAGGACGTCTCAGGCTGTACAATAAGCTGCCGGACGATCCGAAGGAAAGAAGAAGGACTTTGTCGAACGAGGAGCAAGACGTCAGACCGACTCGTAGAAGCCGGGAGAATGATAAGCCTGAGATGAGAACCAACGAGGACAGGAACATCGAAATAATAATGAAGCAGGCGGCCGAGCAGCTGAACCAAGGCTCGATCACCAAGATACAATATAACACTCTGATACAAGAAGTGTTGCACATGAGCGAGGACCGCAAGCTGCGGGCTGCGCAGCGCAAGGAGAAGGAGAGCGGCACCATAGTATGGGAAAAGAGTGTCAACATGGATATTCCTGGATCGGGAGATCGCGCTGCTGCGATGCATCAGCGGAAGTCTCTTAGTCCGTCCAACGACAAAGAGGTGATACGGAACAAGGAACACCCTATGCCGCGGAATCCGAACGGTCCCAGATGGCAGAATCAACCTTGGCAGCAGCCATGGGCGCACCCACCGGGCCCGCCGTACGGTGGGCCGCAAGGACACTTCAATTCGGACCTCAGACCAGTCGCTCCTTGGCAAAATCCGCGACACTTCGGACCGATGAGACCAGACTACCAGTATCACGGCTTCAACCACAACATGGGACCCAGTCCGCGCTTAGGTATGATGGGCCCGATGGGTCCTAACGGTCCGATCATGTCGAATCTCCTGCCGAACGGTCCGATCGGCCCGATGGGCATACCGAATCCTCCCATGTCGATAGGATGTCATCCCGCGATGATGATGAACAACGGACCGATGAGTAATCTCATGACGAACCCGAATATGCCGCCCATGTCATCCGGTAGGAACGTGTCGCCGAACGCCGCGTCCAAGTACGATCTCGAAGACAACGATCATCAGAACGCTTACGGTAACGCGTTGATGAAGAACCAGGGGTCGCACAGTCGCGAATTACCGGCGCCCGATCCGAAGTTGCTGACGGAGATCTCGAGGGACACCATGAAGTCTATCAACATCGATAATATACCACGGGAGATTAGGTACTACGGGCAAACGGGCGTGGTCTTTATGAACTGGGATGATCCAAGGGAGATCGGCTTCCAAGATGGCATAAGAAGAATATTGATCGACGAGAAGGACACCATAACTTGCGCGTTCAACGACCAGTACAAGGAATTTATCTACGAAGGAGAGGTTCATAGGTACGAATATATACAATATACATGTTGAGGTAGCTTGAATCGGAAACATCCCGGACGGCTGGAGAGAATAACACGAGAATTTGCGTCTTTTCTAGAATCAAATTGGGCGCACCCACACGAGAATTGTATATCGACGACCGCTGGTACGAGTGTTACTTCGGCGGCATGCCGATAACGATTGAACTTGGTGGTAAGAAGGTCAGCGTGAAGTTGGAGGGCCCACCACCGCAAGTGAAGATCGGCTCAGTGAAGAGGACGGACCTGGTGGTCGCTAAGATCAATCTCATCATCAACGCACGGAATATGGTACCGGTGTTCTTGGACGCGAAGCCGCAAATGTAAGTGTACTCTTCTCGCGCTATGTGCGAATCTAACTCTTAAATCTAATGCTTGAATATGAATTCATCAGCTGATACGTCTCGTATCGTGTAATTACGCATTCCATTTCACCCGTTTGCAGATTTGAGATTGAAGGAAAGCCTCACACGCTCGAATTTACGGACGCGTTGCAAACCGTCCTCCTAAACGGCCGGCCATTCAAAGTTGAATTCGGAGGATTACCGAAACCCATTATCGTCAGAGACAAGAAGCATTTTATTCGATTCTCAGTATTGCCAAGAGGTGTTCGTGCTGGTTATGTTAAGATCACCGGGATGAGAGGCGAGGGTCCTATCGACTCGCCACCGGCCACACCTTTGCAGGCGCTGAAACCTAAAGTAGATTCTACCCCGACTCCGAGCCAGTTGCCCGCTGTAGAACCTGAATCCACATCGCAAGACGGTTCAGACCGCACATCACCGCCAAAGCCAGGTAAGAATGGAAATTTTATCCATCAAGAAAGATCCTCCTAATTATTGTTGTAACCATATTGTAAATCACGATGTTAGAAGCAAAAAACCGTGTGAATTTTTCCCTCGCGATTACTACTGAAAACTTTATTCCTCGCTGAACGTGCATTGATTCTCATATCATGTACAACTATCTAATCTTACAGATTTGCAACTGGACATGCTGTCATCGGTTCTGCCATCAGCGATGGCTCCGTCATCCGGCTTGTCTTATCAGGCGGAACCCGCGGAAAATCCGTCTGTATCAGCACCGGCATTGTCGCTCAGCATGAGCGAATTATTCCAAAGACTTGTCGAGACCGGTATTATCGTTCCGAATCTCACGGAACAAAAGAAACCCGAGGAAGAAGAGAAGAAGGAACCTGAGATTACACCTATTACTTTCGACAAGCCCGAGAGTCTTAAGATGTGAGTAATCTAAACAGACAGAAGACTGACTATTTAGTATGCCGGCATTTGAGCGAAGTCGGATTTTGGACATTACAATGCCGACTTCTCTTTTTACAGAAAACAACCAGCTATTTCTACGGCGTTGTACAGCGGTATGCAATGCAGCTCCTGTGGTGCAAGATTTGCTCCTGAACTGGCCACTCGGTATAGTCACCATTTAGATTGGCACTTCAGGCAAAATAGACGTGAACGTGACTCTGCGCGAAAGGCACACTCGCGACCATGGTATTACGACGTTAGCGACTGGACACAATTCGAGGAGATTGAAGATTTGGAGGATAGAGGTATGTGTATTTACACCTTCTTCGATCATCAATCGAATGTTTTGATTATAAGATATTTATTTAGTGTCTAATACAGATAATAGACATCTCTCAGAGTTAATTTTTCACATCTCTCTCGTCTTGGAAAAAGAGCGAGTAACTTAATATAATTAAAAAGCTTAATATAACTAAAGTAATAACTTAACAACTACATGCTGCATTATATGCTGCAAAGCTGTATAAAACATCAATTTCTCTATCATTTATCTGTCCATCTTTAGCGCAAAGTTGGTTCGAGACTGAGAAACAAACGGCGGAGACGGAAGGTGTAGCTAGCGACGATTCGCCACAGGAAACGTTGCAACCCAGCGTACCGACTGGTAGCGACGAGGATTCGCGGTGTCAAGTGTGCCATGATGCATTTGAGCAATTTTATAACGAAGAAAAGGAAGAGTGGCATTTAAGACCGGCGGTTAATTATGAGGAAAAGAATTACCATCCGCTCTGCCTGGAAGATTATAAGGTTGGTCTCTCTCTCTCTTTCTCTCTCTCTCTCTCTCTCTCTCTCTCTCTCTCTCTCTCTCTCTATCCTAATCAATAAGTATATTTTAATTTTACTTGTTGCAGTGATTTCTTTCAATAAAAACTAGTAAAAAATATTTGCTCTTCTATTAAGTCTTCGTCTGTATTGATCACATATAAAGTCGTAATAAGATTTTTTTAGATCGCCGCAAATATTCTAATTTCACAATAATTTCGAAATCAAGTGAAATTTTATCAATTTATTAATCAAATGCTTGAAATAAAAAAATTCTATATTTTGTGTGTAGTATGTATAGTTCGTATTCTATTGTTTTCACTTTTTGCTGAAAAGCGTTGAGAAGAAACCACTGTGCATTAAGTATTACACTTCATTAACGAAATTTCCATTTGTTGCATTCTTGCAAAAATAGGAAAAGAATCTAGCGGTACGTGATTCTCAATAATTCATACTCACGGCACATATCACCTTTCACGAAACTTCTGTTGTTTGTAGTTTTTGCGCAAGTGTAGAAAATAAGTAATCGTCACACTTACACATCTCCGTTTTCGCAAAATTATTTAGAACAAGTCTGTTCGAGTTGATCGAGCGAGAAAAAATTTCGAATAACACTTGTGCCATTGTAACTATGCTCGGTGTTTGTGTATTACATACACATGTACATAACACACCTGTACATAACGCATGTCTTGTTTTCTTTTATTTCTTCATCGTCTCACTCTGCACGATATGATGAAAAAAAGGGAACGTTTAGGCTCTCGTGCGTCGAAATATAAACAGAATTGGTTCAAGATACATAAAGATACATATATATAATTGTCTTTCCACGCATTACATTAGTATCTCCCTAGCGTAGACATGCAGGCGCAAGACCGATATTTTAAATTTAATCTAAAAAGAAAACTTCTTGTGAGCATTTTTAACAAGTCTTCTTTCTATTCATATTTCATTCTATATTTGTTCCTATTAATATTAACTGCAAACTGGATAGTAAATATAGTTGTAGTTAACATTAATGTTGCCATGTTGTCGATCAGTGTGTTAATAACTTGAATTTATTATATTAAAACTTTAGAGAGTATTGGAAAAGTCAACTTCGGGATTCGAGGAAACGGCTACGGAAATCGAAGAGAGTAAAAAGGAATGTTCGGAAGGAACAACGGCCAAAGAGGAACTTAAACAGGACGAATCCGATGCAGAAACATCGAATAAAGAACTTGAACCTGTGGAAACGTCGCATCAAGAAGAGGAGACTCCTATGCATACTACTGAATTAGAGAGTAAAGAGACACTTTTGAACGCCGAGAGTTCGGAAGCCGCGCAAGATGATGCCGAAAAAACGGAAAAAGCGGCGGAAGAAGTCAACAGTGAGCTGAACACAGACGCAGAGAACACTGAACAAACGTCTGATGCAACTGTGACGAACGAAGAGGAAAAATCTCAGGACGAAAATTCAGTAGTACCGTTCGATAATATCAAGATTAAGGAGGAACCGGTAGATGATATCAGCGAGCAACCCGAGAGCGAATTATTCGAATTCGCTAACGTAGACATTAAAGAGGAGCCTTTGGATCCTGATACAGGTATGTATAATTATCTTACCTTGTGTACTATTGTAAGAGAAAACTTTAAATATATCGTATAAAAGAACTTAATTTCATGTAAAAAACGAGCGATTTTATAAATCATATGTATACGTATCTCTCCATTACAGATCCAGATGGGACTATTATCAATGGACCGGCCACAGTGGATACGACGTACGTCGCGGTGAAGAGTTCCATTGACGGAAATGTGGAATTAGATTCGACACCGGCAACTATTCCCGCGACACCGCCACGAATCAAGATCAACATCACCAAGCCACTGAGCACTAATAAGGAGCCGGAAGAGAAAGAAAAGGTGACGGCGCCTGAAACACCGGCCGAGGAAAATGCGAAGCCTTTGGTGCCAGCTTCCGTTAAACCGAGCTTACGCGGTAGGAAGCTATCGAATTTACCCCCTGTGGAGAAAGGACAAGAACTGTCGGGACTCTGTAGTATAATGTAAATACGCAAGTATGTGTATATAAAGTTTCAAAATGCGCGTCTGTGAAAAATAAAAACTAAAACGTGTTAAGATTTATACACTTTTAAGGTGTAGTGTCAAGAATTCCTATATCGCAGTTTTATGCAGCTTGTACGATATGATGTATATTTCAGTAGTGAAAAGATTGCAATATTTTTCCCCTAATGAGTAGTTTCACAATGCATCCAATATTAAACTACTGAAAAATTATTCAACAGATTGTAACGAATACGGATGCATTGCGAAATTCATTTAACACTCATTCTTTCTGCAACTGTGTTTATAAAATGTGCTTTCTACTTTTTTTTTTTTTTAATATACTAGTCTCTGTACTTTCTTTTTATCTTATGCAATAGTTCTACCCTTGTTTCGCTAAATGTACACAAAATTTTACTTACAAATTTAAGATTGCTTGAATTAGGATCCGCCTTCACCCGCCTTTTATGCACGTACTGGAGCAATCGTATCGTACAAGTTAAAAATGTGTAAAATATGCGTGATGCATGCAAATGTAAATGTATCAGGAAATCTTGATAGCGCAGAAAGAAAAATGTGTACATAACTAACACAATGTAGGAAGATATAATATCATAGCATTCCGAATGTTGTATGTTCACTTGTTTTTAGCTGCACTTTCTGCATTTTTAGTATTACGTGTGTATATATATGTACTCTGACATATGTGTATGTACATGAATACGTATACGTATGGATGATGATATACATAATTACTGAAGAAAGATTTTCAGAAAGTGCAGTTAAAAAGAAGATTTATCGAATGCAATTATTCTTCTTGAGGACATTGCAGACATTGCAAGTCCAACAATGACGGCATAAAGCGTCCAGGTCACAGGACTCATTACGAGTTTCATACCATTTCTACTTGTATAAAATATGTAGCAAATACTGACAGATTAATATGTCCGATGCGTTCGTATGTAGAGATTACGCACTTCATTTAAAGGTGTACAAATTATGTGATATATATGTATACATATATAACTTCTATTTGTAACATGTAGATATTATATTAGTTAAAAACAATGACGAGGAGATTCTAAGTAAGGAAATATGCTATTAATAGATGAGCATTATTTTGTTGTATAAAAGACTTTGTTTACCATAGGTTTGACTTTCTTTTTCCATTGACACCTTTCTACGAAACCCTTCGGTCTTTATAGCTTCAATACTATTTAGGGGATGGATTTGTATCCACAAATAAAAATACTTGGAACAATAAAGACATTATTAAAAATATTTATCCTTTATGATTATACTCTATCAATACTTGATATTCTAATATTACTATTGTCACAAAAGAGAAAATAGAAGCCATCAAAGGCTGGATTCAATTATGTTTCATCTTTGTCACAAATATTCTTTTTATATTTTCACAATTGAATTTATATATTTGTATAATTCTTTGGTGGCCTTTCTCTTTTTTCTTATTGTGATTTTGCGTCAGTTTTCATTACTTTAATTATTTAGTGTTATCTTTAGTAGCATAATATAGTGTAATCCTTTAATAATAAATAAAGTTATAAAGCAAAAAGTAAACTGTTTTAATAATTTTACTCGGAAATAATATTCTTAAATAATTTGAATATTGAAAGTATCTATACATTTACTATAGAAATATATAGTTAAAAATTACACAATTGAAAAGTCAAACATACAGTTCTCTTCCCAATAAACGTGTACATGTTGAAAGACTGAATAAAAAAAAATATATAAAAATGAAGTTAATAATGTTACCCATAATAGCAAATAGCAAAAGTTGGAATGAAAGTAAGAAAGAATAAAAGTGATTCTCACACATATAATATCTTTAGCAAAATAATTTTTTAGAAAATAATTTCATCATCCCACAATTACGTCATGTTGTATTATGTGTAATGTACTAATTTCGAAAAAGGTGTGTGCACACATCATATGTATGCTGTAGCAGTTTAAAAATTTCTGGAAACTCGCCATTGTTTGTACTTAAAAAATTTCCTTTTAATTCGCTGCATAATTAATATATACAGCCATGTTTTTTTGTTGTTGAGGGGATAAATTAAATAATGCAACAGACCTGAAACCTTTATTCATAGTTTGCAATTGTGAGGCCATCTGGGGAAAGGCACAGTGTCCTTTATATTATTGATCCCCAAGACACATTGCAAAAATCTTTCAAATCCCATTCCAAAACCGCCTGTCGGTGCATTCCCGTATTTACGTAATTCTAAATACCATGAAAGATTCCCCATGGTAGGTAACTTTAGCTTTAATTTCTCATAATCATCTTCGCGAATACTGCCTCCTACCAATTCCCCCACGTCTGGTGCCAGAAGGTCCAGTGCCGCTACCTTTTAAGAAAATGCATAAATATATTTACTCAAAATGCACTTACGAGTCTTTGATATTTCTATATTACTTGTTCTTGAAATGCTGGCTCACCTTAGATGGATCATCTGTACACTCTTTCATGTAAAATGGTTTATTATTTTTTGGCCAGTTTATAACAAAGATTGGTACTCCATTGTTATATTGTACTAAAAATAATTCATGGTCTTTTGAGAATACTTCTCCATACTTGATGGGGCACTCTAATTTACTTGCATGCTCAGTTAGCACATCAAATGCTTCATCGTAAGTTAAACATCCAAATTTTTTATCTAACCATTGCGGTTCAGGAATACCCATTGATTGCCAATCTGAAGCTCCTCTCTCAATCATTCGCTTAGTAACTTCTTTTACTAAAAGCTCAACTTCTTCTATCAACTCTTCAACATTCGTAATAAAAGCTACTTCCGCCTCTAACATATAAAATTCTGATAAATGTAATCTTGATTTACTATTTTCTGCTCTGAATGTAGGCCCAAAAGTGTATACTTTTGTGAGAGCTCTGAAAAAGTTCTAGCAATACATTTTGCATCTGATAATTTGGCAAACAGTTAAAAAATATCATCAATCTTATGTATCAAAGAAGTTAATCACCTTGCCATTGTTTCTAAATGCATCTGTCCGGAAACAGTAAGGTAAGTGGTTGTATTAAAATAAATCTCATCTTCAGACTGGCCTTCCTTTTTCATGCTTTTAAGGATCTCTTTAGACTGTGGCTTGACTAAAAACACTTCACCAGCACCTTCGCAATCATTGGATGTCAAGATTGGTGTATGTATACTTATAAACCCCCTATTTCTTAAATGATCTCCAATTACAGTGGTAGCAAGATCACGTAACCTCAATACACTAGCAAAATTTCGTGTTCTTGGTCTTAGGTGCAGGTATTTTCTGATATATTCTTGGTCATATGTCTTTCTTGGAGCAAAAGGATATTGATCCTCCAGAACATTGCATTTGCCTATCACATGAACATTAACTGCATATAGTTCAGTTTTACCATTAGGAGTTAAAGATAATTCTCCCTCTGCACTGATGCTACTTCCGTAACTTAAATTATCTGGTTTAATGGATTTTGGTATAACGACTTGTAATATTTCACAAGTCGATCCGTCGGAAATGTCAACAAAGACGGTATCCTTCATTTTTCGCAGTGCACGTACCCATCCCTAAATATAGAGACCAACATTTGTAAATGTAAACAAATTAGTCTGATAGAAAACCTATCATAAGTTATAAAGGTGATGATAAAACATCTAAAGTAATGTCACTTTCGTCATTCGTGATTGTCATTGTTCGTTTTAATGTAGTCAAATAAACAACACTGTCTGGAAAATCTGTGAATAAGGGAATCAGAAGGGTTAAGTTTTTTTTTTTCTTTTCTTGGAGTATCAATTAATATATTAATATATGCGAGATCCTAGATACCACAGTCGCCCAAACGACGCCGAAGATACCCGAGAAACGTCATCGATGTTTCAAACATTCTCTGGTCATCTATTACGCGTCTTTTGGGTTCCCATATTGTCCAGAACGTAAAAAGTCTCATAATGGAGTACATCTAACCTGTACTTCCGTACGCTTTCCAACCGCCTGTTTCGACGTCACGTCTGAAATCGTCGAGCATTTGTGTACACCGCACTTAACGATGTCAATTTTAAAAGGATATAATCTCCTGATATAATTCGAGAGCATTTCCGAAGGCAACCCACTCCTGACTTAATTCGTTCGAAAATCGTCTGATCGCACAAAGAAATTCAAAATGGAGTCGTGCGCGAGTAAAGCTTAATGCCGTCACTGCTGTTGCAAATGGCACTTCTCGAAGCGCGCCGACGCGTCACTTCTACTTCGATAATGAGGAATCGCGGGATGACGCGAACCTTAACTTTAAACCGATCTTCTCGAGCCAAGTTTACGTTTCGTACATTTTCTCAATGTTACAACTAACTGATGTTACATGTAACATATACAGTTATAACATAACACGATATACATTTTACAATTATTTACACGATGATATTTTTCAGATACTCCCTCTGTAATAAGAATTTTCTTTCATATTACACATATAATGCTATAATTAAAACTATATATATCATTACTCAATCATTAGCAATGATATCACTGCAATTCTCGAAGGAGAATCGTGAGTGAAATATTTAACAGTCGCGCGCTATAAAACCAGTTTTTATAAAAACCACCTGTCCTGTTCAAATTGCCGATCGTCTGAGAATTAAATATTTCAAACTGTACAATACTTCCTCGAATGCAATCATTCTATCGTCACTTGTTTCCTAAAGTTACAACTCGTTGAATTTCATCCGTTTCTTACGATGGGATGAAATTTTTCTGTTGACTGAAAAGTACTCATGCATGAAATAAAAAAAAGTAATAAAAGTAAAAAGAAAGAAACAATCAGATGTTCTTTTCTTAACCAATGACTAAAAGTACATCACGTTCTCTGCTACTAAATGCATACAGTAATGAGTCAGAGAAACGGAGAGAGAGAGAAAGAGAGAGAGAGAGAGAGAGAGAGAGAGAAAGAGGAGCGAAAAGTAGCGAGAAAAAAACTTAGAGGGCACTACCGTAAAACTCTTCGGCTTGCACATGCGCATGCTTCTTTAACATTGGCTAGAATGAGAAGAGCTTATGCTATCGCTCATGTGTTAGAAAAGTTCCGACAAATTCCAACGACAAGTCGCGTTAGCGCATGTACCGTCGTACCACCTACGATCAGTTGCACATTCGTTGTGCTTCCATGGGATTGTTGGTGTTGCGCTTCCGTTGCTCCGTGTTCTAACTGGCTTCAGTGGTTACGAGTAATCACAGTGTTTGCCTATACAATAGTCGTGCAAGTGCGATAGTCGACACACATCGACGAATTACGCTGTCCGTGTGCAGTGATACGTGATCGATAGTGCATAATAGATCGTGACGAACCGGTAAACTTCATGCCCGCAACGTGCGACGAGCCGTCGTCCGCCTTTCCGTTTAGCAAACCGAGCAACACGCATCGCGTCTACGCAACGGCACGCACGTCGCGGTCTGTGACTGAGAATCCGCAGCACGTGCTGCTTTAACGTCGGCAATTGGCTACTTTTGTTTATCATATAGGCAATCGCGTCGCGATCGCGCATAGTACCTGCGAAAGTAATTAAAGGTAAAGATAAAGCGTCCGTGGAGACCTGCGGAAGAAATGCTCCGAGAGATTCTATGCCCCCTCAATTATTTCCGGATGTTTCCAATGATTGCAGAAAGGTTAGCGATGGGTATCTTTAGCGGTCAGCAATGTTGTCCACAAGCGGTGCAGCACGAGGCGATGGACATCGACGTCCCACAATTCTTTCGCAGAAATTGCAAGCGGTCCTGGGATTATGAGCCGTGCGACGTAGAACCGAAAAGGTTTCGGCGAGGTAGGAAAGAATTAGAAATACTAGGATTAGACAAGGAAAAATTAACAATCACGCGCTCGCCACTTTCTCGCGATCGCGAGCACCACGTCACCTACGCACGAATTTCAAAACAAAGTCGGGACGATTTTCTTTCCCGCTCGTCAATTCATATCTTGTACGTGTATCGTGAAACATACAGAGGCCGCTGCGACACTCATTATATTCAGGCGGGGAATAATTAAAAGGGTATATATAGAGTAGACGAGCTGAAAGCAGTCTTTTAGGAATTCTTTTTCTTAGAGTGGAGAATATTTAGCGAGGAAGTAATCGAACAATTCTTTTTTTCTTTTTTTTTTTTTCTTTAAATGTGTATACTTTCAAATGTTTAATAAGATGTTTAATAAGGTGTTAATTTTTGGTGGTAAATAAGTGCTATGCAACACCATCGACGTTCGTACTCTCTGTAGTTGCTCGCCAGAATTGAAATTGCCATAATTCTGCAAATCTTCATTGAGATAAGAGCAAGATTCACACATTCATTAGTAAAACCTTATGTATTTCAGGGAATGTAAAAAGAAAATTGTTAAATTTTATTACTTCTGTTCACATGTACTCTCTTTAAAACACGACAACAGGGATTTCACTTTAAAGATCTATTTCTCTTACTTAAGAATTACTACCTGCTTATTTTTTACCATTGTCTGGCTTTTGTATGCATGCAGGATGCATAATAAGCAAACTCTCGTTTTTCTGCAAACAATAAATACATACTACTTTTGTACAAGTGAAGAAATTTATTGTTTTATTAATTATAAGTATTATTATATAATAATATAAATGTTATTATATATATAATATTATAATTAATATTATAATAGAAGAAATGTGTACGAATTTTTACAAGCCGATAACAATACTCAGGCACATAAATGGTCGATTTTTTTGCTATGGGTTTGTACATTAACATCTGTGACCACAGAGACTCGCACATCCGATCCTGACATTAAATTTATTTTGAAGCTTGAGGCATCCTGCGACCTTCATATTACAGATCAATGGTATGTAACGGGAAGTATGGATGCTAATAGTTTTTTTCAGAAATTAATAATACTTTATAGTAAGTTAGATATTTTTACTGTTAAACTACTATCTGCTGACCAAATCAATGATATAGGGAATAATTAGCAAAATCAGTTGATAATAAGGGTGCTCCCTTCTAGAAACAGGTAACGGCCACATTCACTATGAAACGGAAAACACGAAGACTTACACAATGGACCAGATGCAAGACCCACCGTCGTCGGTATATTTAAGTACCACAGGCCATAATTACCACTCCTATTTCTTGCCCGTCGATAAATCTAGTTCAATAAGTGACTCAGGTTGTAAATATATTTCGTCGAGCAACAATTCTAAGTCAAATAAGAGCGATGCAGAATATGAGAGAATGTTATTTGAGACACATGGATGCACTGTATACCATCATCAACGGACTCAATTGTTGGATAATGACCATATCGAGACAGAATTCTGAACAAAACGTCTGGCAGCTAACAGTTTGACATTTTTAACTATATTTATACTTGTGCTAGAAAATTTTATTGTGTACGCATTAACGATACATGAATAGATATATTGTAAAAATGAGAGAATAAAAAAATGTACATTACTTTTGTAAAACAGTATTTCACAGATTCACATATGGAAATTTAATAATAAGTCTTGACATATATTTTGTAAATCTCAAAATAGAGACAAAAGTTTTGTAAACTGTAATACATTACAATATAACAGCTGTACTTTGTTATGTATTATAGTTTTGTACGTGGACACACAATAAATACTTACTTTTCTAAGTTGGCAACATAAACTTTTTATCCTATTACATTAATATATCCACTTTTAGAGAAACGAAAGAAAAAATTAAAAAAAAGGCGAAATATATCACTTTCGTAAAACAATAATTAACACTTATGCATCCAGACAGAATTAATAAATGTTAATGCATATTTTATAAATGTCGAAATACGTACAGCAAGTTTTATAAATTGTAATAAGTTACAATATATAATATAGCTGTAAATCATTATACCCAAATCAGTTGTCTCTAGGCAAACTTGTAACGTAAAACTTCAGTTAAATGTGTAATTGTAAATTCTGTCTGATAATCTATTACATATTACATGAAATAATATGTGTATTGATTGCAAAGTTTCCAACTTTTTAATAGCTTACTATTGTATCAAACTTCTATTATTTATTAGTTGATACTTTTTTTAAATCGGAAGCAGTAATAAGCCAACGTCTTGTCAGAAATCTAAACCTGATACACTCATCTCTTTTCCGCTATGCTTAAAATAGCTACAAGTCATTTATATAAATAACGCGCATCATGGGGCTTATGATGCAATCTAGTAATAAAATTTATCGAGTTCGGTATCGTGTGCTCTCTCGTCTTCAGTTTTAGCAGCAAGACTTTCGAGATCAGGAGCAATTCCTTCTGCAGCAATAGGACAAGACGCTGCTTCTTCTTGGCCTTCGTCATTAACCATGTCTGTAGTAAAAGGCTGAAGAAATAGAAGAAAAATAATATATACATGATACATTTAATATCTTTTGCATCGATTTGCATCTTATCCATGTAGACATTAGAAATTGAAAAAAAAAAAGATTAATACTTTTTGATTTCTCGAAGATTCAGGCCTTGATTGATCGGCTTCCGCTAAGTCTTCATTATAACCAGGTTTCCCGTTAGAAGTGGAAGGGAGAGCACTGGCACAGTCGAGTGAAAATGTTCCCTAACAACGATAGATATCATAATTTAGGTAGACAATTCTTCCTTTAAAGCACCAGAGGTACTGTAGTCGATGCTTTTTAAAATATGTGAATATGCAATAAACTTTATAATTTTCATGATATTTACTTTGTTTTATTTGTATGGTGTGATCTATTTGTATTCGCAATATTTCACATATATATTCAAGTTAATTTTATATAATTATTTACCGATATATCCAAATGGTCTATCAATGGTACTTGTGATGCTGGCGAGGAGGCAGTGTCTATGACATGAGATGTTGCAACTAATTCAGTCGCAGACGATTGATTTTCTAAACCAAAACCTAATATCGCACCAACATCCGAATCTTCGTCGCTAGACTGGCAGCTTTCACTCGGAGTTAAGTCAGTCACTTCGTTCTGTGCAAGTTTGTAATTTATGGTGGCAAAATTCAATATTATAAAGTAATTTATAAATGCATGCACATGCTGAAGAATAATATTTATAAACTGTATACTAACCAACGGATTATTCATGAGTGTTTGCGTGTCTTGTAGTGCACGGAGTGAACGCAACAATTGAGGCCGCAATCTGTGGTCTTCGCTAATAGTTTTAATTTCCCTCAAGATAATTATTAAATAATCGGGCCGTCTTTTATTTACCGCGATAAGTGAACTGAGTGCTTCTTTCATCTCTGAACTATAAATAGTAAAAGTAATATATTATTAAGATTAAGATTACTGATATATTTAATTAATATTTAGCACAGTTATAGTTCTATATCCGATAAATCTTAAAGATTCAAACCTTAGATTATGAAGGAAATTATCATCGTTCGTTGTAGACGGTAGTCGGAAAGAACTGTGAGCTTCTTCCCAAAAGTTATCAACTTGCTGAGATACTTCATTCGCTATGATATTACTGCGAATAGTGGTGTTTTCTCTATCTTGTTGTTGCAGATTAGACGGTAATTGTAAGTTCAGAGAATATTGTGCTTCTGCGCCAGTTAGCGGTATGGGCAAGTTGTCAGTTCCTTGTTCTCGATTCCGTTTGTCTTTTCTTAAAAATCAAATGGACACTTATCATACAAAGAACATGTACTAATTATTGATTCGATTATTTTTACGCTACATACATCAATGAACTGTTGACACCACTTCCACTTGGACCAATCGTGTTTGCAGAAGATGCCGAATTCACCACAGCCGTCGGAATATCAGTCATTGTCTTTACATTTCCTGAGAGGAGATTTTGTCGAGAATAGCTGGAAATAAAGAAGACACAGTTAAGGCAAAAGAAGTAATGCACGTTTATAAGTTTACGTAAAAATTCAAATCATGCCAAAATCAATTACTGTAATACATAAAACAATTTCATTATGAAACTTTGAATTAAAATGGTGAGAAGGAACATCGGTTTTAAAGAACTGTAATTAAGTCACAAAAAATATCAGTGTTATAAAACACTTATTGTCACTACATGCATTTAATATTAGTTGTTGGAAAATTTAGGTTTGATAATGTGTCCCATTCAATCTTCAAAAATCCACTTACATACCCATGTATTACCTACCAACAAATGTCCCTTATTTAGTTTCATTTGTATTAACCACAGGATTATGTAACTGAATTGTGAACTTATATATGAGCTATATACGTGCTTATATATGATCTTAAACAAGGGTAGCGATAAATGAGAAGTATAAGACACAGAAAGAGAGAAAGACAGAAAATGATATTTATTACTAAACGTAATGTAATACATTTGGATTTACAGAAAAATTAAAAACAATAGCGATTTATCTGGGAATTACGAAAAATATGTCATAAACAAACTTGGGAAAGAGAAAGAGAGGAAAAGATATAAGAAAATAAAAATGTTTAACTACCAAATTATTTCATTAAATGATTTTTGTTCAAGTTCAGTAATTATTATGAAAATTCTATTAATATCATAAATCAGATTTAATAAGAATCAGAGAGAGAGATTTTTCAGGAAGCTTTCTATATGCACCCGAATAATAAGTCAAGGTTAACAAAAGTATAAGTAAATACATAATGAGATATTATTTCCACAATCTACATTTTAAAATATATGCGAATATTAAAATTAGTTCCTTTTTTAAAGAATTAAAAATGTTGAGACATGTGTGTATATATATATATATATATTCATCGATTTGCGAATAATTTTATTACCTGCGAAAATTGTCCCAGTAGTTGTTTGCTCTGTTACCAGGAGGTACTTGATTGTTCAATTGTTGTTGCTGTTGTTGTTGTTGTTGTTGTTGCTGCTGCTGTTGTTGTTGTTGTTGTTGTGAGTTAGTGGTGATTACTGGAGTATGTGACAGCGCTGCTGAAGAATTCGGTAACGATACAAGATTCGGTAAGGATGAACTGGGAGGTAAAATCGCGTCCAATGTGTCACCGAGATGATGAACGCTGCGACTCAAATTAGAGTATTCCTCCTGATTTTCAGTATTGTTGGCACGCTGTAGAGTCTGATTTTGCCTCAGCTGTAACTGCAACTGTGTGATAGCTGTGCGCATAGATTGTAACTCGCGTTGCTGCGCCCATAATAGATGACAACACTGATGTATTGTCGTATTCATCATTTGGAGCTGTTGAGCTTGCGAACCCAATATCAGTTGTTTATAGTATTCAGCTGAAGCTACAACAAAAAGAGGCACATATATCACTAATACGTCCTTCTTTAATCTCTGCGATATTTAAGCTGATGCTTTACCATGTTGTACTTGATTCAAAGGCGGTAAAGGACAGCTCCACCAATTCCCAGGAAAACCATTCTCGATAGCAGCAGCTTGTGGACCGACATCTAATAAATTGTCCGATGTAGACACGCCGTCTACACTTTGCTCATTAGAGCCTCCTGTAGTAAAACAAATGATAAACATGTCACTTACTGATGTCATTGTTTTATATAATTTGATTCAATTAATAAAATTAAAGAATATCTGCTTCTAATTAATATAAAACTAATGCTTACCTATGACGGTAGAAGGTGGCCAAACATTTGCAGGCGTGCTAGTATGACTAACTTGAGAGCCAGAACTTCTTTGACTATTTAGATCCGGTCCCTGGGTATCCCGATTCACATTACACGGTTGGGCTTGTTCCTATTTTTTATAAGAAAAGATTATATAATTACGTAAAAAGAAAACACGAAAAATAAAAATATAGACCTTCTTTATAAGATCTTCCAGTTGACGTCTTTTTGCTTGTTGAGACTCCGTACTAACATTATTACTCTGCTTTTTTTCGTTTACACTTAAAGGGGTAAGAGCTGGAGGCGGGGTTGTGGGTGGAAAAGAAGACGAAGAAGTAGAATGAGTAGCTGTAGATAGTGATGACTGTTTTAAACGTTGCAATTCAGCTCGCGTGGTTTGAAGTAAAGCCGATTGTTCCTTGAGTTCCCGCGTCACAGCCTGGAAGAAAAAGACGAAAGTAATATAATCTACGTAAAATATGATCGCGATATGTTTACCTGTACATCCTCAAACGTAGGCCTGTCACCGGAATTACGCATCTTGCCATGGTTGATGTCGTCACTGTCACTGTGACGTTCGAACGAAATGTTCACCGCATTTTCATCCTCAGTGATTTCCATGTCCGCGGCTCCTTCGCTATTGACATCAACATCCTGCTCCAATTCGGAAGTGGAATCTACGGAATCACGAATTCTTGTGCTGTCCTCCATTAGAGCTTTTATATGCGCAAGCTGCGCTTTCATAGCCTCCAATTCCGCGGTTTTATCTCTTATAGTGTTTCGTGAGCCCTCGGAACTCTGAAAAATTAATAGAACTCATCGTAATAACGAATACTTATATAATAAACTCATATTACATTAACAAAGAAAAGGTGGAACACTAACGCAGCTGCCTCTCTCGAATGACTCTATGGCCTGTAATTCTGCTACCAAATGATCCATATGTCTCTTCTTGATCTGAAGTTGCGCCAATTTTCCTCGTAATGCCGCTGTTTCCGACTCCAGTTGATCCACATTAGCAGGACCCGGCAAAGACGCACGATTGCCTTCCCACGCGACGGAATTGGATGTATTCTGATTCTCTTGCTGCAGAAGCATCTGTTGCTCTTGACGCACTTCGTTTAACCTTTCTCTGAAGCGCATCTGTATTCCCACCAAATCAGCTTGCTGCTCTTGCAATTGGGCGAGTTTGCTCTGATACTCTTCTACCTTTCTCCGTAACTGCACTTCTCTATTAGCATCGCCATGCTCGTCCATGTCCTCCCTTCCATTTTCACTGGTCTGTAAAAACAAGACATTGAGTATTATAAACACATTTCACATATTAGCTTCCATGTTTTTATCAACCGTTAAACAATGTCAACAACCTCGTCGGAAACTCCGTGATTATGATATTGCTCTAATAGTTTGGACAGCTTCCGCTCACTGTCATGAAGATCTTCTACCATTCTACCCAGTTTTTCATTCTGAGCTTGTGCGCGCTGCAAAATATTTATAGTTACAGTTACAGCAAACACTATAAACATTACATCCTTTCAATGATCAAATATTAAATTCATATTATTACTATGTGTGAGTAATACTCACAGGATCAGAAGATTGACTAAGAGAGTCCATCATTGTTGCGGTGACCTTGATATACTCCCTGATCTGATTTAAACGGCTCTCTACTTGATTTCTGTCAGGCTGTAAAGAATAACATGAAATTACAAAATTACCATGTTGTATTGTGTATTGAAATGTACGATTACAGAAATCAGGTGTAAAATATACTGTAATGCAGTTAATAATACATCACAGTACCATCTTATTCACGTTGGAGGGCTTTGTTCCTTGTAATCGCAGTGGTGATTGATTTCTAGGCTCAATGGGTGGAACCATTTTTGTCCAAGCACACTCTTCTGTGCTATAGTTGTACTGCCTTGCTGAACTATGTGATACTGCAATAGAATTATGGATTGAAAATGACAAATAATATTTCTTGTACGATGAAGATATTTAGATAGAGTGAAACACATATATGCATACCAAAGTCTGATAAATCCTGATAAAAGTATACAGGCACAGAAGAAGTAGTTGATCTAGTGTTACTGTTCTTTGCTGCTCTTGATGATTCACGTTCACGCTCGCTCACTGGTTGCCACTCCAATTGGAACTAATATGCAAATTATCTATGTAGAATATTTTTATAGACACAAGAGCACAAAATATATTTGCAGGAGGATTAGAACAATGGTGACTCGAGTACCATAGCTGTGCCAGTGTGGAATCATAGCTGTAGGTATGTATTCTTAGAGTAAGAAACACCCCACTATTCTGTAGCCTATTAATAGATTAAGTACGACACTGCTGAGCTGAGCAGCTACTAGCAGCGTATTTGTCAGTAGGTTCCAGGCACTCTGTGCCACCAAATATCTTCTAACTGCTGTACTATAATTGTCTTTTGTTTTGTATCTTTATCACGATTATTTTATTGTTATTATTTATTTATGCAATCCTATAAATATGTACATATTTTTCACAAACATAAAAAATACAAAAAATCCTACCAAACAATGATTTCTAATAATGTCTGAAACACCAAATAATATTCCTTTAATTGCAAAAATGTTAAATAATCACATTTCAAATGTCCTTTCGGCGGTCTCACACCTCTCTCATCCTTATTAAAATAAAGGGAAAACAAAGGTAAGAGATAATGGAAAGAGACAGCGAAAGAGGGGAAGGGAAAAAGACGTTAGTTCTCTTGGTGGATTTACCAAATTGTTAAAATGTTGCGGGTGGCCATGGTAAGCCGAGCGGTTTGCGATCTGCTGATTAGCGGCGGACCGTTCTCGGTTTCGATCGTTCCTCCGATTGCTTTTCGGCAAAGTGCCCGTGTTGCGAGGGCCGTCGTTAATACCGGGCAACATCGCCGCTTTCTTCGCGAGCGCACTGCACACGTCGGTTATGTTAAACAACACACACACACGTTCGAACGAGTGTCACTGTTACCGCGTACTAACCTCGCGCAGTGATTGTTACGTTAGCTCATCAGCTATCTGTTAAACTATCCATGCGCGTGTTGTATTTACTTGGGCAACACGGACGCGACGAGGCACTATCGCGATGGGCAAACGGTCTCGCGGGGCTTTTGACAGCACGAGAAGAGCAGCGAGTGAAATTCAACGCGAAATGCGATCTCCTACGCAGCGCGCATCTTGCGGCGATGCGAAATCACGCCCGCGTCGTCGGTCTCTTACGTCAAAATACTTGGCAGGTCGCGCGCGCGCGAGATCGAACGAATAGACTGCTATAAATAAGACAGGCCATTGACGTGTGCACCGCGATAATTGCGACCGACGACTTATATATCGCTCGCGGCTTTGACAACCGATCTACCGATGCTCCGACGGGAAGTTGCGGCCATTTTTAAATGCTGCATACGACTTTGGTATATCTGTTTATTTTGCAGCTGCACTTTCTGTATTTAAAGCAAAGCGGACGTAAAGCACGACTCCAGGGCGCAAATTAATATGGTAAAGAGTGTAGAAGGTGTAAACTGCAGCAAACGGGAATATCTCTCTTTCTCTCTCTCTCTCTCGTTTCAGTAGGAATCCGCGTAATCGAGGGAAACCCAAAAACAAACGGATGAGGAACAGGTTCGCCGTACGGTGGCGCCACCTAACGGCAGGCAGCCGGTAGCTCGCGAAACCGCACGGGGCGGTCTCGCGCCGAGACGACGCGGCGAATAGGCAGGTGGTGTTTCCCGCCTATGGCTCGCGAGGAGTTAATAATAAATAATCTCGCGCTAATGTGTAGGCCAGCCGTAGGTTAGCCGTGGTAGTCTTTAAGCTGCAGTCTTACGACCGAGCGTCATATCTCGGCTGAATGACGAGCAGCGCGCGGCGAGCTGCCTCGTGCTGAGCGCTCGCTCGCAACGCGCGATACTTGGAAGCGCGAGTCGCGCCTAAAATCGCGCGCGTCTATTCGAACATTCGGCAGAGAAGAACGGAGCCTCGCCTCGCCTCGCCTCGCCTTCGCCTTCGCCGTCTTCGTCTCGTAGTCGTTATCCTCATCGCCGTGCTCGGCGTTATCCTGCCGCCGTCGTCGACAGTCGAGCGTCGGACTTTCTTCATGCGGCCGAGCGGGTCGTGCTCGCGGTTCGCACGCGCTCGCGTGTGAGAGAGACGCGTGCGCGCGCGCGCGCGCTCGCTCGTGCGCTGCGAGCGCGGCGTGCGTGCGTGCGTGCATGCGTGCGTGCGCGCGTGTGTGTCGCGTCCTGCGTGCGTGCCTGGCCGCGCTCGTGCGCGGCGGGTGTACGCGCGTACGTGCGTGACGTTTCCCGTGGAGTTCGCGCACCGTTGGATTTATCTCTCGACGCCGTGAAATGCTGACGAGCTGGCGACATGCGTCTGACGGCATAGTCAATGCGGGCTACGCGCGACTACGCACGGGTAAGTGGCTCTCCTCGCTTCCTTTCACTTTCTCTCTTCCTCTCTGTCAGCTGCTGCGTGCTCCGCGCGGGACGATTTGTGTCGCGATGGGATTTGAGGTTAGGACGCGGGCAGCTAACAAGTGCGCGCCTCGAAGGGCGCCTCTCGCGCGCGCTCCCAAGGACGCGTCTTCCGCGAAGCCTCCGATTGCTCTTATACAACACGGACATCGGTAATGGATTTTGAATCGTCCTGACTCTGAGCTAACACACAGCGCGCCCGATGTGCCGGATGATAAGCTCTCGAACAATGGAGCCTTGTTGCGTGCTTCTCCGGCTTTCTTTTATTTCGGCAGAGCGACTTTTCCGATGTCGAGTCGAGGATTACAGGTTACTTTGGATCCTTCGCGTGAGTCGTTTTCCCTCCTTCTGTGCGTGCATAGCGTTCCTCGGCGCACTTTGTCCTGGAGTGAGTACACTTGAATCTTTCTCTCGCAGTCGCCCGACGTCTCCGGGAAATTCAGACAGAAAGCTGCTGCTGCTGCTGCTGTCAACGCGCGCGCAACTCGCCGCGTCACTCGAACAATATTGTCACGAATTTTCCGTCGAGCGCCTGGCAGATTGTTGTCGAATTTCCGCGGAAACGCGAGTAAACGGTGCAATGATGCTTATAAATATTCATCGAGAGCGATACCCTTGACATTCTCGCTGTATTTTCTAAGACGCTCACGCCTATCTAATAACGTCACGAATGGATTTCGCGTTGTACGTGCACATGTCCCGTGCGATACGTGGGAGAAAATAGTCGTGTGTAATAATTCAGCGCGAGAGAGAGGAAGGTATATTCACTTTTTCTCCTCTTTCTTCTAGAGTCCTTTACCTCGGAGATACGCGCACACATATCCCGTGTCTCCCGTGTGTAACGTTGACACGTATTAGCCGTCTATACTTGCACAGAATGCCCCCGAACTATATCGCGATCTATACGTCGAGCACAATCGCGACTGCTTGGGCAGCGCAGTAGCGGTCCGATTTACTACTCTGAGAACTGGAGAAAATCAATCTCGCGATTAAAGTTGGAACTCGCATTGGAGGCAGAGTTCGCGTCTATCAAGAAAGAAAGAAAGAGAGAGGTGTGTGAAACGGAGGAAATTAGGCAGCGAAATTACGCTGGCTCATCAAGGTTCACTCTAAAGTATCGCACATGGACGACAGTAATCGAAGGATTCTCTCGTTAATTGCTCCTAATACTCAGCTATAATCGAACGAACGAGTCTCCGCGAAACTCTCTTATGTAATTATAGGCTTACCTAATAGCCGGCCGCTTTTTCCATATTTTTTCTTCCACTTTTTGCGATGTTCGGATAATTCCTGTTTGCAAGTGGCCGGCTAAATTTAACGACAAGTCCATCGCGCGTTCGCGGCATTGTTAGGCGCAAGGACGCGTTGGGAGAGAAAAAGAGAGAGAGACACAGATAGTATGTATAGTCCGCCAAGAGAGAGAGAGAGAGAGAGAGAGAGAGAGAGAGAGAGAGAGAGAGAGAGAGAGAGAGAGAGAGAGAGAGAGAGAGAGAGAGAGAGAGAGAGAGAGAGAGAAGTTGCTCAATCGGCCGAGATATCCCGATGCAATTTCGCCGATATTCGCGGAATTTCCTCGCGAATTGTCGCCCAAAGCATAACTCGCCCGGTGGCAATTGACTACTTGTTGCATAATGCATCGATCACCGTGACCTGCAGCACTGGTTACAGCGTCTTTGTACGACTCGCGGAATATGTACGAATCGACGCGGCGGTGCGCGAGCGCGGCGTAGCGTTTCGATTTGACATGTCATCGCTTATTTTTACCCTCATCGGTGTCGGCGTCGAACATCGCACCGATCATCATTTCCATCGTCTCGTGAACATATCGGATTGCATTTGCAACACTAGTCTCGCCCGGCGGCATGCAGCTTCCGCAACACTATCGGTTCGATTAATTAACACGCGTCGTCGTCAGGTTACGTCGCAAAATTGCAATTCAACGGCGAATCGCAATCCCCGGCATTCCGCGGGCGGGTTAATTTTTAGGGATGAAGAATACCTTCCGATTGTAGGACAGTAGTACGCTCGTGTGGTATGTCACGTATAAAATACGGAATTAGTGAAATTAATTTTTTTTCTTTCCTAATTAGAGCCCGGTTGATTACGATTCGTTCGTCTCGCAAACGCGAAGAGGGCTGTTTTTCCGCCACTTTGCGTATAAGCAGCATTGCGAAGTATATATACTCTTTCTCCCCGACGAAGTGTAACGATGCATCGATGAAGTCGATGCATCGTTTCTTTCATTCAGAAGCCTGAACCCGCGGCCTTGAGGTAACTACCCCGAATGATCGATAAAATAACGGCGGCCGCTTTAAATCCGGAACGCCGTGCGCTACTCACGTTAGCGTCGTGTGTTAGCGCTTGGTGGGTGTTTAGTGTGAAATTTATTCCTACGGAGATATATCTCGGCTATTTGCAATTTTTATTTCGTTGCCGAGATAAACCGCGACAGCTGATAACGAGCGAAATACAAATTGGCCGAACAGTCATGCTCGTTGTTGCAGGCGACGAAGAGGGTGTCGTCGCGAGCGCGTGCTTTGATCGGAACATAAATTCGCGATCTTTTCCCGAAATGACACGTACCCGCGCGATAAAGGGATCACACGTTATTGTTATCCTAACGAAGATCACTTTTAATCGCGTCTCGCTGTTCGCGGAACTTTGTGTCACGCGAGATTACGGAATCTCGGAATCAACTGGTTCCTTCCTTCAAAGATTCTCTTCAGCATCGCGCCCCTGAAGCTCGTCTCAGGGAATTCGCGACAATTTCGAGCGCGAGACGGAATTCCGTTCTGCAATTCGTCATGCCGCGTAAGACAAGGAATTTTCGAGGATTTATCAGCTCAGAAGGAAGAAGGTGACGCTCTGTGAGTACTTAACTGCCTTTGTTTTTCATCACGTTTGCCTTAAAATCCGCGATTATACGGTCAAGCGGATATATCTAGGATTATACCTGAGCTTCTCTTTTTTCTCTCCGTGTCGTGATAATAACGCCTTATAATTTCCATGCTCGCATAATTTGATGCTTCTCGGAATACTGTTATGTCGGAAAAATGTATTTCTTTCTCTCTCGCTTGTATTAGACCTTAAAAACGCTCCGTATATACACACGTGTATATTAACGTTCGTGATGACCAAGCGAGCAAGGTATCGCGTGAATTAATTAGCGTTACCTCGTCGTCCTGTCCATGGTGTATTTTTAATACCGAGACCACGCGGAACGCGCGGGTGGGGCCTTTTGCCTCGCGTGAGCTAAACACCGGCCAACTTTTCATTTCGTACGTTCCAATTTCGTTGGGTTATTTTCGTGAAGAATGGGAGCGGCCGTTATGACATGTCCCCTCGTTTCACAAATTCACGCCAATGTCACCGCTACCCGCCCTCGGCAATCCGTCCCGGCTAAGAGCATTAACATCATTTTCGAGTCATCGCGAGTCTCGCGTCGACAAAGCGGCGCGCCATTTGCTCCCCGATGAAGTTCTCCGCTAGCGCGTCTCGCCCCAAATATTTTTGGCAACAATCTCACGAGAGAAAAAAAAGAAGAGAGAAACGTTCGGTCGAGCGCGGAGAATTTAGGCCTGTTCTTTTTCGCTGCATTGCTGCACTGATGCAATAAGTTAGAGTGAGACAAATATATATATTTGTTTCACTCTAACTTATTGCACCAGTGCAGCAGTGCCGCGAAAAAGAACAGACCTTTTATCTCGCGCTAGTGCACGAATGACTGTGCTCTCTCGACGTGACGCTTCATCACTTTTAAAAAAAATATATATGTATAGAAAATTGTCGAAAATGTATTCGAGATGAAGCGCGCGCGCACACGTTTTATCTTGAGCGTGCACGGCGCTTTTTCGAAAATAGCACCGTTGATAGCCATCGGACAGGGCGTATCCCGATGCCAACAATCGGTTTTCATTAGCCGACGGCAATGGCGAGATAGTCGGCCAGATAAACACGACATTCGCGAGGAGGAGAGGAGTGCGATTGTATGCGAACTTTGTAGTTTCGCGAGGTGCGGCCGACGACGCGACGCGACGTGGCGCGCCGCGTCGCGTCGCGTCGCGTCGCGTCGCGTCGCATCGCATCGTAGCGCGTACCATACTTGACCCAAATTTCCAATAATAAGGCTTTCTTCCTTCCTTCCCGTGGGTATCAGTAGCATGTGGAATGTTAAAAAAATCGCAGCGGTCACCGCTGCACGCGCGAATCTCGTCAGTGATGAATTACGTGTCATGGCGCGTCACGCGAACTCGTTCTAGACGTTCAATTTAGATTCGGCGGGGGCCCGCTTGAAATAATGCTCGGCCGACTCGGTGTAAAGACGTGTTGCGCGCACGACCGCTTACATAATCACGCTCGGTCGCGACTTTCGTAAGTGGCTGTGTGTTTATTGTCGTTGCGGTACGAACTTGCATATTGACCCCGAGCGAGTCCTCGATAAGTCGCCCCCGTTGCGCGTGGCACGACGTGAGCGCCTCGCCTTCGATTTTTCCGTCCCTCGCTGGTAAACATCGGCACGAAGAACAGCACGTGGAATTTTTACCCCGAATCGCGCGAGCGAATTTCACGAGCGCGACACGTCAGGGTCTCTGTTGTATTTTTGTCCGGACAATTTTTTTGGGAGCTCTTTGCTGCTCTACAAGTAACGAAATCAATGAAATAATAATAACGGTAACAATGAAATCTGTGAGTTTTATCTCAGCGCTGTATACGCTGAGAGAAAAAAAATAGGACAAACGTTCCTAAATTTATAATTATTCGTGATCTCAACTGTATCTTCTCGTTGTCCTAAGAAAAAAATAGTAGTTGCGCATACGCGATTATTCTCGCCAATATTATAACGTTATATATAGCTTATAGCTAAACTTATAGAAATAGTTCTCCTGACTATAATTCTTTCACCATGCTATCAGAGTTACAAACTTTTTTCTTAGCGCAACTACAACTGATGTTCGTGCAGCAACTCGCGCAGCGAAGAGGAGATTGTCGGCCATGGGATACCGACGAGTCGTAAATCCGAGACAACGATCGCCGGTCCCCGGGTGATAATTGCCCGTGTAACGGTATTACACGTCGCCTCCCCCCCCGTTTGCCCGCAATTCCACGCAAAAGACCAATTCCACTCTCTCTCTCTCTCTCTCAAGCCGCCCGGCGTCCGCTAATGGCAAAGGTTACGCGGCCTCATTTCGAGGAAGGGTGTGGCATCACGTGCGGCCTATCGATAGATTCGAGCGTCATTATCAATCGCGAACACGTGCACGTCCACCTTCCTGCGAGGAGCGTAATCAATGCTCACGTACGCGGGGAAGTAACGTTATTTGACGGGCCGCGCCTTCCCGCGCGCCTCCTGCGTCGCTTCGTCCGTTCGGCTCCAGAGAGGGTTTCGTTTGATCCTCGAGCGACGCGCTCGACAAATATTTACAATAGGCACTTTTGCAATACCGTCTCTCAGATACGGTAAATGTAAATCATGAACGTTACTCGCTCAGAAATAACGTTGCGATATACGCGACCAATAGCATTCACGATTTACGTTTACCGTATCTGAGTGACGGTATTGCAAAAATTGCCTGATGTGTTCGCAACGGAACGGGACTCCTTGTTGCGTAGGAACGACCGGATGCGTGAGACTGTCGAGGATCGAACGACATCCGGTATGTTACTCAGGCAGTCGTCGCAAAACGCCTCGTCTAGCGCCGCGACTAGGAACCTGAGGACATTGGCCAACCCTGAGGCATCCACTTAGCCGTTTTTCGTGCCGCGCTAATTACGCCGGCTTATTAGCGCCGTGTCGCGACCGGGAGCGGTAACTTGCAATAGGCTGGCTCGATAGGTCGCTCTCGCTATATAGAGTGCTCTCGTTTCACACACGGCCGGTTCCGTCGTGCGAAAGACACTCCGGGGAACCGACATTTTCCGCCGGTCGTCACGGGCTGTAGACGTCCTTTCGGGAGAGACACGTCCGAACGGGCCGTTTGAGTAGAAAGAGCGAATCTCTATAATGCATCCGCGCGCGGCGCGAGGCGAGCGAAATGACGACACAATCTTGCGCGGTCACGGCGGCTTCATTATCAACTCGATAAAATTCAATTATTCAACGCACCTCGCGCTCGCGTCCCGGCGATCCTGCCGATCTACAATGGCCTTGCCCGCGAAGGAGAGAGCTCGTCGTCGATATTATCGATCACTGCGCACTCTATCATCGCGCTTCGTTTCGTCGCGACGAACCTATTCATTTGCAGTTTATAGCGGCTGCGTTATTGATGACGCGCGAAACGGCGCGTCTCTCTCTCGCCGCCGCGGAAATGCTCGCAAATTCCTGGGAACACGTGAATAATTCGCTCTTATACGCTATTATTACGTTCGGCGGAGGACGACGTCGGGAATAATTGAGACCATTATTAATACATTGACTCTCTGCCACGTATCGCGCAAGTGTGATACATTGATACGTCTCTTTAGGCGCCGGTATTACGTAAAGAGATGCGATGCCGTACTTACCAATTAACTTTCTAACTTTGGTAACAGCAAAGTACCAAACGTGCCTCCCTAATGTGAGAAATTAATTAAGCAGAAGGAAAAATTTTGTGTGCGCGGTAAGTTTTGTTTTTCTTCCGGAAATTCCGTGACGGTTAGTGTTTATTACGACGAGGACTCGAAGGGCATCGCGCGAGGACGACGAGGGTCTAATGGTGCGAAAGGCATGGGCGAGAAGGGGGGAGGGGGGGGAACGATTAGCTATTTATGAAGTATTTCCGCGCGTACAGTCTTATTTATTGAAGGGTGCGGGATTATCGCGAGTTGTGCGAGCGCAAAAGGTTAATAGAATCGTATGGCTCGACAATCAGTGGAATCTCGGGCTTATCAGATTGAGGGTCCACGACGGCCGATCGATACTTCTATCAGACAGGCGTCGCCGGAATCGCATTCAATCACGCTGATAGGAATAATTAAGAACGGTAAACTGGACTCCGTCTCGAAATCAATCTTCTTCGGCGAACTCGGCGATTACCTCACGTACAGACACCGCCTCGCTGCGCGTTCTGGAGCACGCCAGTTCCTTCCCCGCTTCATTTTCAGATAAATAAGAGTGCAGTCCGCGTCTTCTTGAAACGATCGAACGGTTGTCGACGGCGACGCTCGGATTGTTTCTCCGCGATCGCGCGAGATACAATCGCCCCTGCGACGCAATTTCGTGTGCGACTTTTTTCGTTCGATCCTCCGGGAAATGTGCGATATCCGGGATTTCCGAGGTGAAAAGAAACGTCTCTCATGTATTATAAAGCAGAAATTTAGAAGAGAATATATTGAAGTCGAAAGCGAGAGAGTCGCCACGCGGGCGAGTGGACAGTAACGGATTACTCAACGACCTGAGGAAAGTGACAAAATGTTACGATTCTTCTTCGGATCAATTCCTCAACAATAAACCGAGAAACCATTAGCAATCAAGGCGATATAATCAGACAACAGACCTCGGAATTGTTGCCCCCGATAAACTCGTGTAGCGAAACGCCGTGCGATGAAATTGCATAACGAGCCGAGGTTCGCTTCACGCCTCCCCTCTTCGGCGGAATCGCAAATGTACGAATATTTCCCTTCCTCTCAGCGTCATGCTCGCGGCAAAGTTGAAAGGGCACGACTCAACCTGAGTACTCGCGGTTGGTCATCCCAATCGAAGGCCTACCTGTCGAAGACACACACGTCGCGGAGGGACAGTCTCGATACAACCGTACGAAAGGACAGCCAGCCGGCCGGCCGGCTAGTCGGAGTCGCCATAGAAATCTCGATCTTATCAGGTCGAAACTTCGTGTCTTGCGTTATCGATCGTTTTCACTCGCCCGTATCGGCCGTACCTGGCCGCTATCACGTCGGATTTCTACGCAGTGGCTCACGGTCTGTCCGCGCGAAAAAACCGCTCCCGGCTGGTCGACCCGCGCTGGTGATCAGAAGAGAAACGGATCGCGACGGACAACCGTCGTGCACGACGTGTTGCTGTTAACGTAAACACAGGGTAGAAATTCGCTAGAAACTATCGGATCGCGACGTGGCTGGTACGCTCGCGAGTGCAGTTTTGTTCGCGGTGCCAAGCAGTGCGTGCCAATGCGGGTCGTTCGCTCTTTTTTTTTCCGATAACACACGCGGACATGTTCCTTCCGAACATGTGTTTTAGATGCTAATTCGATGCAATAACTCGCGGTTTTGCTTTTTTTTATTTTGTTATAAGGTTCATCGCGTGTGTGTGTTCATCATTTCAGTGCCGCGTGAGATCGAGTGGATCATTGCAGTTGACCTCTTTACGAGCTGTTACATTGTTATCGTGCCTGCTCAAGAAGAGCAACTCGACGGCTCTTGGAATTTTACAGCGACATTCCTCTAAATTCATCACGCGGCGTCTCGGAAAAGACAACCGAACAACAGACGCTGAATTTCTTTCCTTTTTTCGATCTTTTCCGTTTTCCCCGCGATATCGAAGCCCTAATTCCGCTGCGCTTTTCGCTTCAGCTTTGCTCTCCTGTTGGTTCTTTCTTGTCCATTCCATTTCTTGTCTCGTGCCATTCGGGAGCTTTCACCACGTCGGGAATGCCAAAGATTGAAATAAAGAATCGAATGATCTCTTGAGAAAGGCAGGCTCGACAAAGCTATTTTCTCCCGACCGTGCGCGGGTCAAAGTTGAACAGAGTCCTTCGGCGAGAGTAGTAACCCTTCGGAATCGCTCGTCTGACCACTTCCCAACTCTTACTACTGCACGCGACAATCGTCTTCGTTAGTATCCGAGAGTCCGCTCGCACAACAAGTCTTCCATATGCGCGCGCTTGTACGGAACGGAAGGTAATATCGTTCTTATCTTCCACTTTTATCACTTTCAAGTGTGCAACTCAAGATTCGATCGTTTGGAGAAGATATGTGTCAAAATAATACGATATAAAAGTTACGAAAACGATGATCGGCTGTGAGCGGTCAGCGTGAACATCCGTGCGTATATCTTGTCATCGTGCGTGCGCACATAACGAAGTTTGTGCTGCGCCTAATCAGGCAGTGTAACATCGGCCCGGCTCGCGCTTAATTGCTCTGGCGAGCCTCCCGAGCGATGAATAATTCGCGAAGCCGTCAGTCGCGGATCAACGGCAAAACGAGGCAATAAGGCTGACTAAGCCAAGACGAGGAACCAACAGAGGCGGCGAAAACGGGCCGCAAAAATCAGCCTCGGACGACGCGTTTGATAGTAGTGAGTAATCTTTCCCGTTTACGGTTCCGTGAAATCGCCCGCGTCATAGCAGCGAACGGCCCATTATCTTATATCTGTCGACGATAGGTGAAATAATCCCTCATTATCCTATATTATTTAGGACCGCTAGAAATAGACAGCGCAAATTTACGTAACCGCGAACGCATCGTGTCGCCAGATGTAATCCTGTGATAAGTGGCTCGGTGCAAGCGCTTCGACTCGCTTCGCAGTCGAAAACGCGCCTGTGTCCGGGACAGTTTCGGAATAAAGTCGCAATTTATTTAGCGGTAATCGTGCGATATTCGATCTGATGTCTTTACGTGTCGGCTCAGTGACGCACAAAACAATCGTGTTATAGACGAGCAAATCGAGTAACGCGTTATCTCGCGATCGGACGATGTCATATATTTGTCGAATGAGTTATCGCGATTCGGCCTACGTCGAAACGAAACGAAATTACACGCGAGATCCCGGCTGGCGATTTGAGCCATCGGCAAATTCGGCCGTTTACCTTCGATGACACGTGTCCTTTGCCGCCGCACGCGCCATGTTATATGCGCGCCGTTGTAGAAGATCGTTTCAACGCCACGCCAACGGAATTTCGTATCGCAGCGATAACGCAAAAGCGATCGAAAGTCAGATTCTCTCGTTGAAGATCTTGCTTTTGGTGGAACACTGAGGCGAACGTTTTCGTATTCCACGCGCGTTCCTGCCAGCTGCGGACGACGCGCCGGTAAAACGGGAGATGCTTTTCAGCCGCGCTTCACACGCGCGTTTATCAATCTTCGATGCACGTCCGATCGAGTCCGGTCATTGCGCAATTGCGCATTAAATACAAAACAGCAAAGCTCGTACGCGGAAGACGCACCTGCGTGACGTAGAACGCGCGACGCGTCCACCTACGCGCGAAATTATGCGGCGCGGTAAAACGAAGCCTTACATAATACTCCAACGTCGCTGCTCACGAAGTTTCTTTATCGTCGCTTCGGGGAAAATACGCGCCGACTGCGGGAACGCGCGCGCACGCGGTCGATTCATGCTCGTTAACGTTGTCAAACACAAACACGCTCGCGATTATTTCCCGGAGGACATTTCTTTTGCGGATTCATTAACGAGCCGTACACGGTCATCCAATTATAAACCGCTACTACTCATTCGTCCTCGATAATCCCTCATGCATCGCGCGTTTCGATTCAGATGTAGGGTCTGCGAAAGTTCTCCGAATCGCTGATGATTTTCCATCTCGCCGATGAGTTTTTTCCCAAAGAATAAATCATTCTGCGCGAAACCCGAGATCAGACGTTTGCTGAGAGAGAGAGAGAGAGAGAGAGAGAGACGATTGAAAGTGATGGATAACGATGAGACGCGGACACTTTGATCGAGCACTGTGTTGCTGAAAGAAACATGAGGATCAATCTGCAGGCAATCTATAATAAATTTTTGCGACTTTTACCTCGCGAGCACAGCAGGGATACGCCTATATTTGTTATATGGTTTGTCGTATGGTTCACGTCACAGTTGATCTGCGTCGATGCGACTGCCAATGGACGCGCAATATGTTATCGCGACGTACCGTTTGTTATAGCAGCTGGCGTGAGTCATCGGTGTCATGCATGTCGCCAAGTACAATTTCACGACAAAACCCGACACGTACAATATATTTTTATATTTGTTCTTAAGTATAAAGATTAAAGATGGCGATTTAGACAACGGTGTTGGTTCGAGCGAGTATCGCGCACTCGATCGTAGTCTCGGAGCGAGGACGTTTATATTTAAATACTCGCCGATATTTTACGAAGTGCTTCCAACTGTTTTTACTTCCGATGTTGCAGGAGGAAAGGAAAGGAAAGAAAATTTTAAGAGTTTCTACCTTCTGCCGTTGACACTGAGAGAAAAAACTCCAAAAGATGTGGAATTTTGTCGAGTGTCTTTCGCTCGCGAGACTAAATTTCCGCCTGAAGAATCGCGAGTTTCAGCTCGTTCAGGAAAATGAACGAATCAGGTCAACGAGAGTCAGTCGGTTTAACCTTGCGGAGGTTGAGCGTTTCCAGGAAAGCCACTACGATGTAATACTACGAAACAAGCGCGGGTTGACTGAACCGTGACGTGTGTGTCATAAGAAACCGGCGGTAATATGAACTTCTTCATGGTCGTCGAGTACGCATCTAAATACACACGCGTTATCACGTGTGCATCTTGCTTACGCGCAGTCACGTCGCGCGATTCGCGCCCGTCGCTTCGTCGAGGAATGTCACAGCGATGGCGCGTGTTTATGAGATTCCACTTCGCGGCTCGATAGAGAACGAGCCGGGTCTCCGATTGTGTCGCCTCAACGGGTCACACACCGGCTTGACCGGTCTTGGAACAAAGCGACGAATCCACGCTGAGATCGATTCAGCTACGATATCTCGAATCCAAGTCTGAAGTCCGCGTCCAGTCCCCTTGAGATTCCCCCGAAATCATCACGAATCAGTTCGGATTCCCGATATGTGTATCTCCTTGCATCGAAACTCGAGATAACTCGATCACGTTGTGTCGTTTGTGTTTCCCAGGCGCCGGCACAGTCCATGCAACCAACTGCCAGGGGGAACCCCCGGCTCCCCAGCCCTGGCCCGTTGCGACCGTTCACACCTCCGGACCTCTCTTCCATACCCCATATGGACGGCACACCTCTGCACAACAGCAACGACAGCAACGGCAACAACAACAACAACAACAACAATAACAATAATGCACACAACAGCGGCGCATCACCCGCGAGCAACAGAGCGAACGACGGCGCACAAGAACCCACCGGGCCCTTCATCATCGGCAGTCCCATCGATCTCGGCGACATCGACAACGTTGACAACATCGGCCTCCGTTTGGACCCCGCCGTGCGCGGCAGACGGAGAACGCGGGAGCACATCGAGCTACGGGAGACCGACCTGCCGGAGTCGACTTCCGAAGGTGAGTCGAGCGAATCGATTAATTACGGGAGTTATCTGTGTGCAAGCACACGCACACGCGCGCACATTTGCGCCGCGGGTCCTCTTAACAGGCGAACTCCGGGGCAAAATATCGCACAGAAGTCCCACTTGGAGCGGTCAATCAGTCAGGTGGAAAGTCAGTTACGGCGTTTTCGAGAATATCACCGCTCGAGCGTTGCGATTCTTTTTCCGTATGTGCACATGTGTGTGTGTGTGTGTGTGTGTGCCAATTTTCGCGCACGACCTTCTCCTAGCTGCGGTGGAATAAATCCAGCTCTCACGAGCGGGTGACACTGTGTGAAACCACGAAAGAAAGAAACGTTGGCGAGACTTCGAGCGAGGTGGAGAGAGCCAAGACGAACAATTGTCGTTTTAACCACCTGCATTCGTAAATGCCCGGTTCCGGAGACGGCGGGTCGCCAAGTGTATACGCGAGATATACCCTCATGGACACATGAGTTGAGTCTCCGATAGCGCCTTCGTCAACGGCTAGCGCTAATTCGCTCTATTCGCTCTATAGCGCTCTGCTCGAGCGTTCATTCAGTTAACGCCTTTAATCTCGTAACCTGCCCGCGCTCTAATACTTGCTCTAACGCAGAGAACATTCACCGGAGGTGAACAGCTGTCTACTCATCCAGCTCACTATTCCCGGAGCTGAGAGTCTCCTGACGTCTCCTGACCGATCGCTCTCCTCGGTCTCTCTACCACCTGGCTGGGACGTTTGCGCGCGCTGTCTCTTTCTGTTTGTGTTTCTTTCTTTAGGAAAGTATGTTCAAACATATACGTACTCATGTCTGAGCACTATGAAAATTATATTCCAAGGACGACGCGAAACAGTCGCGATCCCTTAAGTGAGGGGGATCTCCTAAGGTATTCATCGATGAATGGACAAACGGCGCCGCTCCGTTTAAACAGCCGCGCGGAGAGAACCACCCCCGTTGACGCGTCGCGGGAGTGTCCTTGGCCTATCGATAGCGTTTGTACAGTCGTCACGGCATCGCCACGCTCCTCCACGCTGCTCCGGCAATCATAGGGCGCGCAGCCGTTGTTGCGTTGAGATGCTCGTGGTCGGTGCTGACACCAACTTGTTGCCGTTGTTGGGCGCATGCGTTCTCACGGCAGCACGTGAACACACCTGACGCATTCGTCAAGTCAACCCTTGACCAGTGCCGTATGAACTTGGTTAGCCACAAGTCGTGGATGATTAGGAGGACCAGGCGTTATCAGGATGTCGTGGGCTACGAGCCGACGCAGGAGTTGGCCACCAAGTGGGCCAACTCTAACCTTGACGACAGTATTCTTACATCGTTACATTGTTGTTGCATAGATATATCCGCTGGAAAAGATGCGCGACGACAACGTAACGACAACACTGTTGAAAAAGTTCCTTCATGAATTCCTACAATCCGCCAATTTTCCTAATCCATGTCCGATACGCTGAAAATAGACCAAATCCACTTGCGGCAAATCTCGCGATTTCCGACACGCAGAAATCATCAGCAATTTTATATAGGAGGATAATTTTCTATCTTTTCTATCTTTTTTAAGTTTTCATCTAGTTCGCTCGTAGATGCTTCATTTAGACTCGAACTCTCCATGTATTTCAACAATCTTGGTACCACCAGCTCCGGGGCTTCTAGTCGTCGGCTGAACTGGCCAGACGAGGTCGCCCAGTTTGGAGGTCGGGGTGCGCGTGGTGCGACCTTCTGGCACCGCCAGGGTCGCGTCGCAGCGCGTCGCGGTCCGATGGAGTCACGGCCGACTAGTACTGCCTCTGCGGAGCGCGGAGATCTTCGCGAAAGACATCTTCGTGCGACGTCGAGCGGCGGTGCGCATGAAACGCGAGGCAGCTGCGAGTCGACGATATAACACGACGTAACAACGTCCGAGTACGTGAGAAGGTGCGCGTTCGCGAATTTTCCGCCGGTGTAATCGATGCCGCCGCCTCGGCACCGTCGTGGCGCGTGTGCGCGTTGACGCACGTGCACGTAGCCGACGTGTCATCGTCGGCAAGCAGCAGCAGCAGCAGCAGCGGCGGCGGCGACGACGGCGGCTGCTGCGGCAGGGGTGTGGCGAGAAAGAGAGGAAGAGAGAGAGAGAGAGAGAGAGAGAGAGAGAGAACGGCAAGGCATCCTCCGGACGCGATGACGTAGACGGTCTTATTCGGACGATCGTTATCCCGTGAGAATGCAGACCGCGTAACGTGCGACGACGACGACGACGACGAGGACGAGGACGAGGACGTGGTGCGTGCGTGAACAACGTTTCCGCTTGACGCGGCGTGCGGAGATGCGAATTCGATCGCCAGGTGGCCAAAAGTGCTACATACCTGACTTCTTTCGTCGAGAGAGTGAGAGAAAGGGGGAGGGGCAGAGAGAGAGAGAGAGAGAGAGGGGGAGCTCGTTCGATCGATCGCCAGACGAGACGTGCCGATAACACGCATTTCCGAGTTGGGCTTTCCGAGATTTTTCGCTCGCCCGACAGTGCGCGACTCTCCCGGGATTTCCTCGCTGCAGATTCACAAGGGCGCAGGCACGGAGAGGAGGGCCGTGTCCTCTCTTCCGCCGATCCGGAGGAATCGAATGCCGCGTCCGCACGGGGTCGCACGGAGGAGGCGAATTCGCGCGAGCGACCTTCGGCGAAGGAGTATTATTTTCCCTCGTATTATCGAAGAGTTCGGACGAAGACGCGGACGCGGACGCGAACGCGGGCGGAGATGCTCGGAGAGAGACTTTATAAGTAATTCAAGTTCCGGCGTTTTTCCTCTGCCACCGCTGCACAATCATCCCTGAGCCTCTCACGTATCGTGTACATTTATAGCACTCTCGTATGCGCGTAACTTTCGGAAATTCGATCTGCGAGCGATCGCGAGAGAGCGGCCTGGCGGAAACGAAGTCCCAACACGCACGTGTCTGTCGTTCGCTCGAAACAGACAGATCCGCCGAAAACGCCGAATTCGTATCCCTTTTCCGCACGCAAAAACGCGATTGGTCGCGATGACGAATCCGTCGGGAGAATCGTGTGGCCGTGTGTAGATATATGTGTGTGTGTGTGTGTGTGTGTGTGTGCGATTTGGCGCGCGGAAGAACGATAACAACGGTTAATTGCGGCGCTTTAGCGAGGCGATCGTCGGATAAATGAGCGCAAATGCTTCGCGTGCGAGCCTGTCGGAAGACGAGATATAACACCGGCGAGCGAGGCTCGATTATGTGACACCCACTCTCGCGTAACCGCATTACGCAATCGTTATCTCGCGCGCGCGCGACGCGCATCCTCGAAGGCGTCGCGCGAATAAAAACTATATGCCGCCGTAAATAGCGCGCGTCACGCGTCGCGCCCGTAATATATAGCGGGCGTGAGTTTGGAAAATCAATAGCCGGGTATAATTAAATCGGCCGTCGTGCCGTCGTCTGTCCCGCGCGACACTCCGGGCTTTTTGCCCCCGAAAAAGCCGTGTTTTGCGTGCGTGATTGTTGTTAATCCGCGCGGCGGACTTTCGTTCGCAGTTTCGTCCGCCGTGCACTTTCCGCCAGCTTTCAGGAGAATCAGAATTGCCTCGGCCGATGTAATATTAACGCGCGCTGATCAATTCGTAAGTGCTCATCGAACGAATGTTTCCCTGCCGCACGCTGAAGGGGAACGCGTGTAGTAGAATTTGAAAGAGAGAGAATACTCCGTTTCACGTTCCGTCGCAGGCTGTCTGAAATAGCTTCGATTATCTCCCATCATTTGCGTCCCGGTTTCTACTTAATTACACAGGATGTCCGTTGTAAATAGCTCGGATATTAGATCCAGGCGGGTCGTGTTGCGCCGCGAGGTGTCCCGCTTCTGCCGCATTATCAATCAACGATCCTTTCAACGTCGCGTCTATTTTCATTGCTGAGAGCCTTAACATCGCAATTCTGCGTAAAATACTACTTCGTCGTATACGGCAGATAAGCAGACAAGCATACCTAACTCTCGCGTGCATAACTCGTCTCTTTCGGCACAAAGTGCTCCCTTTTTGCTCCAGTGTGCTCCCTTGTTAAATATATTAATAAACATCGACCTCTATTCTAATCGTTTTACAATATTCTCCCCTCCTGCGTGAGTGTATTCCAACGAATATCAGATATATTCTCACGGTGCTCGAATTTCCAAACTTTCCTCTCGCCCTTTCTGTCATTCATCATTCGACAATAACAAGCTCGTCGATCTCACAGACCGGCCGACAGAGACGATCGCGATGAACCGGCCTGCCATTCGAATATGACGCGGTAGACTCGGGACACCCGGTATAAGCACCCGCTACGCGACTCATGACAGCGCCGCGAGTGCACGTGACGGTGGTAACAGCGCGGCGTGTCGTTGCGACGCGTCGCGTAAGTTTTGGTTCGTATGAAAACACGCATCAGCGCTCGTCGTGCACAGTCGTCGTCGTCGTCGTCGTCGAGGTTCCGCGAGGAGCGCGTACCTCGAGCCCGGAGACGCGAGAGACGGTAATCCGCGGAAACCGCGCGCACGTCGGACGTTCGCGGTGGAAGCTCGCATAACCTCAAAATAACGCGATAAGAGATCTTCTCGGGCGGCGAAGCAGGCGGAAAAGAACGCGCCGTCGGTTTTCCCGGTGAAGCGCGACGGCGTATAAAGACAAACATCGGCTGGTTCGCGGGCGATATTGTTGTGGCACGACGCGACCGGCGATCGATGCGATTAAAGGGAGAATTATTTATCGTCGAGCTTATAGGCGATATCTAACCTACTACCGTCACCGCCGCCGTCGCCTCCGTTCATACGTCCACCCGATGCGCCAGCATCGACGTTGCCGTCGTAGCCCGTGTCCACGTGTGGAAGTGTGCACGTAGTAGTGTGCGCGCGGTACGTTACATTCGTGACGAGTTAAATATGAATCGAAAAGTCGGACGTATCGTGCACGGTGACATGTGAGACACGCGGCCGCTCGATTCGGCGACGTACACCACAGCCAGCGATCATGGAAGTCGCGAGCACGAAGCTGCTGCAGTGGTTCAATGAACTCAGATCCCGTATACACCTCTATCTGCACGCCCAGACGCGTAAGTTATCTCTCCATGCGCCCATTCAAAGTATCAGCGATTAATTCGAGCTGTCGGGTCAGACGTGCTGAAGATATATATCATCATCGGCTGGTCCGTCCAGCAGCACGACGCAGCGACGACGCACGCTTGTTGTCGAGTAGCGTCATGCTTGAGAGACCGTCTACGGCGACACCGCCGACGCGCGACGGCTCGATGGAATTCAGTCTTTTGTCGAATGCGCTTGCCTTTGTGTCCGGCCAAGAGACGCAGCGGTGATATTTCAGAGGTCCCCGAGATATAACATTTTCCCCGGCTGAGACACTCACGTGGCAGTTCCCGCAGCGCGGGATGCGGGATACTCCGCGATATGACGCGGTCGATGCGGTCTCGACCGGATTCGGTTCTCGATAGGAGTGATTTTGTTCTCGATATAAATAAATATGATGTAAATGCGGTTTTTTTTCTTCAAGTATACGCGCGTGCGCAACATATCTGCTAACGGTATACAGGGTGATTCGAAATTCCCGCATTCGGAGTACAGGATACTTTATGGTAAAATAAACTTTTTCCTTTAGCAAAATTGCATCCGACAAGCAGTTTTTGCAGGAGAACGTGTTAAAGTTAATGAATAAAGAGATCACCCTGTATACGCGACTGCAGTAATAAACCGGCTAGTTTCAAAGCAGTTCTTGCATATCTGAGAACTTGTTCCGTGAACTACACTATCGGCTGGAAATGTTTATTGTACCATTGTGCGCTTTTTTAACCGTAACTGAGCGCATCGCGTTATTTGTGACGTAGCTGATCGGTTTTGCGCTTGTCGTGAAATATAGTACCGAGGAGGATCGATTTGTGCGAACGAAGGCGTAGTTTTACTTTAAACACGAGGCTTTACCTTCCCGGAGGATCCTCGGTCCTCCGTTTGCTTTGCGAAGAAAACTTGGGCGAAACTGGAAATGCCGATATGACGATTTCGTCGGGATTGATCCCGAAGAGCACTCATGACGCCCGGTTGTCATAAATTTAACGCCAGTATTGTTCAAATAATAATCTTTTCGCACATTCTAACAAAACATCTGGAGTATATTCGCCATTCAAATACGAAACTCATGTCGATGGAACGTGGCTTTCGAAAGGCTATACCTTTGTCGCTGCAAACGCCGCGATGCAATAGTTTTCGAGGGAACAATTTGAAACTCGCTTCATGCGAGACATTCCATACACTGGCTGACAATAAGATTCCTTCGTTGCTCTCCGTCTCTGCCGTATCTCACGCGCGATAGCGATAAAGGCCGAGTGCGCGTTTGACATCGGGCCGACAATAAAGCAGAAGCCTTTCGCGCGTCGAGCGGCTGTCTCGGGGAATACCTACGGCCGTGTTATTTATCTCTCAAGTTCACCGTGTCACGTATGACTATGATACTTTTATAGCGATCATTTGCTGCGTATATCTCGCGCTCGTGTCGCGATACAACTGTCAGTTTCACTGTTGGTGGGCGGCGGTGCATAATGCGATAAAGCGAGGAGGCTATAGAAGGAATATCTGAATATCTGTCATGTCTCTTGGAAAATGTCACTTCCTTGGACACAATGCGCTTTAACAGTCGGAATTCCCCGATGAAAATGCCGTGACCATTTGTTTTACGTCTCGCTCCTTCCGACAGGCGTGTGTATTTCTGTATACTTGAGGAGAACGAGCGGTGAGCGGTTTTGCCGGCTTGCCGAGGCACGTGAGATTCACACGAAATAAATAGATCGTTGCTTTTCGTTTGTTGCAGTTGGTCCGGTAAGGGCGGAAAATGGTGGCTCACAGGGTGAGGATCAACCACCTACGCAACACGGTGATAATGAGGAGAGGGTCATCTTTGTCAATGCTCCGCATCAACCCGCAAAATACAAAAACAATCACATCACCACTGCGAAGTATTCATTTCTGTCATTTGTACCTTTATTCCTGTTCGAACAATTCCGTCGTTACAGCAACTGCTTCTTCCTGTTCATCGCACTTATGCAGGTAGAGCTTATATGACATTCGGCTGTAAGTGTAATCGAATCTCGCGAATGTAAACGAGTATGTAGCGAGTGTGAAGCGAGAAGAACGTCGGATCCTTTTCCACAGTGATCTCTCTTTGTGATCTCGCATCTACTACCCTGCTTGGTTCTCGAGCAAACAATGTGAATTCTCTTTCGCGTCTCTCCGGACCTTATCCTTGAGAATCTATATTGAGAATCATTCGCAACATAAACGAGGTTTAACGCATTCTTTCTGATTTAAATTTAGCAAATACCAGACGTTTCCCCGACCGGACGGTACACAACATTGGTGCCACTGATTTTCATCCTCAGCGTGTCCGCCCTGAAGGAGATAGTCGAGGACATTGTGCGTACCTTACATTAAGAAGTCAAAATGATAACACGGCGCGTTTTTCGCCGCGTTGTCGCGCGTACGCGCGACTAAAATCTGCCGGTCTGTTTTTCTTTTTTTTTAGAAGAGGCACAGAGCAGACGATGAGATAAACATGAGAGAGGTGGAAGTCCTAAGGGACGGCCGCTGGCAGTGGATACAGTGGCGTGCTTTGGCCGTTGGCGATGTAGTTAAGGTTGCCTTCCTGTTTCCGTGACGATCATTGATGCGGTAATAATCGGAGTCCCCTCCCAGCTAGAACCGCTCTCTTTAATATGCATAGGTCCACAACAACACTTTCTTCCCCGCTGACTTGATCTTATTGTCGTCATCGGAGCCGCAGAGTATGTCCTTCATAGAAACCGCCAATTTGGACGGCGAGACGAACCTGAAGATCAGACAGGCCCATCCCGACACTGCCAATCTTTTGGATACCGCGGAATTGATGAATTTTCGCGCGAACGTACAGTGCGAGCCGCCTAACAGGCATTTGTACGAGTTCCACGGAGTCTTACGGGAGACCAATAAACAGTAAGAATACATACGTCACGCACACGTGCGATACATACACATAGGGATTCCCGCGGCATCGTCGCGGCGTCGTCTTATTCTTCCGCGCCAATCCGCCAAATTTTCACAACAAGCGGCGCTCCGTCGGCGCGAAGCGTCTTGATATTCATGGGAGAAATTCAATTCCTTTTCTCGGGCGCGTTATGCAACTCGTCGTCGATGTTAAATGCTCTTTCCGTCTTCTGCTTGTCGCATCCTGGCGATTCTCGGCACGTCGTTACGCGGTGATCTAAGCATCACACAGTTACATCACAGGCAACATTGTTGTTTCGCAGGAGCGTAGCTTTAGGGCCCGATCAATTGTTACTTCGTGGCGCGATGTTGCGGAACACACGGTGGGTGTTCGGCGTGGTCATTTACACGGGCCACGACACGAAACTCATGCAGAATAATACCGCGACAGCGCCGTTGAAGCGATCCACTCTCGACCGACTGATCAACACGCAGATTCTCATGCTCTTTTTCATACTCCTTTTGCTGTGCATTCTCTCGGCGATATTCAACGTCGTGTGGACAAACGCCAACAAACACGGCCTCTGGTACTTGGGTTTGAAAGGTATATAAGCCTCGCTCCGCGAGCACGTGCCAGCGCGATTCTCGGAGGGATTTGTTTGTGCCTCACCTTACTCGTTATCTCGTTACAGAGGAGATGACAAAGAACTTTGCTTTCAACCTTTTGACGTTTATCATCCTCTTCAATAATTTAATACCGATATCGCTGCAAGTAACGCTCGAGGTAGTGAGATACGTCCAGGCGACCTTTATCAATATGGACATTGAGATGTATCACGCAGAAACGGACACACCAGCGATGGCCCGCACCAGTAACTTGAACGAGGAACTCGGAATGGTGAATTATGTATTCACGGACAAAACCGGCACTCTAACGAAGAACGTCATGGAGTTTAAGCGATGTTCGGTCGGTGGGAAGATGTACGAGTAAGTTGGTTTTACTATAGAACAGATTATGCTACTGCTGTCTCTCTCTCTCTCTCTCTCTCTCTCACACACACAATGTACATCAATGACAACTTAAACGCGTGTTCTCTTTGACCGTGAATATTTTGTGCAGTTTGCCAAATCCCATTATCGAGGAGGAGGGTGTGAGTGAGAGCTGTTGCGATTTAATCGAAGATATCGTTGAAGGAAGGTCCGTGCGCGACTCCTCGAACCCTATCGATAAGAAGAAAGCGGAGCAAGCTGCGGTGCTTCATGAATTCATGGTCATGTTGTCGGTCTGTCACACGGTCATCCCTGAGAAAGTGGATGACTCGATAATTTATCACGCTGCATCTCCGGGTAAATAGTCCGCCATTCGCGCGAATGTTCATGTTGATGCGGCACGTACGGTGTGGCGATTATACGTTATTGCATTCTCCCTCCTTTGTGACAGATGAGAGAGCGCTAGTGGACGGGGCACGTAAATTTAATTACGTGTTCGACACTCGAACGCCCAATTATGTGGAAATTGTAGCTCTAGGCGAGACTCTACGGTACGAAATACTGAATGTAATAGAATTCACTTCGGCTAGAAAGAGAATGTCGGTGGTGGTGAAAACGCCCGAGGGAAAAATTAAAATTCTTTGTAAAGGGGCAGACTCTGTGATCTATGAAAGATTAACACCAATAAACTCTGTAGAAATTAGCGATCTCGACCAAGAGCACATAGATGATTTTCGTCAGGCAACTCTGGAGCATTTGGAGGCTTTTGCCAGCGACGGATTGCGAACGCTTTGCTTCGCCTCCGCGGAGATACCGGAGAATGTTTATCAGGTTTGTGTGTTGCGCGTTGTTGTAGAATTCGGATTATTCCTCGATCGTCGTGTTCACCTAAATAACTCTTGATAATTTTTTCTCGATAGTGGTGGCGCGAATCGTATCATAAAGCATTGGTTAGCACGAAGAATCGTGAAATCATGTTGGAAGAGACTGCGAATCTTATTGAGACTAAGCTTACGTTATTGGGGGCAACTGCAATTGAGGATCAGCTGCAAGATCAAGTAGAGGATTGATTGTTTCTATTTGCGACTGTTGTCTGGTTGCTGCGTCATGCATACATCTTATGTAACTTTTGCAGGTCCCAGAAACGATACAGGCTCTTTTGCAAGCTGATATCAACGTCTGGGTATTGACGGGAGATAAGCAAGAGACCGCCATAAATATCGGTTACTCGTGCAAATTGATAACGCATGGAATGCCTTTGTACATCATCAATGAATCCTCTCTGGATGTGAGTAAATAATCACGAAAATTTCCAACTTCTCACGGATGTGCTAACGCGCAAAGTGTGTCCTGCAGAAAACGAGGGAAGTTATAATCCAACGTTGCCTAGACTTTGGGATTGACTTGAAATGCCAAAATGACATAGCTCTAATTATCGACGGAAGTACTTTGGATTTTGCCCTGTCATGCGACATCAGGATGGACTTTTTGGAATTGTGCTCAGCTTGCAAAGTGGTTATCTGCTGCAGGGTGTCGCCCATACAAAAAGCTGAGGTAACATTTCTGTTTTGTGTTTACGCTTGTACGATGAAATCTATTTAAGCAATTGTATCACAGAGTTGTAATTTTCCAGGTAGTTGATTTGATTACGAGCAACAAGAAAGCCGTGACTCTTGCAATCGGCGATGGTGCGAATGATGTTGCTATGATCCAAAAAGCTCACATTGGTGTCGGTAAGTTTTATAAGTCTATCCGTTATACTAATCTTGGGATATTTCCATGCTATTGAAGATAAATTATCACAAGATGCATCCCGATTCTTGCAGGTATCTCAGGTGTAGAAGGTCTTCAAGCAGCTTGTGCCTCCGATTACTCCATTGCACAGTTTCGTTTTCTGAAACGTCTATTATTCGTTCATGGCTCTTGGAATTATAGTAGAATGTGTAAATTAATATTGTACTCGTTTTACAAGAATATTTGTCTATACGTTATTGAATTGTGGTTCGCTATTTATTCCGGCTGGTCCGGGCAGATTCTTTTCGAAAGATGGTCCATTGGACTTTACAATGTGGTAAGTTCTATATAAACCATTTGTTTCGCTGAATCTTTAAGGAATACATTAATATCTTACGCACCTATTTCGCAGGTTTTCACAGCTGCGCCTCCATTGGCTATGGGTCTCTTTGACAAGGTGTGTTCAGCAGAAACTCACTTGGCTCATCCAGGACTGTACGCGACAAAGAATAATGGCGAATCATTCTTCAACATTAAAGTAAGTGTGTCTTTGTACGAATCGCAGTGGATTGGAATTCCGCAACAGCGGAATATTTTCGGGAGAAGGACGAGAAAGCGATAGAATCACATTTAAAGATAAATCCAATACTTATGAATACGCTTTGAATGTCCGAACAGGTATTTTGGATATGGATTGTGAACGCCTTGATTCATTCGTCGTTACTTTATTGGCTACCACTCTTGGCTCTCACACAAGACGTGGTTTGGGCAAACGGTAGGGACGGTGGTTATCTTTTACTAGGAAACTTCGTCTATACTGTGAGTGTCATGCGATATCGTTCGTATTGTGCAATCGCACGAAAGAGATTTATGAAGACTTTTATGACAGAGAAGGAGAAACATGTATATGTCGTATCGTTCATTAGTATGTTGTAGTAACTGTATGCGCGAAGGCAGGTCTAATAATAAACTCATGGACATGGGTCACTCATTTAGCAACGTGGGGATCTATTATACTCTGGTTTTTATTTATTTTTATATATAGGTAAGAATCTCTCTTTGAATGCCAATATACTTGCAATTTTCGACACGTTCACAGTAGCGTACAATTTATAATCGATCGATTTTTATAATTTCTCTCTCGTTGCAGTAATTTTTGGCCCGTTTTGAACGTTGGCGCTGTGATGTTAGGCAATGACAAAATGTTATTTTCTTCGCCTGTTTTCTGGCTGGGACTTATATTAATACCAACGGCAGTATTGCTTTTGGATGTTACAGTAAAAGCGTGAGTACAAGTATCTTGCAATCGCTGATAAACATTCGCGCGCGAGTGTTATATACATATATATATATATATATATATATTTAATTAAATAAAATTACTTTTTATCGTATCAGAGTGAAGAATACAATTTGGAAGTCTGTAACAGAAGCAGCTCGAGAGAATGAAATTAGAAAGTCAGATCCTGGTGTTATATTCAACAATCAGGACTATAGAAGCTCGTAAGTACTCTCATTTGTACATTAGGAAATAACATATAGGAAATGTTGAATTGCATTTAGTCATAAATAATCAGGGGAACGCTTTCTCTAACATTTAATTTGAAGGTACAAAATATGAAACTGTTGCGTTACTTATTACCATCGCTGACGGTTCAGAGAAGGTTGAATGAAAAACGAAATATCCATTTGTGTCACTAACTTATTTGGTTACATCTGAGGAGTTTAATGCTTTTCAAAGAGAGTTTTAAAAAGGGATTTAATATTCGACATTAATGCATGAAATATTCCAATAACTATATCTGTGTTTTATTGCGTTGACTCATTAAAACATTAAAACTTACTATGCATGGCTTTCTAGATCCTAGCTCCATTATTATGTACTATCTATACTCGAAAACAAACTTACATTACGTGGTGGGTGGTCTGATTAACCTTGGAAAACAAAATTCTCTCTGTCCTTTGATATGTTTATAGGTGCATGTATGTAATCATGTCGAATCTTACTATACACGACTAACAATTTCATCGAAATAACATCGTCATTTGCACACTCGTTTACATGCTAATAAATTCATCAGGGGATCCCGTGAGGCAAATCTGTTACATTTGTTATTAATATCGTTGATTTTATAATTGAGTCGATGCGTATGAATTATGACAGGAGGTCGTGGTCGACGAAGCGATGGTTAAGTCGATGCTGGGCCTTATTCTGCTCGCGACGAAGATTCAGTAGGCTGAGAATATTTCCGTTTGTAGCACACGATTCGTGGTTCGTGCACCGTTCAGAGCATGCATCATCCGCATCATTTCATACCTCGTCTGATCTGTATTCCATGTGATCCGTTCATCCATTATATTCCCGTCTTCCACGACTGCCATAACCAGTAAGCATTTTGACTTCTACATTTGTATTATTCGTAAAGTATGTCAAGGCTAAGTTGCATCCACAGAGTTAATTAACATTTGGTTGCGTTAGTAATATCTTACTTTATTTGACATAGATTAATTTTGTGTGCAAAGGTGTGATATGAAGGTAAAGAAAATATCTCTGATTTATCTTAATTGTAACTCGCTCATTGGTGCAATTTACATTTGATGTACTTAAGTGTAAGCACTAATCTAATATATTTGTCTCGAACGCAAAATTATCGCGATTCATCTTGCGCGACACTTATTTACCGTACTAAATGCCGGTCTTATATGTCCACGACAGTTTGTCGTGCGTTATAAATGATAGGTCTGACAACTGCGTACTTTCCAAGATATTTATATCTCATTTGGGAATCCTTTTTTTTTATCTTACACGAACTGATTTATTTATTAGATGTAATTTATATTTAGTAAAAATGTTGTTTAATTTGTTGTTTGATCCTAATACAATTTATTAATTTCAATATTTATTATAACTATCCCTCTCTCTTTCTCTTTTTCTCTCTCTCTCTCTCTCTCTCTCTCTCTCTCTTTCTGTATTTCTTTCTTATTGTTTTATGACATACAATAAAACCTCTCGTGCGAGATTTCTCTAACACACTTTTGACCAATCGTTTGTGATATCGTGTGTTTTGAGGAAAGTAATACGGTGTTTTGTAGCACAGCAGGTTCTATTGTACGCAAAAAATTTAATTATATTAATTTGACATCTTTGCCTTCACATTGTTAGTTGCTACTAATATTAATTAGAACACGCAACACGCATCCTCGAGTGATGCGCGTAATACGTATTGCACACGCGACCATGTGACCTAGTATGAGCCGTAGCACTTGGCATTTTTTCAACCTTGTATACATACGTGCACAAAAGGAATCCTCCAATTGAGCTAGATTTAAAACTTTATTGTACTCAGACCTCCACATTCATGCCGAGTGGTATTCTAGAATCATGGAGCATTATTGTAGAAGCCCGTACGATATCATCCCCGCTCCTACCCGCGCCCTTTTCTCTGTAGAAGTAATGCTTGTAGATTTAATGATCTATCCGTTACTTTATACTAATGTTCACTATACACGATCTGCCGTTCGTTAATACGGTTTTTTCGATATGTTTTCTTCTCGTGGCATCCCGTGCAGGCCTGTGCATGCCATCGCCGATCTCGCGAGGTGTAAGTACCCGTCCCTCCCCCCTTTAGTAGTGCGTAATTCGCAGCGCTGCCACACTTATATAAATATGTGTCTTCCGCATCTCTTCAAGCGAGAACACCGCCGATTAAGTCAAGAATGCATGACGAACGTGTCTCGATGTCTCGTTGAGTAAAAGCGCACAACACGGTGCATTTTTAATGGCAATCACGCAATTCCCCCGTCGTGCATTCCGTATACCCGTAAGCCCGAGAGAACGATAGTTTCTCAACGGAGAAACGAGCGTATATGCGGTATAAGACACAGCTACATCTATATTATTTCACCCGCTTGAATCACGATTGTGTGACACCCGGCCTTTTTTCAGCAACGCGCGCATGTCTTGAATCTCACTGATCGCGGTAATATATGTGCGAGGGATATCGATCTTTCCTCGTTTGCAAGTAAAGTGTACAGCCCGTATTTGCATATACGATTGTCTCATTTTGTCCCGTTTCTATTTTTACTTTTACTTGCATTCCCGTATGATGATCTTGCACCTTGCACCACTCCCACACTACCACACTCGTTGTACCAAACCGTCGTAAACTCAAAGGAAAAGAAAGAAATAGATTTACGGAGCTCGTTGAACTCGGGAAGTGTCGATCGAGAGCGAGTTTGTGTGCGCACATGCGTGCGCGTGTGTGTATATTGTGTATGTACAGAGCAACGATTGGAAAGTTAAAGGGAAAGAGAGAAAATTTCTAGTTCGTCGTAATCCATACTGAGAGAGTGGCGTAATATGGACGATGAGGGAGTTCTCTGGTCAGCCGAGAATTTCTAAATCATTCTTGAATGTACCCGGCTTTGCAGATTGACGGAAACAGCGAGGCTGCTGAAAAACGTTAAAAGTGTTTTCACCAGGCGCTCGAACGCCGCCTCCAGAGTCAATGTCGAGGTGGAGCTATCACGTAAGTTGTCTTTTCCACACAGCATCCAATCGTGCTGGGGGAGAAAAATTCTTCCCGTACTTTATCGCGCGATGCCCCCGGCTGACACGTCTCTCTCTCTCTCTCTCTCTTTCTCTCTCTTTCTCGAGAGCCTTATTCATTACTCAGCCTAACGCGTCAACTCTGCGATATATCGCGGTCTTTTTATCCACTATAGGTAATCTTGTACACCACGATATATCGATATTGTATATTTTCTCATATTTATTCCGCACCCTGGCACGCGCGCTTCATCTCTCACGGCTTTCCGTTTCTCGTCCGTCTTTTTTTTCGTTCGTTCGTTCGTTCGTTCGTTCGTTCGTTCGTTCGTTCGTTCGTTCGTTCGTTCGTTCGTTCGTTCGTTCGTTCGTCCGTTCGTTCGTTCGTTCGTTCGTTCGTTCGTTCGTTCGTCCGTCCGCGAGCTTTTATTTTATCGACGAGTGCAGTCCTACAACAAATAGAGCTAGTTGTTCCTCGCACGTGTCGAGGTGTTTTGAACAGATCGACTAGTCGCACTTTTTCGCACATGCACCGTTTTATTATTCTATCGTTTAAATATTTATATATATATATATACATATACATTAAGTTTTATGCAATCGATGCATTAGTTTGCGCCAGAAGCGTCGCTCGCGCGCGCTCACTTCGATCCGTCCGTCGAGCACGCACACGTTCTCTCTTCCGGTATCTCTCCGCGAGCGGACGGAAGCGCGGACGACGCTTCTGGGACGCCGTGTATATACATATACGTATCTCTCGCTGTACTTTTCATTGGTAGAATTACTCGAGACTAGACTAACTTCTCTTCTAGTTTTCTCTTTTATATGCTATAAATAGCGCTTTTTATCGGATCTCTCGGCGAGTAGTAGCGTGCATCTCGCGGCACCTTCGGGAATTTCACCGGGAATGCCGCTACGCAACAGATACGAGACATGTGTGTGTCTAATGCGATGGGCTAACTCGGACTAACGTATATCGAAGAGAGATCGGTCGAGTCGAGTCGGCTTGATTAGTTCCATCGATTAGCCATAACGCCGGGCAGTAAGATTAACGCCTCCTTAACTATCCTTTCTTTTCGCACGCTCAACTAACATCCTGCTTCTCACGACAGAGCTTAATGATTTGCGACCTTTGTTATTGCGCATGCTGCGCGATGCAGATGGTTTCGCGTTCTCGCAAGAGGAGGGTGGCTCGGTTACCCAGACGGACGTGATCCGGGCGTACGACACAAATCTTCCGAAACCCGGCGGCATGTGATTTAAGCCGGGCTGCCATGCGGCGAGATGATGCCGGCTGCTTTCGCAAACTGTCTGAAGCCAGCAGCGGAGGGCTTCGCGATTCGACGCTTCTACTCTACGTGTTTGCTCGACTAACGGAGGATCGATCGACCTCCGACATGGAATTGGCTCGACGACAGGCTTAAGGACATCCCCGAGGAGTCTCGGAAGCTTGAGGGAGGATTGAGGCCCTCGGTTAGTCGCGCGCGAGCGCGCGTTCACCTCTCCGTCTTTCTTTCTCGCTAAAATAGAAACTTACCACGGCCTTTACCTCTGATCCGACGTAATAAATAGCCGAGTCTACTGCGCCGGAAAGCACTTGTCGGTGGGAAAAGGGACGTTAGATATTTACAGACGTGTGTAGTGGTTTCCGCTCGATATCTTCGCCACACGCCGCCGGGACGCGCACGGTCGCCATGGCTAATTGAGGGTCGAACAACGCGTTGACGTTCAAACGAGCAATTCCTCTCGAACTTACTGCGATCAATTTGTAGAAAAAGTAAAAGCTCCGATATTAGCACGAACAATTATTTTGATACTCCGTGAAATTTTATTCTAATACTTGTACGTAGTGCGATCTCGTTGAAAGATTATATCGGATAGAGCGACGTATTTCGCGCGGGGACTCGGCGACTGGCAGCGTCGCAGCTGCATTCCGATGCGATGCATTTGGGAAAGCATTTCGTGTTGATGTCAAAGTGTGCGCAGAGAGAGAGAGAGAGAGGGAGAGAGAGAGAGAGAGAGAGAGAGAGAGAGAGAGAGAGAGAGAAAGTCTTATTATGCACCGATAAACCGCTTATCTACGTCCATTTCTTCGTAGAACGCGAGAGCGGGACGCTCGCTCGCTCTCGCTCCAATTGAGAAAGTCGCGCGAACTCGTGCAAGCTCTAATTGCGATTTTGAATGTTAATATATGCATATATATATTTGTTCTGAATGTATAAAGAGAATGAGATTCGTCGTGTGAGATAATCATCCAGGGATGCACCCAAGCAAGTTGTCCCTGAAATTGTGAGTACCTCTCTCTCTAAAAAAAAAATATATATATATATACGTGTATATATGTATACACGTATACATATATATATATATATATATATATATATACATATATAATATAATATAATATAAATATACAATTTAATCTAAATTTGTACATTTCCAAAATTGAGAAAGAAACATCTTCGCGATCGCGACACGATCGATAGAGGATTATGTTCGATTTCGTGTCAGAATAAGACTGTTCCCCTTGTTCTATATAATGTATATATTACGTTACTCTTCAGTTTTTGTTAACGATATAACGTATACTTCATTATACTGTACATACACGAAAGTGCGTTGTTATCTAGTCAGAATCTGATACCGATCTTTCAGTTCGAGATTCACTCTTCCGCCCATCATGATACACTCTTTTTTAAGTTTACGACTGATGAATTTAATAAAGAGAAATATATATATATACATATAACATATGTAAAGTAACAATTGTATACACTATGTTCGGAATAAAACGGTGATAAAGAAATCGCCTCGATCCACCTTCCTCTTTCATCAGCGAGGAATACCACATTCTAAAATTTATAAAGCGACAGAAATGACAGAAATCCATATGTTGACCACTTAAATGAAACACGACAATGCGTCTAATCACGCGTACCTTTATTAAAGTGATGTAGCAATAACAGTCGTACAAAGCGTGTAGAGATACAAACATACCTGGCGCGCTCCAAGTAAAAGTATATAAATTATCTGCAAGTATATGTATATAATACTGGATGGACGCGCCAAGGACGATTGACGATTGAGAGAAGAATGCGAAGTTAGGTGTACAATGTTCAGCATCTCAATGATACTTCATCACGTTGCGCGTAAGCGGCTTGCGTTCAGTGCGTGCATGTGTGTGCGTTTCCGATTCAAACGAGTAAACCGTGTTCTCAATTGACGTCAAAATTCAGAAAAATCTTGTATCGTGGGACTTCGAGTTTTAAGGCGTCGACTCATCGTCAAGTTGGCGGTTCCAGCTTGAGACTGATGAAGAAGTTCTCGCGGTCCTCTCTGTAGCGCGCTTTCAGCAGGAATTCGTGCGCGAACGAGTGCAGCGTAAAATTGTAAGTTTGTGCGGATCTCTGACGATCTGTCAACCACGCTGCTACATCGAGAACCCGTTGCGTCTTCGAGTCCATATTTTTCGCTGATCTCTTCTCGTTCGCCACACGCGCTTTCGATGCCAGCCTGATGATGTGCCAACGGCGAAAGAACTTACGCGCCAGATATCGTTGTCCAAGTGTCCAGGCGTTGTTCTCGGTCTCGTTGACGTTGTTCTTGCGCGTCGTGAACCTTATCCTGGTTAACGTCGTCGTGAGGAAACGTCTGGCCAGGCATCGCTTGGGCACCGTGGGATTTTCCTCGTCTCTTGAGCGAACGTTATTGTTAACGGATAAAGGTGAAGCGCAGGCAATTCTCACAGTTGACTGTTTCCTCGCAGACGACGCAAAGTTTGCTTGGATTCCCCTCGAATCATTCAGTTCCAGGACCTTGAGCAGAAAGTGCCCGACGTACGGCATACAAGGTGGTCTGCGCTCCGCTGCGGCCCAAGCTCTCTGATATCTTGAGCAACGCGGACTCTTGTAGACTTTGGAGAGCTTCTCCATCGACTCATACCTGAAACATAAATAAATAAACTAGTAGAAGAGCATGTTCATCAGGGAAGGTAATCGGAGTGAATAGGTATCAATGTGACATATATTTCTAGAAATGCCATCAGAAACTTATGTATGATGTATCTCGAAACTTATTCGCGCGGCGTAAAGCTAATTGCGGACAGGATCCATGGAAGCGCCGTTCACGAAATTGTAAGCTGCAATTGAGCATATGTACGTGACTCTAAAAGGGGAATTATATAATTTTCTCTGAGAATCCTAGACCTACCTGCTAGCGTGGTGAGTCCGCAAGTAGGACCAGCTTTTCCGGAGTCTGTGAATCGGCGGAGCCTGGAGGCCGGCTAAGATGGATCTGCATGACTGGAAGTTACCCAACGCGAAGCACTTCTCGGCGGCATTGATGAACCTCGCCATGATCCTGGTCCTCATGTCGAGCTTCCTGATCGCGAGGATCTCGCTGACAGTCAGGCAGGCAATCCTGTGGCTGAAGGCGATCCAGGCGCCCAAGTTCGGCGCGTTGCGCGATGATTTCTGATGGACGAGGACGTCGATCTCCGTCGTGGGGATCCGTACGAAGAGGTCGCGATCGATCATCGTCAGTTGCGTCGCCAATGTGCCGCTGTCCAGGTCCCATACAGTGATGCGGAGGTTCATTTTCAGCAGTCTCCGCAGTTGTGCCGTGCCTCTATCGACGTTCGCCTTCTCCCTCGCCCTTCTGTCGCGTTTACGCGCGCCATTGATGGACAACATACGTTCCAAGAGACCGCTCGACTTTCCTGTAACCATCGTAGTCTCGGGATTGCCGGTCTCCTCTGAACCCTGACCTCCACGTCTGCCGAAGAACCTCCTCCTCGTCCGCTTTTCTCTTCCACGACGGAAATCCTGGAGGGACGTCAAGTGACTCCGCAGCTCTCTATCGCATAATTGTCATGTGAGAGAAATTGTCCACTGGAGAGAACGGCTGGGTTGGATTTAATTTAACTTGTCGAAGGATAAGCCTTCCCTGAAGGCTGAAGTCGACATCTACCTGACGATATGAATCACTCTCTTTCGCCGCACGTAGGTATATATATATATATATATAAAATATATACAATTTTAAAAATATACATAATAATTTAATAATTATTTCTTTCTCTAATTTAATAAATATATATATGAATATTTAATAATTTAATAATTATGCATATATAATAAGACGAATATTTTTTAGCCAGAGCTAACGTATTATTTATAGCGCGATTGTTACAAGAGACAACATCTCGCATCACCTGTAGGCAGCCGCCGCAGCTTGAGGTCTGTACCAATACTCAGGTGTCCAGAACAACGTCACTCGTCCTCTGGTGACAGCGCTGTTGATGCCGCCGGACGTTAATGCGGCGCAGGAGACGCTGGCGGTCAGCTGACGACGCGAGAGCGGCAGCCTCAGTTCCGACTCCGCGGGTTGTTTGCGAATATTCACCACGCTCGATGCTCGCAACGTCTGCACGGAATCGCGCTCTCCAGGTTGCACGGACCACGGCCCGAGAGCGTGAAGGAAGTGCGCCGCCGAAGCGAAGGCGTACCTCCTCGGGTGCTTCGGTTTCTTGGACGACCTACGGCCACCTTCGCCGCCGTCCTCCCACCCCGTCACACCGCTCTCGATCAACTCGTAAGGATCGGCGACGCGAGGCGCGTGGACCTTGGAGACCTTGAAGTAACCTGGATCACCGCGATATGGTCCGAGTACCAGCCCAGAGTGGCATTTCTCCGGCACCCCGAGGCCGAAACGCGATATTTTCGACGTCGACGGTTCTTTCCGATGCTGCTGAGGACATCTTCCGTGCTTCTTCCCTTCCGTGTGCTCCTCGAGATCCTCTTCGGACAGCAATCTCGGATGCTCTGGAAGGTTTCAATCGTCAGCGTCTTCAGAGTCTCCAACGCGAATTACACTCGTTTCAAATGTCTCGTTATTCCAGTTCTCATTTCTTGAATTGACAGTCATTGTTTTTTAATATTATCAGATACGTAACAAAATGGAGCTCCGTGCGAATCCGTTTGCTCTCACCGCGACATCGGCAGTGCTTCCGGATGCCAACGCTGTCGTCCAGTTCACAGACGTTGCAAGGCGAGCTTTCGCAGCTAGCGGTGTGCTCACAACGGCGAGCCTTGTGATCCCTCACGAAGAGGACGTTGCAGAGTCCGCCGGCGCGTTGCGACTTGGCTCGACCGCCAAGCTTCGTCTGACACGGCCAACTGTGGCAGGACTTGTCGCGGATGATGCGGCGCGGCGTGTAGTCCTTCAGCTCGTACCTAACTTCCTCCAGGCTAGCCCCGGCGAATCTTATCGGCACAGGTGTGTAATGACCGTTTACCAGTTCGTTGTAGGACGGCCCGAGATACAGATCCTTCTCCGTCCAGGTGGGTGTGACGTAATCACCCGCGCCTCCGTAGCGTGTCCATATCCTGTACTCGTTTTTAAATACGCAATTACACACACAGGGTATCGCTCGTTGTCTGGAGATTCGTTCGACGTTAGTATCGACTGATTCGCACCTGAATATTGGCTTCGCGCACCTCCCGTCGCAATTAGCCTCGACTTCGATCTCCGACGACAACAGATACAACGCGCTGCTGCTCGACGAGCTCGCCGCCGTCGTTTCGGATAATGAACTACCGTTCACCTTGCATGCTAACAACTTCCGCACTTGCTCGCACCAGATCTTCCAGTGAAGCCTGCGCCGCTTCGCACCACCGAGCTCGTAATAATTAGCGCGACCGTTGATGAACCTGAATACGGGCGAGCGTCGGAAAAGTTCTGCTTTCTGTCTGCTTTGGAATCTACTCCAAAGAGATTCTCGATGAAAAAGAATGGATTTCTGATCCTTTGATAAAAAAAAAAGAAAACAGAGAGGAGAGGATTCTCCTCGCTTCGTTTAACGAAAGAGTCTCTATTCCTTGCTCTTGTAAATAAAAAAAAAAATTGGAGAAATCGAGGAAAAATCTCGAGGCGCGATCTTTTGATGCTGCAAATGAACAGTTTCGTTGTTTCGCTGAGGCTTGACAAGAGTATACCTTGCCTTTAGAGTCCTTCGACGTCTCCTCCCGAACACGCTCAGCTGGACATACTCCAGCGGATACACGGACACGAGCTCGAAGCTCTCGATACTCGCGTCGATGCCAGGCGGGCAAAAGAAACCGGGGTCGTTGCGGAGGACATCTGCGGCGACGATGAGGTTGGTCGGCGTGAGACCCAAGGCGACCTGACGCAGCCCACGTCCGGTCCTCGTGGTCTCCGCGAACGGCGACTCCACCAGGACCGTGTCGGAGAACTCGCGGTACTCCGACAGCAGCAGCTTGCGTATCCTGTTATTCTGCGAGCGATCCTGCCGAGTGTGGTCGGACAAGCTTCGTCGTGACGCGGTCATGAACGCTTGTTATCGCGTGACGAAACGGGGAACAGCGATATCACGCTGCACGGATCATCTATGAAATTCTGCCTGCACGACGACGAGATTTTTCGAAGCGTTCAACGATGATTCGTAGATGAAGCGAGCGAGGTTCGACCGCGTGGAATTAACGTCTCCTCGATGGAAACGTCAGAGAGAGAGAGAGAGAGAGAGAGAGAGAGAGAGAGAGAGAGAGAGAGAGAGAGAGAGAGAGAGAGAGAGAGAGAGAGAGAGAAATCGCGTGGCGATTCTGCGGACAATTTCTCGCGAAATGTTTAAAAAAATGTTACAGATTAGTTAGAATGGCTTTTATTTTTCAGTAGTACGGCTTAACGACGGGTCAGGTGGGCTTTTATTTTTTAATATAGATAGGTTTGGTGTAGGATTGAGTGTAGAGTCTTAAGATAAAAAATCCCGAATTGAAATTGTTGGTTCTATAAATTTCGCCGAAGTTGAGGAAAAGTCACGAAGAAGAATCTCGAGATATAATATTAGAAAAGTTGACAACTTGCGATGTTACTAATGGATATTCCCGACGTTTCGCGGAAGCTTAAAAGAATTGATCTAAAAATTATTTAACATTTCACTATCTCAGTAGTCCTGCGTTTAATTTTTCTGAATTTTTACTTTCAACAAGCAATGGATTAGCTATGTAATTTACTCAACCGCGGGTAGAAAATTGCAATAAGCAAATGTTCAATAATCTAATAAGGATTGGTAAGTAAGTGCGTAAATAAATCAACCGATTTTCTTCGTTCGTAATCTCTTCATTATTACTTTGATTGATGTTAGAAACTTCGATAATCGATAGTGATGTTAGAAACTTCGATAAAATTTGGAGATTCAAAGGAAGCGCTGCAGTCGCAGAATGCAACGCCAACCGCTGCTACGTTCAGCGTGTTGCTCGCCTTAAAGTCAGCTTCTGATCGACATCGTATACATTCGACCAACACTCCGTAAGTGCATACCTACGAATCGATCGAAAACTCGGCGTTGATTTATAATCTCACGTTAATCAACGACGGTGGCCGAATGCCACGAGCGACAAATATCGTCCGCGACCGTCCTGAAAATTCGATAATTCGATCACTTTCATAGAGCCCGGAATGTTTCGAGATCGTCGATCGTCGTGAACCTTCGGCCTCCGAGCGTGTACTCGTCAATGATTGGCGGGCGACGCCGATCGATGATTGGCGGAAGGCAACTGTCTCTTTCAAATACATCGGTTGTTTTGGCGCGCCGTGTATTTCTCCGTGACCGAGTCATTACCAGCCATTATGTTTCGAGCCGGGGAGCGACGCAAGTAGGACGACGAGGAGTCCGGTATCGGTAAGTTTTTTAGTTATTTAGACGCTTAAAAATCTCAACGGCTCTTGAACGTATTGAATCGGATCTATCGTCGGCTTCGTGTTAGGTTAACACGATGTTTCTCCGGTTACAGCGCGTATTATACACGAGTGTCGGTGGACGTCTTCTGCGACGGAGAGCAGCCAGGATGCTAAATTTGGAAGCCATGATGGAAGAGAAAATGTCGGGACGTGGGCAGCGATACATCATTTAATTTCGGGTATGTAAGATCAATTTTTTCACAAAATGTTCTCGATTCGATGTCTATTGGAGTCACCTGGAGCAAAAGGAGATATCCCGAGTCGAAATTCAGATTTACTCTGATCTACTTCAGGTCTATTCTGACTTGCATTCACGGCTCGCGTCATCGTTTGATGAGTGATCATAATTTGACGAATGTCGATTATCCGTCTGATTAACCTATAATAGTATTTCATATGACAAGGAATAGCGATACAAATAGCCGAATACGGTATTATATAATTGGTCTATATATTTAATTAGTCTATTTCCTAATCGATCTATAATTAATTATACTCTCAATGAAAGATCGCATATAATTTACAACGAATATACCGACTTAATCTCGCAAGTGCAAATACTTGTTTCTCGAATAATACATACTTCTCGAGTTTCTTCACCTTGAACCTACCAACGTTTCTTTTTTTTTTCATCTCCGTTTAGCTTTGTTATTGTGTGAAATTTAAGTCCTTCATAGTGTTTACACAATTGCTATCTTTGGCTTTACAACTCCTTTCGCTTCTCACTCCTTCGAAATATCTAAATCCCATTGAAATGTCCGACATCACTAGGAGAAATGATAAGAAAGATTGTGAAAACAGAAAATTTGTGTTGTGCTATTTACCAATGATTAATTATGCAATATTTACTTGTCGTATATATATTCCATCTGCTCGGTTGAATATGTTACATGATTAATATTTTGCTCATTAAAATTAAAGATGAAGCTTACATGCACAGAGTACTGAGATAATTGAATATTAAATAATTTTTGCATAAATACTTCTTCTTGAATCACCTCAATACGTGGAAAACAGCAGTAAGCAATCATTCGTAGCATCAAGATAGGACAATAGTCTGTATAGTTCGAAGAATGTAGAATCAAAATTTCGACTTGGGATCTGATAAGGTTGCATCATAAACTATCGACGTGACAGAAATTGATCGATCGATTGTCGCTCGGCTCCGATTACAATCTTCATAAGTTCTCGAATGATATTATTTAGATACTCCACTCGCGTGGATTTGTTAATACGTTAATTGAAGAAATTGAGAAACACCTCGAGGACCAGATGTTTACGTATCGTCGTTTTTATTCAGAAATTCAACGTGTCGTCGAATTGTTTTCTGTGTTAAAGGTTCGTACATAGCCGCGATCGCGCAGATAGATTACATTTAAAGACAGGGACTACGTGGTAAATACTGGTCGTAATACCCTGTCTCGGTTAATAAGAATCAGCTCCTTCGCTCCTTACTCGAAGTATATAATACGATAATAAATAAGATATAAAAAAACACGTACACGTACACGTACGTGTATGTGTGTGTGTGTGTGTGTGTCAAAGAACCTCACCAATAGCGGGAGCGCCTTTTCACTTTTATAATATAAAGTCAAAACGGTTAGCGAAACGTGCAAAAATGTACAAAATTTACGAAGGTACAAGGATCCATTTTCTACGTTCGTCTGACCGAGAGAGAACATCCGCCCGCGCGCATTGCACTCTTATCGACTACCGTTCTCCGGATTCACTTTGATGGTGACCTTGTTGTTGAGAGCGGACGCGAGTTTCTCGACGCTGCCTTGGAAGTATTTGTTCGGCTCTGAATTCGTTGTATCGTTGCTGGACGTCACTGCGTTTTCAGGAATAGTCTTCACGGGCGACTGGTTTTCCTGAAACGCGGAAATGCGCGTGTTTACATTCTCTGTGCGTATCCCCCTTCCCCAGCAAGAGAGAAGAAAAGAAAAAAGAAATCAAAACACGCGATCGTCAGGCGATCGCGTAAATTTCGCGCGAACATTCTCAACGAGCAACGCAATTCTGAAAAATCGCGCTAGAGACTAGATTCGGCCACACCTGACCTTTCCCGTCGCTCTTCGAGCCACCGCTTACCCCTTCAGTCTTTCTCCTAAGGTTCGACCTCTGCAGAGTCGCCGCGAGCTCGTTCTGCAGCCTCGACACGACCGGACCGTTGGCGGCCGACGCGTCGTCGGCGCCGTTCTTATCGCGCGTCTGCTGCGACAAGAACTCCAGTCTCGACGGCTGCTTGGTCTCACCCTCGTACGCGCCTATCCTGATGGCCACTTTGCCGCCGACGCTCGACTTGGCGGCCGCCTGGGCGCCGTTGGTCGGCGAGACCGACGCCGGCGAGCTCTTGGCGAGCTCCGCGACCGGACTCGTCGCGGCGTCCTTGCCGTTGGCCACCGACGGTTTGTTACCTCCGGTGGCGTTGTGACGCGGACTTCCGTTTGGAGCCAAGGACGGACTCGACACCGGGAAGTACGTCGGCGGCGGCTTCGGTACCGTGCTGGGTGTCTCCTTCAACTTGAAGGACTCGATGCTCTGCATCTCCACCGAGTCGTCGTTTCCGCGACTCTTCGACGGAAGCGGAAGTGGAGGAGGCGCCGGCGGCGGCGGCGGTACCGGAGCACCCGTCGACGCCGCCGCCGACGATGCTGCGGTCGTTGTCGTCGTTGCTGTTGACGAGGTCCCGTTGAGCATCCTCTTCTCTTGTTCCTGAAAGAGTAGCGCGAGTAGTGTTATCAATTGATACGCTAATTAAATAAGACGTTTATGAGGCGCAAACAAGCCTCGAGACAAGTCTTATGAAACAACGGCGCTCCGCGTGCAAATAAAGATAAGATGAGAAACGTAAGAGGAGACTACGTCTCTTCGGAATTAAATCATTTTTCCCAGCATTACATATATTTTTTCGATGTCATCGATCTGATCCTCCAGAATGGAGTCGTACGACTTGAGACTGTTCGCCCGAGGCGAATCGATATTGAAGTGTCGACTGTACGATAAATGCGTCGATAGATCGTCCTTGGGCTTTCACGGCCGAAATGAAACGCCGTGTGGCTATCATCGCTAAATAGTTTACACGCGGGTTACTAACGTTGTAGGGCGTGATCGTGACGAGCACTTGTCTCCTCATCGTCGCGTCACCCGCACTCGTCCTCAAACGTTGCTTATCCATGCTCGCGATTCCGAGCGTCGTAAATTGTACACCGAGCTAACTGCAACGCGCGTCTCAACGCGTCATGTATCTGCGACTCTTCGCCCTCCCGCCGTCACTTGATTATCTACTCGCTCCAGCACTTTTTGTCTGTCTGCGGACGGTCGTGCGTTATCCTCCGCTGTAGTTGATTATTTCGCAACAGCGTCGCAAAGCGCACGACGAGAGAACGGAAAGAGAGCCCCCGGCGGTTTCGGCTAGGCTGAGAGACGACTTCACTCGGTCCTTCACTTGTACCTTCCTCTCTCGCACCTTCCTCCCGGCCGCGACGATGCAGATATTTTCAAAGCCACAATTGCTGAATTCACTTCCTGTCAGGCGGGAGGTGTCTTCTCGGAAAAGAAACGTCTCTTTCTCTCTTTGACGGCGCGTTTATCTGCCTTTTAACGAGTTCTTCGCGAGGCGCGAACCTCCTCCCCGCGCACGTCCCTATTTTCGTCTAATTACGGCCGCAGGATCGCACGACCTCATGTTTCGCGGTAATTCGCCGTTGCCGCGCTGCCGCTGCCTTGAAGCCGATCGCGCGACGCGACCACGGCTCGTCGGCCAACTGAAGAAACGCGCGCTGGAACGTTACGTCGGCGTTGCGAGCGCTCTTATGTAACACCCCCTATTATTTTGCACGTCTACCGCAATTCAGTAGGAAACTGTCGAAGCGGAGGAAAAGAAGAGAAAAAAAAAAATGCGCCACGGCCGAGACGAGGACGACGTCGCTCGCGCGTCGCGCTCCGCCAAGTCTTCGTGCTGCGCGGCGCGACGAAATCCGCGATCGACTGGCGTTCGTCGTGGCGATCGCGCTCGAATCCTCGAGCGCGGCCGATAACGGTGATTAATGGACGATAAGACGGCGAGCCGAGAGCCCGCTAATCTGTGACTCTCGCTTGTGTAACGAGCGGGGGTCGTCGTCACCTGATCGGCGAGAAATCGGCGAGCAGTGATTTATCAGCGCGCGAGAGCGCGATAAGCGATCTCCAGACAAATCACAATAGCTCGATTTTTAGGCGTTTCCCGCGCGCATTGTGGTGCACACAGAGAGTGTCTTGTAAGCGGCTCTACGAGCCCGTAAACGCACTGTCGCCGCTATTATTCCTCCCCGGCGATCTCTCTCCCGCAGAACATTGTTAATCACTCTGTGAATAGCTCTTTCATCGTAATCGCCGCTTCCAAGTAATCGCCGGTCTTCTCTAGTCCGCCGCGAGCCTCAGCGACGGCAGTTTCGTATTATTGTTGATCAAGCTGTTTTTAAATGTACGTGGAACGAGACGCGCACGTGTATGTATAATCCCAAGCGACGAGTCGCGCTCTCGGACGATCGTTCATGAATTTTTGTAAGCGCGAGAGAGAGTTCCTCGCACTCGCAACGCGCGCGAGCGATATTCTCGCGCGCGGTAACACAAGAACTGAAACAAAACCCCGGAATGTACGTGACTTTAAGGTGCAAACTGCTCTCGCTATCTCTCGTCGTTTCAACAATACTGGCGACTAGTATGCGTGCCTACAGGTACACATCCGGGCGAGCGTGTCGCGCGGCGGTGCGTCGTCGACAATATACACACACACACGTCTTATACGTATGTGTGTGTGTGTGTGTGTGTGTGTGTATAGCCTGCACACCACACCGAGTGTTCTGGAGTCTTTATAATTTCGTGCTCTTATCTGTTTGCACCGGCGGATCCTTGCTTATGCGGTTGTGTAATTAAAAGCGCCACCTAGCTGTGCCCCGAAAAGCGTATGAAAACTGCTCGACGGGCGAGAACAGCTACTCGAATCGAGCCGTCTGACGTCTGTTTTCTCTTCTACCTTTTCCAGTTTTAGATTGACGTTTCGTTGCTTCCGAAAAATCCCCTGTGTGAGCCGCACTTGCTTTCGCGCGATCACCGGCTCGGGTTAATTGTTAATTACGTACATTTTCCGCTCGTCATCGTGATTAACGTCATGCACGCGTGATACGAACGTAAGTCCGCCGCGTCGGTTCGCTTTGCTGCTGTTCTGCTTCGAACTTCGAAATGAAATGTTTATTATCGCGATTGGCCGAGATGCAATTTCTCGGTCTACCACGAGCCGACTGAATTCATTAGTGCCTCGGACTTATTCCGCGGGGGCTTATCCAACGGCGCGACAATAAGCGCGTACAATGGCGGGGCACGCGCGCCGCGATCGCAGTTACATCGCGCAATACGCGTTACGTCACTAATCGGTCTCGAAGATATGCTTATCAGTGAACGGTATACCAAGTCGCGGCATCAGGTGGACTATTGTTATCGCATGGAAGTCAACACATTATGCGTTTCGAGTGCCGCGCGACCGAGTCGGGAAATGAATATTCGCGAGCGCGATGAGTTTCGCAAAATTCGGCGGGACTTTGCGAGAGATCTTCCGGCGACGCGCGTTATCGAACGCAATTATAACGCCGACTTTCATAGAACAAACGGCTTAATCGCCGGCGATTAATCTCTCGCTCCTTACCTTCTCGGGAACTTGATCCGCGGCCTGTGCCTTTTGCTGAGCGGAATTGAACATCTTTTGGTGTGCACGCTTAAACTCCTCCATCAACTGCGGAGAAAAGCGTCGATTTCAACTCGATGTAATTCTAAGCTGATCGGTAAATGAGGTCTTCCTCTCGCGACGTGAGATGATGTAAAATTGAAGGAATTTAAATTGGAGGCTTAATCGCAATTATTATTACGTGCCGTTGCGTTTTATGCGAAGTGAGTAAATGAGACACTTATTATTAGTTACGAAGAGTCAATTACGAAGACGCAACAATACGCGTGTAGAATCGCAGTTGACCGACCTTATCGTGTGTGACTTTTTGCTCCTGCGACCTTAGAGCCTCAGGATTCTGAGGTTTGCGGTTGTCCGGAGTTTTTTCCTTTGGTGCTTCCGCTTTAGCGGCATTGTTCATTCTCTGTGCAGAAGAACAAAGTAATACGCAGCGTTAATGAATGAGCATCGTGTCATGATCGCGAGATACTCGAAAACATCGAGCGAACGTAATTACGAGTCGAATTACGAATCGTAGTTACCTCTCGACGTTCTCGTGCAATTGATAGAGATAAGCGCCTCTATGGAATGCGCAAAACTACGGTTTCGAGAAACTTATTTTCCGTGTAAAGATAGAGTATAATCCGCTTGTTGATATACCTAGACTACAAGAGATAACATTTTTTTCGCAATTCATTATATCTTGATACAGGCTGGAGGACTCTTCAGCTTGTCGATAATGTTTATAAATTTTCTATCGCGCTGGACACGGGAAAACTAGAGTAGAAGATATCGCGGGTAAGAGATAAGAGATTTAATCATAGATACCAAGGTCAACAACAACGGAAAGATCAGAAAGGAATTACGAGCACATTCGACGGAAAAAGAAAAGCAAAAAGTATCGCGATCACGATAAAGAGCATACATCACGCGTCGTAAATATTTGATCTCTGATCTCGCGTCGTCGTAAATATTTGATCTCCGATTTAACTTCACCTCTCGTTTCTTTCGATCGGGTCGAGCTGGTCTTTCGCAAAAACTCTCGGCCATCGTCATTCTTGTGTCAGGCGAGTGCAAAAGTTTTGATGGATTTTACGGCAAGAAAAATAATTGTATTAAAAACGATTTATCATGATCTTTCGGCGAAAAATGATGATAAATCATGATAGAAAAAGAAAACAACGACGATTACCTAGGTAGAATAAATAAATCGTTATTAATAAAATTACTCTGTTTATTTTTCTAGCATGTAATCCACCGAAACCAAAGTTGTACCAAGTAGTTGAATAATAATGAGTCTCGCGAAGTCGTAAAGAAATGGATTTGGAACACGCTCGTCCAACGACGACCACGACGTGGTGCACGATGTGTACCTGTTGCGCTCGCCTCTGCAGCTCCTGCGTGATGGCGGTGCTCAGATCGGTGCTGGCGATCGGCGAGGTCCTTGCAGCGCAGTTGCGCGGCGTCGCGTATGCGGCCGTCGAAGTCTCCGACGGTTTGCTGGCGACGCTGCTGGACCCGCCGGTGGCTGAGCCGTAGGACACGGTGGACGCGGGCTCGCAGGACGACGTCGACAACGACGACGATGTCGAGGCGGAGTCCTTGCTGCAGGACGACTCGAGGCTCGATTCGGTCTCCGTGGAGCCGGTGCTGCCCATCGACATGGTGCTGCCCATTTGCATACCCATGGCGTTCATCGGTTTGGTCTCTGCAACGATGAGTGATTCACATAATTATAATCGCGATGAGAAACATCGAATCTGTCGCTCGAACCGTCGTGAAATTTTCGACGGAGCATTGGGCGTAGACAACATTATTTATCTCATTATCATCAATATTGACCATTTAATTATATTGATTATTAATGATGGAATTTTTGAATAATAATAATCTAGGGAATATTATTAACATACGTCTCGTCGGACAATAATAATTTTCGAAATATTAAGCAAAAACGTCGTGGAGAAATCACACGCGGGAAGACACTTCGTCCTCTCGGGATCTACGTTTCCGGACAGATCGTTAGTTAGAAGGAGGCAATTTCTTCCTTCAGCATTCGCTCGCTCGCGAACGCCGTGCGTCCAGTTGTTATTCTAATGATTCCACGAGAGAGAGAGAGAGAGAGAGAGAGAGAGAGAGAGAGAGAGAAAGAGAGAAGTCGTCAAACCTGCTGGCCATTTGTAAGGAAGCGGCGGAGGTGGTGCAGGTGGACAAACTGACTGATGCACTTCCACAGTCGTTATCGTCTTCCTCTCGGCCTCGCTCTGTCTTTGCATGAGTTGCAGGTCTGCCAATCGATTGCCGACCGCTTGGCCGTTCTCCTGGACGCAGAATCATTCGCGGTACGCGCGCGTTAATACATCTCGTTTATTTCATTTCAACCGGTCTGTTCGATCAGTTTCAACGCAACGCAACCGTATATCTCAAAGCATGAGAAATGGCACGATAATGGAAAGCGCGCGCGCGCGCGCGCGCGCACGCGGGTCTCTTACGGAGCTTCTTACTTTGGAGCCATGGTACATGGGCAAGTCGTCCGCGGGTCCGTCGTAAATCACGTCCTGCTGTCGCACGTTATCTCGCCGGTAAGCCAGCCGCCGATTAGCCTCGTCCCGCGGATTCGCGTCGAAATCGTGCACCTCGTAGTCGATCCTAGGCGCCACGGGATCGTAAAGCGGCTCGTTGTCGATGTCATCCTCATAATTGCCGCGCGGGTTGAAGTGATACTGGCCGCCCGGTATAGGCCGGTGATTCTGGTTCTGGTTCTGGTTCGAGCTCTGATTAACACGAATTACGGTCGTGTTATTCGGTTTTCGCGTCCATTCCGGCGCCTAGAAAACGGTCACGTCAAGTCGGAGTCAAGTTCCGATGCCGCAGTCGCATCTCCGCTTCAACACATTTCGCAAGCTACAGCGGTGGTGGAGCGTATCGCGGCTCGGGGAAGGAAATTATTTATTTGATCTGGATGAAATTAACATTAGGAAAAGACAAGCGAGATTGCAGATGCACGATCTAAAACGTGCTTTCGCTTTCTCGAAGAGCCGCGCGAGATTTCTAATGATTATCCCCGGTGCACAATTCGAGAAAGCGGAAGTTAGATTATTCTTCTCGGAGGGAAGAAAAAGAGACGCACAATATGTGCGGTCGAAAGATGTTTTCTCTCAAATCGATCTCGCACAGCGCAACTGTGTTGTCAAGATGGGTGCTTCCTATCGATCCTTTACCTGCTCCATATGCGCCCATTCCGAGGAGGAACTGCAGCTGCTGGTGGACAGCGCGAGAGGACAGCATATTCTGCAAGGCATATCCAGGAAATGAGGATAAAATTTATATACATGTCCGCGGTCGATTACGCAAGCGAGCGCGTGCGCGCGCGCCGATTTCTAAAGAACGGAATTCGTGCGGGACGGGGACTTTTGCGCGGTGGCGGCGGAGGCCGGGGGGAACAGGAGAAACAGGATAAATGTTTACGTGGCGGCAAGGAATTCGCCGTCTGGCCGAGTCTAGCGATCCCTATCGCGAAATGTCCTGTTAATGGAGCGACTTTCTCTCGCTGTAAATTCATCGATGCACCCGATAACGTCCCGCGACCGGCTAGCGATGTGTGTAAAGACGGTCCCCCGACCTACGATTTTTCGATTCGCGCGATGGCGCGCGCAAAGCGCGACATGCATTCGATGGAAAGCTCGAATTTTCAAACTGGATCTCCTCCCGATGAGTCAGTCAGGCGCACCAGGTCGAACGCACCTTTCGACGCACGACGGGCTTATCGCGACGCAAACTCGTCGCGAGTCGAGGAGCATCCGTATGCACATAATATACACGCGCATAGCGAGTGTCGCAGATAACAGTAACGCGATCGACGTTCGCGAGGCCGATTCGCGCAATGATAAACGACGCGCCGGAGTGCGATCGGTAATTGCAATCGGCAGCGCGGTTTCAATTATCGCGACACGCTCGCGACCAGTCATTCGCGTCGCTCGCGAAGCCCCGAGAGAGATCCGCGATAGGAAGACGCGCGCGCGTGTTAATAACTCGCGCGATTTCCCATTAATGCGAAACGGAAACCCTCGATCGCGCGCGCTTCCTTCGTCGATCATTATCTTCGATTTCTCGTTTTCCTCCTCGCTCCTTCCCTCCGTCCGTCTTTTACCGGCCGCGCGCGAGGCCGTTAAATTCGCGACGCTGACCTGCCGTTTCTGTTGCAGGCGTCGTCGCGCGGATACCGCTGGTGCATCCTGCCGTCCTGGTGCTGCGGCGAGGACGACGGGTTGTTCGGCTGGGGCGGCGGGCTCGCGGCCACCACGCTCGACGTCTCGGAGTCGTAGCCGCTGGAGCCGCGCGTCCACAGCGGCTCGGGGCAGTCGTAAAGGTGATTGGGCGTAGGTCGTTGCACCACGAGGTCGAGGATCGCCGAACTGCGCATCACCTCGATGGCCCTCTCGAACGGCAGATCGGTGAGTCGTTGGCCGTTGCACCAGATTATTACGTCGCCGGCCTTGAGGCCAGCCGCTCGCGCCGGCCCGCCCTCCCTCGTGCCCTGCGAGCGTGTACGCATGTTTATTAACGAACGAGATTAGTCCTCAGTCCTGTGACGTCGTTGAATCTCGAGTCTCGAGAAGAGTCACCCCGCTTACCCCCGGACCGGCGGCTTCGTATTCTTCGCTCGTGTTTATTTTACGCTCTTTACGCTTTGTCTCTCGGGCACGCTGATTGAGAGCACACTCGTGAATATCTTGTTCATGCTTCGAAATGCTCGAATGCAGAGCTGGATATCTTTTACTTGTGAATGAAGCGTACGAAGCGGGGTTTGTTTTTATAGTCATGCTCTCGAAACGCTTTGTGAACGCGATGTGGAAAGTCTCGAGAAAGCTACTCGCTGGTTATATTAACAGATAAGCACAGTCGATTGAAAGCTGCTATCAACCTGGACAGTGAGACCCGGTACGATGCCCCGGCAAACGCCGCATCCCAGCCGACCCTTTTCGCCGACGAGAATCCGAATTCTGACTTCTGCGCTCGGGACGCCGCCTAAACCAGTTTCGTTGTACTGCAGCTGCTGTTGCTGTTGCTGCACCATGTGCCAGGTAACCGGATCGTTCGGGTTGCTTTGCGAATCATAAAGGATTTTTGTAAAACGAGAGGATGCATCCGCGCCAGCGTGAGCGCGCGGCGAGAGGACGCGCCTATGCGCAGAAAGAGAGAGAGAGAGAGAGAGAGAGAGAGATGTAGATAGAAATAGAGAGAGAGAGAGAGAGAGAGAGAGAGGGGGGGTGGATTCACGCAAAGTTTTAATTAAGTTTCGATACTTACTCCTTCACGGGTATCATCCCTACGCCTGCAATACAAATCGAAAGCCATAAGTTCCCGCTATCAGCAACGAGATAGAGATTATTGCGCGCGCGCGTGTATTACTGTTATTAATTATTTTTCCTTCCTCTCCGAAACGCGAGGCTTATACCTCGTACAAAGTGCAGAGAACTGATTTACGTCCGAGGTACTTCGCGGAGCCGAGCGATAATTAAGATACACAGGCGAGATAGTTACTTCGGATTTTGAGCACCAGGACTTGCTGATTCTTCGCCAGCAGCGCGACTTCCTGATGCACCGCGTCCTCCACCGGATAGCCGTTCACCCGTAAGATCTGATCGCCCACCTGAAAGCGACATGTGAGCCGAGTGCTGAGACCGTTAGCTGGGAAATGAGAGACAAGAAGACTGTCGTGTCGCCGGTCGCGCTCGCTCGTTCGCTCGCTCGAGAGAGAGAGAGAGAGAGAGAGAGGGACAGAGACAGAATTAGGTAGCGATCGCTGAAAAATACGTACCCTCAGTCCGTTCCGATGGGCCTCGCCACCCGGTTGGACGTCGCTGACGTAAAACCCGGCGGCGTACTCCCGTCCACCCCGTAACGAGAAGCCGAAGCCGGCGTTACCGCGACGCCTCAGCCGTACGTTCCTGGTCACGCCGATGACGGCCATCCTGCCGCCTCCCGCCGGGTTCCCAGGACCTCCACCGGTCGATGATCCCGTGCCAGCACTTGACGCGCTGGAGGAGCCACCGGACCTGTCGGCATCGTAAAAAGGATGCATATAAATAACGCCATTTCGTACGCCGCAGCCGAGCGGGCAGGAGAGCGAAGCCGACGCGCGCGCCTTCGATTGCTTCTCCTGCAAGAGGGCTCCTGCTGAAACTCGAGACGCAGGCGCGAGCCTTCGAACACTGTGCAGCTCCGAACCGCGTTGATTAATTCGCGGCGTAGCTCTGCGACTTTTTATCTCGGTCACCGAACATTCCAGACGTTTCCACGATGATTAAGTATAATTCATCCGGCGAACCTTCCCGCGCGCGATCAGATCCTTATTACCTCCGTGGGAAAAATGAACTTGAAGAGGGCGGTAAGGAAATTTGCGAGATGGCTTGCATTCGTTCCGCTACTCGTCTCGTACGTTTTCTCGCCGTCGTCGTCGGCGGCGGCGGCGACTATATCCGTCGCCCAACGAGAAGCGTCGCTGTAATACCAGCGTGGTCTTATTTCACCTTCGCGAGTAATTGTCTCGCAAAGATCCTCATTTTCCCCTCTCGCTTCGACGGACGAGTGAGCGAGCGACTCGGTACCTTTGTTCGGCCTCGCCGACCTTTTTCCACCTCGCTGTGAAATTAATGACCACACCTGGCGCACCGCGCACGCCGCCGGCACGAGGAAGGAAGGCAGGCGAGCTGAGGAAGCGGAGGTGGTGCGCCGAGGAACGTCGGCCAAAGGTGGAGGAGTCGCGAGGAATTCCACATGAAGGCAAGAAAGAGAAGCAAAGACGGGAGAGAGAGAGAGAGAGAGAGAGAGAGAGAAAGAGGGAGAGTAAAAGAGAGACGAAAGGGAGGGAAAGAGGGAGAGCCAGTCATACATGCGGCGAAGGAGTCGAACCGAGATGAAACTGAACAAGGACACATTGCTAATGATGCCGCGCGAATCCATCTTCCGGCGGACATTGAAAAGATTATGCGCAAAGAACATGCACTCGGCGACGTGGGGATCGGCGGGACGCGGACGCTGTAAGACACGCGGACGACACCGGGTAAATGACAGTCATTAGCGGGAGCACGAGTCTGGTCTAGAATAACCCTGCTTCTGCCTCTTCGCCGGAGGCGCTCTTTCTCGGCAACTCTTCTCCACGACTCCACCCTTCGTCGGGGAGGAGGAACCGCCGCAGCAGGAGCGGTTCCCCTCGCCCGGCGGAATATCAATTTTCGGGACTGGCGTAGGCGAGCGTGAGAATTTCCATCGGGACAATCGAATCGCGTTCGGCCGTGGGATAATAACTATTTTATTCCTCGGCCACCGACCGCATTCAGCATCCGCGGAATGCGCATATGCCGCGTTACGTAACGCCTCGCCCCCCCCCTCCTCCACCCCGTGGGATAACCGACTGCATCTCTTAACGCGCTTCTAATCGCCGCTTCTTTTTTATGCAATGGCCGACACATCCGAGCGCGACGTCGCTTGTGCGCAACAACAGTCAAATTGCCGCTTGCCGCCGAGAGGATCTCTCTGTGCAATCGCGCGGCGGAGGACAATAGAGATGCACGTGGCGTTCGTCGCGCGGCCATAATGCGGGGAAGACGTACCGTTACCGTCGTACCGATATCACCGTTTGACGATCGAGAGCCCGAAAGTGTTACGACTATCGCAAACGTCTCGCACGTATCTCGCCAGTCCGCACCAGCCTGTCGCTCTCTTTCTCCTTCTCTCTCTCTCTCTCTCTCTCTCTCTCTCTCTCTCTCTCTCTCTCTCTCTGTCCGCCTCTGTCCGGCTGACCCGCCCGTGTCACGATCGCGACCGTCGTGCTCATACACACGTATTAATCCGGAACTCGATATTCCACTCACGAATTATGCTAATTCCCGCCTCGCGGGAGGGAGAGCGCAACGTGCCGACGCGTGGAAGGAGCTAACGGGAGAAATTTCAACCGGGAGGATTACGATATTGGCGTCGGGAGAAGTGACTTCTATTTCGGTGGGGAAACAATGAGCCTACGAGTTGTTCTCCACGAAGAACTCGTGCCGCGCGCGATATTGCATGGCTCCTGGCACGGCGCTGTTGTTCTCTCGAAGATTGAGCTCACGAGATCCTCCGGCTTGTCGCGCTTTGAATTCGGACACGCGTGTAGATATCGCGTAGTAGTCTCTAACAGGACGTCTCTGGATCGGCGATTAGAAATTCCATTCGCGTCTTATGCTGATCATCATAACGAAGGACAGGTTTCGAGCAACTTGGGGACAGCTCGAAAAAGAGAGCCAGGTCGCGTCGAAGCGCCTGAACGCGTTTTCCGTTCGCGTTATTAAGCGCGCGATAACGATGCGGCCGGCTATTTCTGAGCCGCCGTTATCGCACACTACTGCTCTCTATTTTTCTCGCGTTTCTCGCGTGAGCTCGCGCGATGGTATTTGTTGTTATCGTTATTCACTTCAGCATTATGGTGATAGCGCGAGCCACGAAGGACGCGAGGAACGTCCAGCTCGCCGACAATGCGGAGAAAGTTGATGCAAGGCTGCGAGGAACACGGAAAGGCACGCCCTGACGAGTGTTCCTCGTCCTTTCAACTCTCGTGACTGCTTTTCTGGCTCGCTCTTCGTGCCTCGCATTGTATCGCCAATGAAAGGCGAAAGATCTATAATGCACATCGCGGTGTTCCGCAGAAATCGCAATCGAAAGAGAGAGAGAGAGAGAAGAGAGAGAGAGAGAGAGAGAGAGAGAGAGAAATCTTAATCTCGCTGGTCTCTTCATTTCCTGTACACGTTCGACGATTTCGAATTTCAGAAACGCAGCTCTTCGTGCGTTTCGACAAAGTTTTAGATACATTCGCTCTGTTTGCGTATTTCACTGGAACACGCCCAAACATTTTTATCTTCAATCTGTTGCGAAATTTACGAAAGAGAGAAAAGTTAAGAATGTAAGTTCCACTAGAAGCTTCGGAAATTTCCAAGTAGAATCGATCCGACACGGTAAAGTTGCGAGAGCCGTTGCATTGTATTTTCACGGCGGCACTTTAAGCGTTTTAGCCTCAGGAATGATCGAGTGAAACACGCGTTGCTGCGAGGCTCTCGACGTCTAACTTTAGAACTGGTAGCAAGCAGTCGAACCAGAAGTTGACAAATTGTTACCAGGCGCGTTTAACGCACCGCCGGCGATTCGCCTTCTGGTCCCCGCCATAGCCACCATAGCCTATGGTTAATCTCTCCACAGGCAAATTATTGCCATATTGTATAAGACCTCGAACGTTACGCGTGAAAATAGCTTGTGACCGACCGTGTCGATTGTTTTTTGTCACGAAATTGGCAATTAAATCGCGCACGAGCGTCGCGAGATGGTCTCACAAAGGAGCAAAACTTTTCAAAAGCGTTCTCTCTCCCGACCAGTTTCGTGAGTGAAAAGACCAGTTTCGAAACAGGTCGCGCGGCTTAAGCTACTTCAAATGTAACGCGATTAAGTAGTAGCCAAACGTACTTCTTTTCTCGTACTGTTTCCTCTTGGGTGCACACGAACATTCAAGGGAGTGTAAGAAGTTTTCTTTCGTTTCCTGCCTACGGAGGAAACCAGGTAAACTCATTGTGTCGCCTCTTTTCTGCGCGATTCGCTTTACGCGCTTCGTCTTTACGAGAGCCGTTACTTCTCGATATCGCGGCCTTTTTGTCGCATAAATCATTGCATAAATCTCGATAGTTTGGATACAAACAAATAATCAAGTGCTACATGGAGGGAATATATAATATAATAATAATAATAATAATAAAATATACAGAGAAAGAGTACCGTTAATGCGTATAATATTATTATAAATTTATATATTGTATAATATTAATACAATATTTATATACTGCGTGTAATATTAATACAGGGAACGCGCGGTAAATAAGCGAATAAATACAACAGCGCTTTCCAGCGCGTTTGCCGCGCTTGAATGGACACGTGATTTCGGAAACAATAATATATACAAGTATCGGGATACGTGACGCGTGAGTCCCGATTTTACAATCAAAATGAAAACAACGTGCGCGAGACGTGTTACGTTATTTCGTATACGCTACGATATTGTCATGCGAGAGACGTTGCGTACGTCCTCGTAATCTCTTGGAATTTTAAAAGTGATGATTATTTGTCGTTCGAAAGTCAAGTGTTTAGTTGACAATGGAATATACAGCCTAGAGCTACCGTACATTTTTTATTCGCCGACATCGATCGATGTAACTAATCGGGGGGGAAGCTTTTCTTTTGTTCCAGATCTGCCAGAGCTAACGGTCGCGAACGATGGTTCCGCTCGTAATCGATTTTGCAATTGTCGCGACGGCGAGTTTCCGAGATCTTTTCACAGCCGACGACTTGCGATATTATCCGCCGATCGGCATCCACGCTGAATGCAACACGCGCACGTCCTACCGTTTTTCGCGAGAATCGCAGTCCTCGCGCGGAGAGAACCGTGTTTTCGACAAGATATAATTATCCGCGGACGGGAAACGGGATATTTCTCTCTCGCGATCTCGCGGAAAGTGCCATGCTCTTGGACATTTTTATACGCGATGCGCCCGACACGCGAGCGCGTTCTCCGAGCGCTGGAATTTATCGCCGACTTTACGTTAAGTCGTTGCACACCGTAAAAACGAACGCGGTCGCGAGTGCAGTGCCGCGAAAGTGGAGTGAATGAAGGAGCGATCGAACGTGAGACTACGTGAGCCGGGCGGATGCGGAGCCACGCAGCCAGGATGTGCCGCGGTGGGTCTCATCGACGGACCTGGACAACCGGACGTCATCGCCGGACTCATCGCGAAACGGTGAGTGCGCCATACGAACGCTCACGGAGCGTCATTACTATACAGCCAGGCGTAAAGGCGATTTTACACGCGCATTTCCGCCGAGAAGAAGTCCGAGCGAGAGAGCGAGCGAGAGAGAGAGAGAGAGAGAGAGAGAGAGGGACTGCCTTTTTGTTATAAGAAAAAGTGAGCGAGAGAGAGATTGCCCTTTTCTTACAAGAGATTACTCGAGAAAAATTCGGATTGCGATCACTCGGAAAGTT